GATTGTCGATGAAGTCCCACAGAAAGTAACTAAGGGTTGTCAGAAATGTTGCCAAACCTGTCGCTAGGCACTTTTACGAAAGTCACTAAGGGAGTGTGAAATGTTGTGGAGACAAGGTCACTATTTGGCAACACGGTCGATTACAGATTTGAACCAATTCTGATTCATCTCAAAAGATAAACTGTGCCTCTGAGTAAAATCTCCTGTCTCTGGGATAAATCAGCTCTAGACGGCGGTGAGGTCACGGCACCAGACAACAAGTCAGGTTTCTTTATTGGTCTGAGTTTAAGACGATCTCCAGGAGAGTTGCTTGAAGGAAGTAAACTAGCCTGAAAAGCAGCACTAAAGAAAACTTATGATCTCGTTATTATAAACTAAACAGACTCCGAACATCAGGATTTACTCCCTTTCCCTTCTGTTTTGGACTTAGCCAGTATCTTAGTTTGTTTTGGTATTGTAGAAACTTTTTCAAAGGGCTGCACAGTGGCTGGTGATAGTGTTGTTGACAGATAAAATTATTCTGCAAAAATTCCCAACTTTCTGCTCCCAGGGGATTAGATTAGATTATAAACAATTTGAAACAGTAGCTTTAAAATTAAAACTCAGAATGTGACACAGAGTGTCTCATATGGATACAATCTAGAAAGGGAGCAGAGGTGATCTGAGGACAAACAAGAACCAGAGAACGTGGACTCTTTACCGTATGAAGCATCTCCAGCTGCGGGCTCTGGGGTCTCCTGCTCTGACTGGAGCTGACACGGAGCTTCAGATGAACTTACAGGAGTTTTGTCAGCAGCATGTGGACTCTGCTGGGGATCAGGTGTCTCTAACGTGCTTTCACCTGGATGGGTTGGTGGACGAATCAAACGGAGCTTAATGAGGGAAGTCTTGGCAGCTGCTGGTTTCACTTTAGAACCTTCAGCTTCCTGGCTCTGTTCCTCTCCTTGTTTTTCAGCACCTTTAACCAGAGCAGAGTCTCCAGCTGCTGTCGGTGGCTTTTCAGCAGCACCTGGTCCAGTTTCTGCCTCAGCACAAGCAGCAGGTGGACCGTCTGTCGGGCCTTTATGCTCCTCTGCGGATGTTTCTGCTTTGGGACTTGAGATGTTTGCCTCTCCAGTGGTGGAAGAGAGGATAGCTTCAGAATCTGGAGGAGCGGAGACGCTTGATTCACATGATGTTCTGCAGAAAAGAAGAGCACCATGAGCATGAGTTGAAGAAAAAACAAAGAAACTCTTAACTTTGGGACGTCTTCTTCACCGTTTTGGTCCAAATCTGAACACGATGACACAAATTGAATTTGACAAACATAAGTGGTGAGAGTAGCAGGTGCAAACACGCACAGCTGACTTGTTTGTGAGAAGCACGACTTACTGCTGAGGTTTCTTCTGTTCTTTAGACGTGGCACTCCTCACACTTTTCTGTAAATAAACAGGGAACACTCAGCCAAAGACATCCTTGTCACCACGTTGAAGATGAAAACGCCTGAGACAGATTCAGTCTTTGTCCAAATGAAGATGTGTACTTTTGGACTTTAGTGGTTTTAGACTGAACATAAATGAAAGACTGAGCGAAGCTGTGACTCTAATGCTGCTGTTGACAGAAATCTTTGAAACATCACGTGAAACTGGACACAGAATGCTAGAGTACGGTTGGGTACCTCTGGGGTGACTTTGATTGTTTGTCCTTTCAAATCAAACTTCTTTACGCTCCTCAGTTTCTCTGCATCTTCTTCATTCGTATAACGCACTATTGCCTGCAAACACAAACAGCACGATGGGTCGCAGCAATGACAACTGAGGCTTGTAGCAGCTTCTGTGAAGCAGGACAAAGTCTCTCTCCACACGTACCTGTTGTCTGCTCCTATACAACACAACCGACTCCGTTTTCCCAAACTGCTCCACCGCGTTAACCACGTCCTTGTGCGAGAGGGCATTAGAAACTAATTCGAGTATCACCTGGTTGGAAGATGGAACGTCGTCCTGGGGAGCAAAAACATATTAACCTCGTCACAACCAGAGCCCATGGTGGTTAGAAATGGGGTAGATGTTTTTCTGGTGCATTAACGGCCATCTTGATTGAAAGGCTCTTCACATACTGATGATAACCAATGGTAAATGTTTAGTCGAAAAAGGAACAATTTTAATCACTTCTGAAATGTACAATCCTTGAAAAACCTCATTCGATCGTTGTGAGCGTCCTGTTCTTAAAGACTGGATCCTGACCTATGCATCAAACTTCTCCTCAGTCTGCCCAGCCCCCTCTGCACCCTCCCCTGTGCACGAATGAGACGCTCTTGGCTTGTAGCAGCTGAACAAGAAGCAAACTCAGGGCTAGCTAGAGTAAACGGATGGAAAGAGCTGTTTCGTTTGTTTGCAAATATCATTCAAGGATTTGTTTACAATTTAAGTTTATGGTATCTGCCGGCTCGCTCCTGGTGGCTGCCTGGTAGGGGCAGGCCTGGGGGCGTGCCAATATTATCTCCTGGACCTCTGACACGGCTGCTAGTTGGGACCTCTGGAGTGATCCTCCACTCCTCTTGGGAGGGGGGTTGGGGCTTCTGCGGCAGCAGTCTCTCTGGGGTCTCTGTACTCCGCGGGAGACCTCTGGATCTCTGGGACTTTAGAAGCAGGTATGTGGCCCCTCATACTCACTATTGAACACTCCTATAAAGAAACCTAACGTACACAAGTGCATGTACGCACACAGGTGCTGACATGGAGCAAATATGGACTATGGACACATGACCAAAGGCTGTGGTTGGCACTAAATGCACTATGAATTATTACCACGTGCTTTTCAGCAAAGATGTTACTGTTATATATCTTCATGCAGTTGGCAAAGTGATATTTAAGTTGCGTTGTATTTTTTGTGTGAAATTGAAACTTTAGACACTCAACTTGTAGCAGTTGGCCAGTGAACAATATTGTGTTTTTTTCCTCATGTCCATTCCCTTAGCTGTTCACATTTAGGTTAATAAAAAATTGGTCAGTGGCAGCTTTTGTTTTCTGTTTGAGTAATACAAGCCAGATTCCAAAAAAGTTGGGACACTATATAAACCGTGAATAAAAACTGAATGCAATGATGTGGAGGTGCCAACTTCTAATATTTTATTCAAAATAGAACATAAATCACGGAACAAAAGTTTAAACTGAGAAAATGAATCATTTTAAGGGAAAAATATGTTGATTCAAAATTTCATGGTGTCAACAAATCCCCAAAAAGTTGGGACAAGTAGCAATACAGGTCCTTCTAAAGAAATTAGCATATTGTGATAACGTTCATTATTGTCTGCAATGTTCAGATAAACATTAGATTTTCATATATACAGTGATCCCTCGCTACTTCGCAGTTCGTTTATCGCGGATTCACGACTTCGCGGATTTTTTCTTTGGAGCCTTATTCAAGGGAAATTCGCAGATTCGCGGTATTTTTCTATGCGAAATATCAAGAAATTCCTTTTTTTCCCATCAATTTCATCATAAAATGCACTTTTTGTAATAAAACTATAAAAAAACCAAGTAAAAATTTTTTTTTCTTGAGTTTTACCCACAAAAAGAGAATGTGATCATACAATAATTCAATATAGTACTGTATGTCAGACTGGTCGGCTGGATTCGGGAGTTGATCTTGTAGGGAGCGTGGTTTCACAGACGCGGAAGTGAGAGCGTCGGTGAAACGCCGGCTCACGATTTAATCTAGGAAACCCCCGAGCGTTCGAGCGTCAACGAAGTGGCACGGAAATGCCGGACTTTCCAGAAGTAAGTAAGATAACTTACTGTGAGCTGATAGTTCGTGGGACGGATCGGTAGGTTGGAAACTCTGATCATGAATCTGAAGAAACGATGACCGAGTGGTGAGCTGGAAAGGCGACTTCCGTTTATAGCCGCGGTTTGTGACGTAGGTGCGACGTGGAGGGAATCCCCGCGAGGGGCATGCTGGTAGTTGTGGTCCATAGTGGAGGCCGGCTAGCTGGAAGAGGCTGGCCTGGGAACTTGGGTTCTGACACTGTACTGAAAATATGATGTCCCTACTTCGTGGATTTTCACCTATCGCGGCCAGGTCTGGAAAGCATCTACCGCGATAAACGAGGGATCACTGTATTAGATTCATTACACACAGCTGAAGTAGTTCAAGCCTTTTATTGGTTCTAATATTGATGATTTTGGCATACAGCTCATGAAAACCCAAAATTCCTATCTAAAAAAATTAAAAAAAAGTACGTATGATTTGTGCTGATATCATATCGGATTGATATCGGTATCGGTCAATGCTGAAGGCAGCAATATCTCTATCGTATCGGAAGTAAATTAGTTGTTTCGGGACATCCCTACCAACAACAGGTCAAAAACACAAGTTTATGATTTTGTGGTTGGCACAACCCACGGCCTCTGATTTTACAGAAGTTTCTGTGAGCATCAGCTTCTGTGACTCTAGAGGTGAGTCTGGAGAGAGGGGGTTGGACCTTTAAATTGTTGGCTTTTCGAAACATTGCTTACTTGAACTAGCCCAACAAGCCATCTTACATATGTGAATATATATAGTCTGGCCACAACCCATAGACAGAGCTCACTCGTAGGGCAGAATCTACGGTCATCTTTCAAACCGTCTCCTCACGTTATTGGACAACAAACAATGTGGCATACCCACCACTACGGATGTCAGTCAACAGGGCAGTCTGCTGTACACTGCTGACAAAGACACAAATACATCCTTTTTCTGAAATAAATAAACACATAAATAAATCTATCTGCTCTTGACACAAAGAAAAGCTCACATCCAAGTAGGGTTGTCACGGTGTGAAAATTTAAGCTCACGGTTATTGTGACCAACATTACCACGGTTTTCGGTATTATCAGGGCCGGCTTTGTCGACAGGCGACACAGGCGGCCGCCTGGGGCGCCATCTGATGGATAGGGCGCAAAATTTCAACAAAAAAAAAAAAAAAAAAAAAAAAGTTTATTAAATTCATGTTAGTTATATGAAATGCACTCTCTACATACTCAAAATTCCCCTTTGAAATGACATGAAATTAAAACATCAATATTTAAATTCTAATGATCTGGCTGCATTTCGAGCTCCCGCTTGAGCCACCGCTCCGATGCATTTGACCGTTAAGGTTGCCATAGAGATTACGTGTGTGGTTGGCACTGTAGAAGGACATCCTGTTGTGGTCGCGACGTTTGATATTTTACAAGGAAAAGAACACCTAAGCCATCGGGATCAGCATTCCGAAAGCGAAGGAAGGAAGAAGAATAAAAACGGGCCCAAAGCAGAGGTATGTAGACTTTATAAGTTTTGCAAAGGAACTTTTTGCGTTATTATTGTAGCCAACTGCCTCTCCTGCCACGCACAGTCCACGGACGGACCCTCGCTAGCTGTTTACATACACAATACAGTATCTGTAACTTTAACCCATTCATTTTACTTTTGAATCGTCATGTCCAGATGCAGTGAGACAATGTTGAGTCTCACTGTGATGATGAAGAATGTAAGATTTGTTACTGGTTTTTGGAGCTTGATTGCAGCCTTTTATGAACGTTGTTTCAAGTTTTAAGTACGCATACAATATGAATTTAATATTTGTATATCAGAAGAACGTTAGGTGTGGGTGTGGCAAATTTTCAACTTTGTCCGACACATCGGGCGGGCGGCACTGCCGCGGCGGGGACTCCCCCGCTGCCGCCGGGCCCGGCGGGGAGTGAGAACTGCCTAAACACAGCATGACATCTATTTCTTGTTTATGCTGCAGCGTCTTCATCCAGGCATCACGCAGCAGCAGCACATTTACTGAGCTACAATCTCAGCATCTAGAACCAGGTGAGTAAGTTACTTGTTAGGCTATTTGTAATCAGCAGTAGAAACGGACTTTTTCAAATTAAACGGCTTATCACATATATCGATATGCAAAATTAATTTGTTTAAATCCACACCAGACACTTGTTTTTGGCACAATCAGTGCAGCATTGATTTAGCATTGAGAATATTAAATAATCTCAACATCTGAAATTGTCTCCTTAAGATGTTATTGTCAATTAGGCTGTAAATTTGTAAAAAAGGATGGACGTTAGTTTTTGTGACATTAGTGAGTCATCTTCAGGGCAGAAAGGTTTATGCCCTGAAGAAGGTGGTACCGAAATGTGTCGGTGTTTCCTTGTTTAATAAATGAAATCCTCAGAGAGCCTCAGATCACCGGTTCTTCTTCCTCATATTCTACAATTATTTGATGCTGAAGAGCACCTGAGAGTGAGACATAAGTTTTTTCAAATATTCCCCATGGATGCACTCACTTCCACCTGTTTTTGAATGTGAAAGTGGCACTGTTCTTAATTCATGCATCAGAGGGTTAAGTTGCTTTGTGTGTGTGTGTGTGTGTGTGTGTGTGTGTGTGTGTGTGTGTGTGTGTGTGTGTGTGTGTGTGTGTGTGTGTGTGTGTGTGTGTGTGTTTATTTTCTCACAGAAGAAGAACCCAACACCACACCAGCAGACTCAGTGCTCCAATCCAACAGCCTGAAGAGACGCCATCATCAGCTTCAACAGATGTCTGTGAACATGTATGAGCTGCTGGCCCCATGGATCCTGCTGACTGGCCACAGCAGTTGAACAAAATGGAAAGTAGAACTTTCTTCATGATGACACTTTGATGTTTGAGTTTTGCTTTTGATTGCACAATTGTTGATTTTGCACCCCCCCCCAATGACATTTGCACAACATTTTGAGTTGTTGGCTATTGTAATATTCCCAGGTTACTTATCTTTCAAGCTTACATTTATTCTTCAGGCTGTTGACTTTAAAGAGTTGCTGTGTGAATATTTAAAATAAAAAATTAGTAACTAAGGAATAACTGTGGAGTTGCTTTTTCCAATGTGTGGACTTGGGTTTGGGTGAGAGGCGGGGGGGGGGGGGGGGGGGGGGGCAAATGGGCACTCTCGCCTTGGGCACCAAATTACCCAGAGCCGGCCCTGGGTATTATCGCGGTATTTTTTTTTAAACGTGCTACATTTTCACACAATTAAATAAACCCTGTAAGTCAGGAAATATTGTCCTCAGTTTGTGTCTAAATTTTGCCTAAAATGTGTTATTTTGTAATTATGTTGTTTATTTGTTTACATTTTTCCCTTTAGTCTTTAAAATACCAATATTTGCCCATAACTTCTTATTTTATGTCTATTTGATGTCATCATTTTAAAAATATTAGATCAGATGATACTCAGTACTCAAGTAGCCTTCTAATCAGATACTTTTTTACCCTTACTTGAGTAATAAACCCTATATCAGGAAAATATCGTCCTCGGTTTGTGTCCTTCCAGTGAGCTTTGCACATCTGGGAAAATGTCATAAATTCATAATTATTCTCGGAGAGAGACCAACTCTTATCTGCCCCTGGGAGTCCCGTAATGCATAGCGTCATTTCAACATGGTGGTGTCCGCGACACGGTTTATATGCAGGTAGCGGCGCTGCGGCTGCTTTATATAGCGACTCGTTGCATTCTCCCTCAACCCAAATCCTCGGATCACGCATTTTAGCTAAAACGCTAACGTTAGCTTGCCTTGTGTTGCCTGTAGAGTTGTGGGTGATGGTCACGCAGATGTGTCATGAGATTTGAAGCATTGCTGCCTTTCACAGACATTTTTTCTGCACGTGCTGCAAACAGGATAGCCGTCTTCTATCAACTGTCCTTCGGCATTCTTCAAATATCCAAAAAGAGCCCGTACTTCCCACTTTGTCTTCTTTGAGGGATAATAAATGTCCTGAGCGCTGCCGTCTCCTCCTTTGGCCATTATTTCAGCTTTAGCTTCAAGAAAGTTTTGGTTGTAAACAACAAAGTGCGCATGTGCCGCCGGCAACTTCAGCAGATGGTACGGTGGCTGGTAATGGTCACCGCGCCTACACCGCAGCCACGGTAATCCACCGAGATAATAGTTTTTTTTTTAAAACAAGACGGTTATTATTATTGTCAACTTTTTTACTGGGGTTTACCACTGCACCGGTTACCGTGACAACCCTACGTCCAAGTGCTCCAAAGTTGGCACCAAAGCTGTTTCAAACAAACTACCACTATCCTTGTTGTGTCGCTCAGTTGCAGTAACATCCCATCCACAATACCGATAGAGCGCTGTGATTGGCAAGAGACACAACACTACTTGGACCAGCTGAGGCTCTAATGAGGCGTGACTAGACCGACACCCATTTTGCTTCAGCTACTGTCCATCTATGTTTCTAGGCTATGCTTGAACAGCGTTTCCCAAGAAAATACACTATACATTTAAATGAGGTCATTTAAATGATAACGGACTTGCATTTGATATAGGGCCTTTAAGAGCCCCACAACCCCCCAAGGTGCTTTTCAACACAAACAGTCATTCACATCTTCACTAACCGGTGGTGAGCTACATTGTATTCACAACTGCCTCACACTGACAGAAGCAAGGCTGCCGTATAAAGGTGCCACCAGCAGTCAAGACAGGTGAAGTGTCTTGCCCAAGGACACAACCACTGCGACATGCTGTGTGGGACTTGAACCTGTAACTCTCCAGTGACAGAGTGGGCACCTAACTCCTCTGCCACCTTTGCTCTGTCACGACCTCAGTTCTTACATTGGGTACAAATCAGCTTTTATTTATTTCATCTGGAGAAGGACTTGCCTCATTCTCCTCCTCATCAGACCTCACAGCAGATGCTTTGGTTAGCTCGGCCAGTAATCCTGGAGTCAGAGTTTTGACAATAGCATCCAAGTCAAAGTGGTGGGACAATGACCTGACTCCTACAACAAATGAAAGCAGAGCAGAGTCAGTCTTGGTGTGGTTCAGGGCTGTTGAACATCAAACGTATATATATATAAAAAAAGAACAATAAAAACTCAAGGCGAACTCCTCTGCTTGAAGCAAAGACTCAATCCAGAGGGAGATGTCCACCTTTGGAGGACCAACCTGATGATTGGACAAGTTTCCTTGCCAGTCTCTCAGTACTGGTTGACCTCGCTCTTTTAGGGGTGGATCCATCTGAAGGCGACCGTCGGTCCCGAGATCTCCTGGACCGTTTCTTGTCCTTGCTCCTAGATGAAGACCTTTCATGGCTGAAACATGAATAAAAACTCAAGTTTTTGTAAAAGTTTTATTTACCAAAAGATGGCACCACTAGACGGTAAGCAGAGACCTGCGACTGCTGCGTCTCCTCCTTTTGCTCTCAGAGCCACGGTGACGACTACGGGAACGGGATCTCCTGCTGGACCTCCTTCTGCTGCGACGATGCTGTGGGCTGTGTGAACGTGAGCGGGAACTGCTCCTGGAGCTCTCCCTTAAATGCTTAGAGCCATGGTGGTGGCGGGGGCTGCGTGAACGTGCTCGTTTATTAGCTTGAGTACTAAAAAGACGATTAAAAAAATGGGGAAATACACATGAAATAACAGAGGAGAGCTGCTGTGGTTCGTCTGAATAGAAATAAATCTACCTGACTGGTGTCTGCTCACCATCCCACTGTGGATATCTGAGGAAAGATTATTAAAATGTTATTAAACATTTTAAAACAGGTCACAGAACAGAAAAAGCTGCCATACCGTTTCTGTTGAATCTACTGCACAAAATAAAGCAGTTTTCAAACACTTTTATTACAGATCAACAAAAGTTTTCATTTTACCATTATAATATATTCCATTGTAGTTACGCTTGCTAAGACAAAGAGGTCTGCAAATGATGCATGCAGTAGACGGAGCTAGCATAGTTCTGCGTTTGGTCCTGCTAGAGCCAACATTTCTAAATTGCTGATATTAATGAGGTTTGAGACATGCAGATTTATGGAGGTGCGTCTGCGCTTTTCTCAGAACACGCAGTCTCTCCAAGGCCATTTTACATAGGGAAGCAGGTCAGAGACGCCAGACCTTTCGGTATGTTAAGCGCCCCAAGCTGCCTAGTAGGGATGAGCCGGATACTCGTTTGAGACGAGTATCCGGTACGGATACAGCATTTTTGACGAGTACGAGCATGAAACGAGTAAAACTCGTAAATATCTGTAATCGTGCTGAAGGAAAATCCTCATTGGGTAACTGACTGTCTTCACGCTCTGTGATTGGCCAGTCACATAGAGCGCCCGCCCCTCCCTACATATAAAACTCTGCACCGGGAGCTCAGTCCGCGTCTGGTCCATCCACGCACACACACAGACAGTAAGGGATCTCTCTGTGCTTGCTTCACTGTTCATGTTTCTTCAGTACTCCCTAGGTTTTCTTCAGTTAGCTTCTTTTTAAAGTTATTTAAAGTTACTTTTTTCGTAACGTACGTGGTGCATTTGACACGACCGAGCTGAAAACAGCTCGTGCTGCGTCAGTCACTGCCTCCGCTCTGGTCGGGTGTTTTATCCTCTCTCTCTCTCCTCTTCCTCAGGATCCACTCCCTCTTTCCTATTCACTCTCTCTTTCTTTACATTTTTTTAATCACAATTGTCTATTTTTTGCTCATTTTAAATATATTTTAATCATTTTCTAATTTTTTTTCTATTTTACATGTTTTGTTTTTGTGAAGCGCCCCGTGATTTTTATCTTGACAGGCGCTATAGAAAAGATCTTTTCTTCTCTCTCTCTCTTAATTCATGCACTTAAATAATAATGTTCTGATTTTATTGAAAAACTTGTTCTGTAATAGTTCCTTTACTATTGTGATCAAAAACATTTAATCTCAACTCTGAGGCTGCTCTGTAAATAGTTTTCAAATAAACAATACACATAGCAACTTCTGATCAGACTTAAAATTACGTATTGATGTAAACCACACCCACTTCCAGTTAAAGTACACCCACTTCCGGGTTAGGCCACGCCCACTCCGAGTACAGATACAGATAATTTAGATGGTTGAACAGATACAGATGTACTCGCTCATCCCTACTGCCTAGTGTCAACCAAAAGGTACCGTATTTTCACGACCATAGGGCGCACTGTGTTATAGGGCGCAGCTTCAGTTACGGGTGTCTTTTTGGTATTTAACACATACAAAAGGCACACCGGGTTATAGGGCTCGAGCACGGTAAAACGTACCAGTAAAACATCTGTGCGGGCTCGGAACATATCAGTGCAAACCAGACATTGTGAAAATTATAAACAGCCAAAAGCATGCTTCACTTTACTGGTCTAGTCCTGGTTCAGACCTGGTTTAGAGCGCACGTGCACTTCCTCATTGCGTGCGCTGACGGCTCGTGCTCTTCTAATGGGCTCGACACATGGGAGGCAACTTCGCCTCCCCTCCATTCATTTTCAATGAGACATGCGCAACAAAGCGATAATCGCGGGTCTCCCTCCTACTAAAGCCGGGCGTACACCGGGAGTGCTGCAGGAGGTCACACAGGGATTTATGGGGGTTGGATGAGGAAAACGAAATAAAGAAAGTAAATCTGTGTTTTGTGATCAGTTCAATTTGACAGGAACACGACAAGCACGCTTTCTTGACAATATTTGAGTAAAAAAACGTGTAGAAATAAAAACGAACAGCGTGTGTTATTAGGGAAATAGCGGGCGAGCGGTGTTGATGCAGGATTGCGCATGCGCCGTGAACGGTTCGGGTACTTTTTGGGTCGCAGCTGCTCGCAGCGCCGCTTCAAGCACTGATGCGCTTTGTTGAAGTTCAGAATGTGTTTAGTTGGTGGATTTAACCACATAAACTTTCCACATGAAGAAAATCATATGTGTGTTATTAATAGGCCTAAGAAAATAGTGTGATTAGAATTGTGTTTTATTAACCCTCTGGGGTCCATGGACGCGTATCCGTGTCTTTAGATCAGGTCTGATTTGGGACGCTGTGGCAGCAAGACTCCGCCTCCCCGAGTTTCGGTTTCAATTCAGCTTTAAAAAGGAGATTATAAACTACATCCCAGTTTTTAAATGTTAATAGGCAACGTAAAAGCGGAGTTATACTAAACTAAAAAACGACCTATTTTTAGACGATCTGGTAACTTGTCAAAACAGCAGTTTAGTAATCCGTGAGAGGGAACGTGCTTGTGAACATAAAAAACCCCACAAAAACATGAGATCCTTTTGCTGTTGGTGGAAGTCTCACCAACAGCAAAGTATCATTATGTAGCTGAGAGAGAGAGGAAGGCTGCACGAGTAACGAGATGTGCGCAAAAAGGAGTCGCTTCGCGGGGAAAGGAGTGGCGTGAACGGCGTAACAACAAACAATTAGACAGATATTGACGGTAAACTTCATATTTTGGAGCGATCCGGACAGATATATTGTCTCTGCAGTTTAGTCGGCTTTTATTAGGCTTTAATAAAGGATGATGAGAAGGATAAATGTCCACCAGGCAGTTCAGATAGTACGGCTGTTTTTTGAACTGGAAGCAGAGGAAGTGGACGGAGACTCGCAGCCGGAGTCTGAGGCAAACAGCGAGGATGTTGATGACGATGTGGCAGATCCACCCTTCCTCATAGAAGAGTTGGGTCATGATGAGGTAGAGGATGAAGGCAGAGATCCAGCTCCTCGGAGATCCAACAAGAGGAGTGGGCGGCGCCGCTCAGCTGTCAGATCTCGATCTCTGCGGCGTGAGACAGTGCCACTCCCCACTCCAAAATGCATGTACATTATTGCCAAATTAATAAAATAAGTATAAATTCAGATAGTCCAGGTTGTCCTGAAAAAAATGATACCCCATAAGGCAATATTTATTGTTTTTATTAGAAAATACAAAAGAAAAACCTAAACGAGTCAAAAACGGTGATTTACACCATGGACCCCAGAGGGCTAATAATTATTTAAAAAATGTGTTATTTGCTATTTTTATTCATATTTTTTTTATAAACGTACAGTCTAGATTACCATTCTAAATTATAAAAAACATTCGTCATGTTTGTTGGTTTCACAGTAACTCACAGAGGAAGTGGACGGAGACTCACAGCCGGAGTCTGAGGCAAATAGCGAGGATGTTGATGACGATGTGGCAGATCCACAGGTCTGTCTTCGCTCACGTCCGCACGTTCACGCCACGCCACGCCCCTCGTCTTCTACTACGTTCGCATCTCACAACAACACAATAGGCAGGGCGCGGCGTACATTTGGGAGAAAATTTAAGACTTTTAGGTGCGCCTTATGGTCGTGAAAATACGGTAAATGCGGTTTTGAATTCTAGGACTCCTTTAAGGTCAGCAGTGTTTTGATGGGAATTCACGACTGTCTACAGGAGTTAGCAGAAATAAAACACAAGACACGAGGAAAACACTGACCGTCTCCGCAGGGACTTGCAGTTCTCCAGGTGAAGGGGTATATTCTGGTGGGCAAGCCAATCCTGGTAGTTGGAACAACAAACAAAAAGTTAACAGTGCAGTTTTATCACACCTGTATCCAGTTCAGATCGCCATCCTAAAGGTGCTGACTGGAACGTTCTAAAAGCCTAATATTCATGAAAGATGGATAGGTTCCACCTTGGGAACAAAAACAAGAAAAAGACAGTTTGCAAACACAAAACCTGCCAAAATACAAATTTCCAAACAAGGAAGGGGTGGAGCAAATTCTTTCTACTAAATAACCACATTAAAATGAAAGACATCTAAATGGGGGCACAAAGGATGGGCTGGCCCACTTACCATTAAAGTATCACATTTTGTTAAACACAGAGAGCAAACATGTGGAAACATAGTCGGGGTGGTTGCCGCATAGTCATTGATGTTGACCAGGGGTGGAATCCCCTTGCTGACCAGGGGTGGAATCCCCATGCAAACTGTCCCAGAGAACTGCTGGCTACCAGGAGACAGCACATAATTCGGGTATTGGAAGGCGTTTTGGTTCGGCTGCAGTAGAGGTGAAGACACTCCGATGGGCCTTTGAATGGAAGAGAGAGAAGAAACTGGTGGCATGCCAGGAAAGCGTTGAGGTAGCAAAGATTGCCCCCTTTGCAAAGTTTGCTGTTGCAGCTGTGCTTGAGCCTGCTTGACGGTTTGTAGCTGCAACTTCTGCTGCAATTGAGCCTGCCACATCAGTTGTTGCTGCTGAAATTTCTGTTGCAGTTGAGTCTGCATCTTCAGCTGTTGCTGCTGAAACTGCTGCTGTAGTTGAGCCAGTTGCTGCATTGGCTTTACTTCCTGGTTACTTTGAGTTATTTGCTTATTTTCTTGATTTATCAGCTCCTCTTTTTCTGGTTGCTTAGCATCCTCAAAAGGGTCACAATCATCGCCCCTTGCATGTTTGTCTTCTTTAAACTGACCACCAAAGGGTTTGGACTGCTGGCAACCTTGCTTTAGGTCTTGTGAAGCAACTATTTTTGAAAGTTCCACATTTAAAGGTTTAGGGTCTGTATCTTTCTTTGGAGGAGGGGCCGAGGCAAAGGTACTTTTAGAAGTTTGACTCAGCTGGGTCTGCAGTTGTTTGGTTGGGTCACTGACTGGAGGTACCACATTTTTGATCCAGCTGAAGCTGACAGGTGACTCCATCTGGCTCTGTGAAGTAACCACACCACTGGTCTTCATCTTGGATGAACCTTGTTGCAGTGGTTCTTTGTAACTACTGCTGCCAGGAGCGTCAAACTGAAGCATACTGCCGCCACTGGTCACTTTGCTCGTCTTACCAGGGTCAGTCCCAGCTGAGGAATACTTCCCAGTATGTCTATACTCAATCACTTTACTTACTTTAGTGTTTGATGGCATGCTGCTCAGGCTGTTCCCTGACATTTTAGAGCGGTCCTGCTCAATAAAGCTTGGGCCAGGTTGGAGGTCAGGGCGAGGGGCAGCTCTGTTCTGTTTCTGAAGTAAAATCTGCTTCAAGATGTGAGGCAGATTGTCAGAGTTGATCTGATCTTCCGGGTAAGAGAGGAGAATCTGCAGGTCATCTTTTTCAAGTCCAAATCGCTGGAGGATGCCAGCTGCAAGCTCTTGAGAATACCAGGTGTGATGGGCCTCAGACGGTGGACTGACATGACTGCTTAAACTACGAACTGTTTGACTACCGTGTTGTCTTTCAGTAGATGTAAAACGTCTACCATCGCTGGCGCCAGGAAAGTCAGACTGAGCAGATGATTTAGAGCTAGAGGGCTTATCCTCCATGGGTGCTTTGCAGATTTGCAACCAGTTCAAAACACTGCTGCTACTGTCAACATCAGATGTTTTAGGCCCACTAGTGCCTGGATAAGACTGCTCCTTTGTGCTTGTGAACGGTAAAATCTCCTCTCTTTGAGTGTTTATAAATGGAGAACCATGGCTCTGATGTATCACCTCCTCTCTCGCTCTGGTAACATACAAATTTATGGACTCGTTCGTTTTCATTTCTGATGGGACCATCCTCTGTTCAGGCCTGTAGGTCACCGGTAGATTTAGAAACTGTGGAAATGATCCTGGGTTGTTAGGAATTGACGAAGCTCCCAAACTGCTTGGGCTAGAACCAGGTCCACCAAGACTCATTGGTCCAGAGGGTCCATACGGGTTCTGGGGGTGATTCGGATGCCCTGGAGCATAAGGATTAGTCCAGCGGTTGGACATGATGTGAACAATCTTCTGAAGGTTAAAGAGATTGGTGACCCAACAGGGAGGGGCAAACTCTGGTCTATGGACTGTAGGACAGTTTGAGAGGGTTTGTTCTTTGAGTATTTAGTTCACTGATTTGCATGAAACCATCTTCAACAGCTGACCACTGCTGTGGGGACAGCAGCACTCAAGCAGAAGGGAAGCAAAAATAACCAAAACCCAAAAAATAAAAGCAGAAAAAAGAAGATCGCTGAGTGGGACGGCCTCTTCAACACGGAAATTCCCACATCTGGAAGACTTTGGACCACCAACTTTACACCCAGGCCGTTACTAGTGAGAGAAAACAGAAGATAAAACATTGCGAGATGTTCAACACACAGTCAAACGGGACCAACTAGAACGACATACAGAAAATCTTAATATCTCACAAACATAGGTTTAATTAGTCAAACACACGAGAAGAGATGATGGTAAACTCCAAACCCATTTTAAATAACACTTTATTGGGTAAATGAGAAAAGGCTTTTGAACAAAATATAAGAAAAAAAAAAGCAAAACAGAGAACAATGCAGCCTGGTTGGAACCGGGGTCCTTTTCAGACTCACGTCAGATCTTCATGGGATGCTACTGGGAGGCAGGCGGTGCAGCTGGACATCGGTACATCACTGATGCTGGGTGATGCTGAACTTCAGTCTGAAAAAGGTAATGAACAATCTGCTTTAACAGGCCTTTGAAATAAAAAAAAACAATCCAAGAGTTCCATAATTTGCTTTGCAGCAAAAAAAGTAAAAGTTTAGTTTATATGTATATGTCTGCAGGGGTGCAGACATACACGTATTCATTCATCAATGTAAGCACTTTGCGACAAGTCCACAGAGGGTCACGGAAACATGCCCGATGTGTTCAGAAAGCAAGCCTGTAATTGGTCACCATGCCTCTACCTTTTGATTTGTTAACAGTTTCCTTTCCCAAAAAAGGCAAAACAATCCGCATCAAGCAGCAGACATGTTGCAGGTGGAAGAAGTCCGACAATATGAACATTTATACACCCATCACTGAAGGAGGACGAAGATGAGCAGCAGACTTTTAATCTGTGGAAGGAAGTTGGTGGAAATGAGGGTTTGGAGGTGGTGACTACGTGAACAGGTGACGAAAATGAGACAAATGTGTCCCTTTTAAAAAGTCTACAAAGACACAAACGCCCTCATTGGTGTTTCAAGATGTTATCCTTGTTTTATACAAATAGCAGGTGTAAATGAAGGACTACAGTTTGTTTTAGAGTTTTGCAAGTTGCCTCCAATAAAGTTTATTAAAGGAGCACTTCACCACAGCAATCCTTCAGATATGTTCCGACAGATGTTTAGGGAGGTCTTTGACTACAAGTAGGTTTAACAGACATCAGATTCAGTCATGAAATGAAGCTCCAAGCATTCACCACCATTAAAGGGCGTGATCTGAAGAAAGTTTTGCATCCTGCTCTCTAAAATGCTCCAGATTTAGGACAAATGATGTATCCCTGTAACGAAAGAGGAGGCCTGGGGCCTTATTGTCTGGCAATGCAGACATGAGGATTGTGTGAAACCCTGTTAATGCTGGATACAAGATGCAAGAAACCGTGATTGCAGAGTTCCAACAAGGAAAGGAAAGTCAGATTTGCCAATGAGCTGAATGCCTCCAAAAACTGTCACAATCAGATGAGCCAATTATCCTCTTACAACCTTTAAAACACTCGTACTTTATTTGAGTTATCAATCTGTTCTCATTCATTCATTCATTAGTTTTCCTAACTGCTTCATCCTCACTAGGGTTGCAGGGGGGGTCCATCTCCATCAGGTGACAGGTGGGTTCCCAGTCCATCACAGGGTCGGCCACAAAGAGACAAACAGCCAGACACCTAGAGAAAAGACTCCTCTGTGTGGGAGGAAACTGGAGCATCCGGAGAAAACCTGTGCATGTGTGAGGAATATAAATTCTGAGAAAGCTCACCTAAAACAAATATTCTATTCACTTTCACGGGTGTTTTCATCTGTACAAAACTGCTTAAAGGGTTTTATTTTCTGGATCCTGGAGGACCTCTGCCCTACAGGGTTCATCTGTACTGCTGCTGCAACACACCTGATTCAATCAATGATCCATCTTTTTTGTGGCCTGTTAATCATCCAGTGAGTCAAACCAGATGTGTTGGTGCAGGTAAACACGGAAAAACAAGCAGCTGGGACCGGAGTGAATAGCGTTGTCACACAAACGCTGAATTCCAACTTCTCACATATTCAGCAAACATACGTGGTTTTCAAAAATAATTAAATTTTCATATAATTAGGGACAGGGCCAGATTAACACTTTGTTGTACCTTGGGCAACAATATTAAAGGGCCCCATCATCACGACCCAAGGATCACCATAATGTGGTCACATACAGAATATTTTACTGTAATATGCAGTAAATATACTCAGTACTTGAATACCTGACATCACGTAACCCACTCAGGGTAACCTTTGACCCACCTCGTGTGGACTGACCAATGAGAGAGGGTCTTAACTTGAGGCCGTCTCTTCATTGGTCAGTCTGCATGAGACTGACTCTCAACTGACATTCAAAGTCGTAGGCAGCGAAGCGTCTCTGAGCAGCGCAAAAGCCCAGGTGGACAGTTTGTTTAATATAGGGTGACCATATTTCCATTTCCAAACAAGAGGACAGGGGATCTGTGCCTATGACGTCACACTATGGCAACGCCACACAAACCACGTTGGGACCCATTTTTTTTGTAAGAACTAAATTAATATCAGATTCTGCCAATAAAAGGGCTCTAAAACAATTCATATGTAAATATTTTGCATATTTAATGCAAAATCTCATTTTTCTGCTTTAATGCTGCAACAAGGTTTTATTAATAATAAATTATTATACCTTTTGTTTTACTACAGCATCGGTAAGCTTCCTGTGCACAGATTATTAAGGATGCTTGTTTCAGCTGTGAGATTAGACTATAGGATCAATGAAAAAATAAGTTGTCACAAACTCCATGGAACCTTTCAGAGAATCCTCAAATAGTAGCTTTCAAATGGTTTTGTTACTTTTTGCAAGTTTAGAAAAGAAGCAGATGAGACAGCATGTCTGATAATTTAGTTTTTCATCTGATAATATTAGAACATGTCATTAATGTCTGAGGGGCTTTTACAAACACCATATAACTAACACTACTGGAGAGGGTATGGATTACACAGAGGCTTCTGGGGAGCCCAGTTATTGGGGGGGTGGGTCATTTTGCCTTGGCCCCCAAAATGCCTTGAAGGGGCCCTGGGTGTGTGAGTTTTGAAGGTGATCTGAATTGTATCAAATGTATAAATATTACATGTGTATAACTTATTGTTTTATACAGGTAAACACGTGTAGTGGAGATAAATCTACCTACATTTTACTTTGTTTTCATGTTTTTATTTAACTATTTCCTGTCCTGTCTGTCTCTCGTCTTCCTGCATCTCCTCTAAACTCTCCAGAATAATAACTGCTGCTTGGATTCTTACTTTTTCACCTCATCCGTTACTTTTGAGCAGATCAAAGGGATCTCCTGACCACATAGCGGAGTGCGCATTTCAATGCTGTGTCAGTGAGGTGGAATCACTGCAGCAGGTGATGAGCTCCGCAGTAGCAGAGCGCTTCAGGCACAAGAAAGTAGAGCACATGTGCGGACATGAACGATCGTGGGTTAATTATAGTTTTTGGGTTGCGACACTTTGAGAATGGACCGTGCGCTGGACGCAGCAGTCTGGAGCGCTGCACAACAACGATCATCGTTATATGTGCTCTCTGCCCAATAGTCCATAAATGATGTAATATAGGTAGAAAACGTTTTTTCCGGCTCCCCTGGATGTGTTTGATATCCAGCTCCCCCATAATTCGATCCCTGCTCCTGGATGAAAAGCCGAACATTTTCATCAATACAATCCGGACAGAGTGAAAAGCGGACATGTCCGGGGAAAAGAGGACGTATGGTCACCCTAGTTTAATATAAAGCGGGCGATTACAGATACAGTATTTTGCTCGTGCCCTTGCTGCCCTGGGCCCTTTCGAGTTCGTGGGCCCTGGGCCTTGATTACGGAACAAGAAGAACGGACCTTTTATTTCAAGCAAATTTTCGCCTGTTTGAAAGTAAAAACAAAACAAAACACATATTTGGTACCACCGGTTCGGGGCCAATATCGCAACGAAAAATGAAAGTAAAACAAGAGTTAGCAGACAAAATAGATTCTTTAAAAACCAATTATTCGGAGTGTAACCAGTCAAACGGCTCCTGTTTTAGCTTAGCTAACAGCTATCATTAGCCTTGCTCGTGACGTTCATAAAAAGGGTCAAAACCCTGTTAGATAAAATAAACGTTGAACAAAGGTGTCCGTGTGTGTTTTTAAATTGTTGCATTTTTATTTACCGTTAGAGTTGGAGTCGCATCTTGTAGATAATCGACGTAATTCCGACTAATCCACAGATTGGTGTCTCTTCGTCGACATTAGTTGACGGTTTCTTATCAAAGAGCTGGGGCGTTTAGCGCCCCCTCCTGACACGGACGCGGTACAGCGATGTACTGTACAGTCATTCATTCAAATTATTGAAACTTGTGTATTTGAAAGAGACATTTCTCCCATTATAATAACCAAGAACACATAAAATCCAGTTAAAATTAATAAATATATTTTTGCCATCCATCCATCCATTTCCATCCGCTTATGCAGAGTCGGGTCACGGGGGCAGTAGCCGAGAGGCCCAGACTTCCCTCTCCCCAACCACATGGACCAGCTCCTCCAGGGGATTCCCAAGGCGTTCTCTGGCCAGCTGAGAGGCATAGTCCCTCCAACGTGTCCTGGGTCTACCATTAGGTCTCCTCTTGGTTGGACGTGCCTGGGAAAACTCACCAGGGTGGCGTCCAGGAGGCATCCTGACCAGATGCCCGAGCCACCTCAACTGTCTCCTCTCCTTTTTTTGGCTTTAAATTTAATTACATTTAATGAAATGTTTTCTCCATCTACTCTATTTAAAATTGTTTTGAAGATGAGTGACAAGACTGAAAACATTTTAACGTAGTCTGTACTGTATTAAATGTTTAACAAAAGTATACATTTATAATTCTTTGGTTTCATTACAGCTGTCATAGAAAAAGATAAATTAATCATGTTTTAATTGACAAATTTTTAGAAATCAACACAATGATCTTTTTATCGCAAAGATGTGTCAGAAATACGTAGCCAAAATAATACATTTTCAGAACCTCACTTTTCTTAGGTAAGAATACGAAAATATGAGCTGGGATTGAGTACACACATCATCTCCATCGTCTGTTGCACCTGAAGATAAAGTAACATCAGCTGTAGGACAAAGTTAAACATCTCGACCAGTCTGTACTCTAGAATCTGCTGGATGACTCAGGTCTCATGCTGCCATTAGACTCAGGCCTTGAGACCTGCCAGTCCTGGCTGAAGCCATCAACTGGATGATCGGTCAGTGATCTGTCTATCCTGATCCACCCAAGCTCCTTCTGATTAAGATGAGTTATTTGATTTATGTTTATCCCAAATCATGGCGGGGCCGATCCTTAATGAAGAAATCCACCACACCGGCGTAATGACTCATGCAAATAATTTAATCTGAAACCTTAGCCATTTTTACATTCCTCCAACTAAATACAAGCAGCGTGATCGAGCTAGACCTGCGTATAATTTGCCTTTTATTTGTGAAAGGTCCATTAGTGGAAGTTGTAGTTGTTTGGAGAAGAAAGGTAAAAAGGTAAATACAAATTTAAAAACAAAAACAAGAATAAAATTGAAAAAAAGAGGAAATAAAGAAGAAAGAACAAAACCATCTACCTGATGCTCTGAAACAAAATAAGCAACTGGTTGTTTCTGCGTCACACGCACGACAGGAAGTTAAAGAAAACCCGGAAGTAGATCGGCATTTGTTAGCCAAGGCTAAGCTAACGTAAACGCAGACGAAAGATGACGGACTCTTCGCTTCTCAGCTCTGAGCTGGAGTTACAGCAACAAGAGGAATTATATCAGCAACTGCTGCTACAGACGATGGGAAAGCTGCAGGCAGAAGCTCCGGAATCCAAAGTTATCCGACCTCAACCCGGCATGTGTGTGAAGACCTTCTCCGAGGCGGACAAAGAGAAGGTCTTCATCAACATCTGTCACTCCAGCTCGGTCCCACCTCCACCAGAGCTCAGCCGAGAGGAGCTGACGGCGCTGCTCCAGTCAGAGGATCCCAGCGGCTACAGAGTTCCCATGAGCCTCGGAGAGCCTCACCCAGAAGTAGACAACAACAGTCAGGCGTGCACAGCTTATGACGTTGTCGTCAACCAGGACTTCTTCCACAAGTGTCAGAAGGATCCTCTGTTCCTGCAGTTCTTGATTCTGGTTTCTGCTGAGGGTTTGGAGAACAAATACAGCCTGGAGCTAAGCAGGGACTGGAAGGTGCTGAAGAACAGGAAGTTCCTGGGTTCTGTCAGTGAGCAGAACATCAGGACAAAGAGCAGGCCAGTGATCCAAGAGCTTCAGACTCAGAATAACTCCACGTGCACAGCCAAAAGGCCGGATTTCACCTTGTTTGTGGAGCCCCGTGGTGGGCAGATGGAGTACCTCACTGCAGAGATAAAGCTGCCTGGAGTGGCTTCATCACACGCTTTGGTTCTGGATGTCGGAGAGGACCAGCTGGTGTTGAGCGCCCGGCCAATGCTCTACCATCTGGACATCTTCCACCCTTTCCTCATAGACCAGGAGCAAAGTGAAGCCCAGTTCAACAAGCACACTCAGATCCTGACTGTCACTATGCCCGTGCTTTCATCTGCTTGAAACTTTTGTCCACTTCTTAATTTTTTCCTTCCAAATGTTTTTAAAATCCATTAAAAAATATTCAAATGAAGATTTCTCGTGCTGTCAACTTGTTAAATGCAGTTTTCGGCTTCATGATTTGTTGAAGTTTGTAAAATGTTTTCCTTCTAATGCCATCTAATTAGTTTTAAAGCTCATTACTTAAGTCTGTACTGGAATAGGCCAACGCACGTTTACAATTTCTCGGTTTAAAGCTGAGACAGACTAATTCAAGAGTCATGATCTGATCCGCAGAAGTTCATGTTTTAATTGACCAAAGGTCGGTTTCATTACTTTGATGTAAAGGCGAGTGTCAGAAATAATCTTAAAGGCAAAATAATAATTGTAATCTGAATATTTCAGAACCTCACTTTTCTTAGACAAAAATGAGAACATGAGCTGTGATTGAGTTCACACATCATCTCCATCTATCAAAAGCTAAAGTAACATCTGCTGTAGGACGTTTAAACATCTGGACCACTCAACTCATCAGATTAAGAACCTCTTTAGAATTTGCTGATGGCTCAGATCTCACGCTGCCATCAGACCTGCTGCCAGCCCAGAAGACGAGACCTTACCATCAGCTGGACGATCTGATCTGTCGGTGACCTTTCTGTCCTGATCCACCCAGGCTCCTGACCGAGATTGGTTAATTGATTGTTGTTAATCTCAAGTCATGGTTGAGCCGATCCCTTAGCTAATGAAGGAATCCACTACACCTGGCACCCTAAAGAGGATGCTTTCTGGTTAGGCATTTTAAATTCTGAGGGTGAAACCTGAACCAGTGTCCACAGATTCATCAGCTGCTGTTCTTCTGCAGCATCCAGCTGATTGTCAGCGTCCGTCATGCTTCCATATGTTTTTGAACTTTCAGCTCCTGCAGCATCTGAACTGTCTGTTAAGACTCTGAGGTTCTTGTGTAGTCGTTTCTGCTTTGGGGCTTGAGATCTTTTGCTTCTCTAGTAGATAAAGACTCAAGAACGGGAAACATCTGACTCTCAGCAGGAGATCTGGGAAGACGAAAAGGAAAGGAAATTTTTCAATTAATGACAAAATGTGTTTGATTAATATAACCATTAAAATATAAGAAATTAAAAGACACAATACAATTTAAAAGCCCCTTCATGAACGTGCAGCCAAGAACCAGTGCACCCAGCCCAGAGGGTGACCGGTGTCCCAACGTGCTAGAGCTAAGCCTGGCCAGGCTTTCACCCGTCCAGCTCGGCCTGAACTGGATACATGGGCTTGTCCACCTGTGGACCCGCCAGCGCCAAGAGGAATGTGGATCGGGGCATAGACCAAAGCTGAGGCTTTGGCAATCTGACCATCAGACGCTATGGCTTTAGGGACATGGAACGTCAACTCTCTAGTGAGGAAGGTGTTTGAGCTTGTGGAGGAGGTTGAGCGGTATCAGAAAGAGTTAGGCCCGCCTCAACACATTTATTTATTAACTAATATTTTTAAAGGAGGATAAAACCACTTGAGATGAATCATCTCATTTACAAGTGGGATCAAATAGAATAAATTGCATGAACAAATGGACTAAAAAACATTTACATAAAAATATGACCACAAACGACACACCTAAATGGTAGAGAGACAATACACAGCTCAGAGATTTAGGATAAAAAGCATAGCATGACTAAGTGGGGGCAGCATCCCAACTAGGGAGTTCCAGACCGTCCTCTCCCCGGCAACCTTCACCAGCAAATCCAACAGGACCCCAAGGCATTCCTGGGCCAGTTCGGAGATGTACTTTCTCCAGCGTGTGCCGTTTTCCGGTCGAGAACCATGGTCTCAGACTTGGAGGTGCTGATCCTCATCCCAGCCGCTTCACACTCAGTTGCGAACCTCCCCAGCAAGAGCTGTAGGTCAGAGCCTGATGAAGCTAGGAGGAGCACATGATTCGCGCAAAGCAGAGACGAGATTCTCCTGCCACCAAACTCCACAACCTCAACACCACTCCAGGGTGGGACCCCGGTAACCCTTTGGGCCGGGTACTCGGGCTATTTGATTTCACTTCCACGAAGTCTTCTGGTGTTGAGGGTGTGGAGTTATTTTGAGAGGCGTTATATAAAAAAAGTTTCTTCTTCATTTTATTTTTTGTGTATTCAGCAAAACAGGGGCGTGTCCGGGGAGTGGCCTGGGGTGGCACATGCCACCCTTGGAATCTGATTGGACACCCCAGGTGCCACCACACTAATTTACCTTTAAATAGGCTTTTCATTGTCCACAGAAGGCTTGGGCGTAAAACAATAAAAAAAGCATAACCATTGGTGCCACCCATGCACAAAATTGTGCCTCACCTGGGCCACCCCATTTTAAAAGATCTGGACACGCCACTGCGGCAAAAATAAATGACTAAGCACCATTTTATACTGAAAAATTGCCTTTTCCTCCAGAACTATTCAGAGCAATTTCAGTCCAACGCAGTAAAGCTTTTTGCTACATTATAAACACATTAGTGTAAAACCTCACTAACCTTAGTGCTGAAATTTATGTAAAATATTTTATTTTAAAGGGAGACTAGGCAGTTTTGGTTTGGTTTTGCCCCCCCCTCCCATGCGTCCGTTTAAGGGAACCAAAAGTAAAACGTATCTCCTCGCTGTGCGTTTGTCTTTTTAACACCTCAATCTAACAGCTGAAATGTCCCCCCAGGCTTCATTAGTGTCTACAAGAGTGATTCATCACTAATCCAGCTGTGTTCATGAAGGACTGAAACATCTGGCTTTGCATGTAATGAGTCCGTCTTATATTAATTTCACCTTTTAATTACCGAAATAACTTAACCTTTGTACCACAATTTTTCCAGTTCATGTGCATTAAGTTTAAGAAATCATAAATAAAAAAATGTTTTATGTACGGTTTGTATAGAATCCTTCATATCTTAAATATGTTTGCTGTAAAGGATTAGAGTAGTACAGCAGCGTATTACCATCAGTGAGGGGGAAATATATAAATAAAGGATCAGTGTCTTGTAAAAACGAAAAAGTCTCTCATTTATATGAGATAATGATGCCAAACCAAAGTGGTTGGTGTGTTTTTATTTTTATTTTACTGATCAGTAAAAAGTCCACCCTGAAGGTCCTGGAGTCAGAAAACAAAAAGATCACATTTTAATTTCAGTTCAGCTTCATAGAGCTTCAGATTTTTGAGAGCGTCGCGTCATCATCCTTGAAAGTTTTTGTTGCTCGTCGGTTTTCTGATAGTGTTTCTGAAAACAGAAGAAACGTTAAAGAATAAAATAAAATAAAAAACAGGTGAGGTTTGTTGGACTTTTATTACCTGAACGTTGTCGTAATGCGTTTTGCTGCTGCAGTGCAGGTCCTCCTCGGTGTCCTCACACACGTAGAAGACCGAGCAGAGACGACAGAAGTATCCCGTCTTACGGACGACAAACTCCATTCCTGAGGAAGAGCACGGAGAAGAACGTGGAACCGGATGTTCAAACTGGAGCCGGCGTTCTGTGTGTGAATGTTCCTCACCGTAGAAAGCGTTTGGGTCGTACGGCTGCAGTCTGGCGTCGGCAGCCACCTCCACACATTTTTCCAGTTGTTCAGCAGGAATAGTCCTTGGTTCCACCTCCACCTTCATCTCCTGCAGCTTTGGCTCACCTGACTGAGAAGAGTCTTTGTCCAGAATCGAGGAGGAAGTGAGTGAAGCAGGAGCCAAAGACTTGTTTTCATCTTCTTCTCTTGTATTTTCGGCGCCCTCGGTTTTCACCGGAGCAGATTTTCTGACTGCAGATGAGATTAAAAACATTTCAACTGTGTTTTTAGTTTAGTTTGTCCAGATCTGGGCGTGTTTATGTTACCAGGAGCCTTTCTCATCTTTCTCCTGGGTCGAACTCTCCTTCTGGTGATTGCTCGATTTTCCTCTTCAAGTTGTTTGACCTCCTCTGCCACCAGGGTCATCTCCTCTAAAACAACAAACAAATCAGACGTGAACCACATTAAGGGATTAAAGGGAGGATGACCTTGTTACAGATGAGTCTCTGTAACTACAAACACACCGGATCTGATGAACTGAATCCATTACGCTCATTTAAACATGCGGTTGTGAATCCTCGACTTATCGGTATTAGCCAATTACATGCCCATCTCTAAATTACCCTTCTTGTCAAAAAGCGGGTTACTGATATAGGTGATGCAGTACTGCTACTACTCCTCTACACAGTTGATCATGACAGACTCGAGAAGTGGGTGGGTATTAAGGGAGCAGCCTTGAATAAGTGAGGTCTTAACTATCTGGGAGAAACTTCTCAGTAAGTGTAGGAGGGTTTGCATCTGCACGTACGGACCTCAGTTGGGGGTTCCATAGGGACCTGTTCCTGGTCCTCTACTTTTCTACCTCTACCTTCTCGCTCTTGGTGCTCTTTTTCGCAAGCACAAAGTTAATTTTCACTATTGCCGGGTGTACCTGCCCTTGGCTCAAAGTGCTACTACCTCAATCCAGCCTTTGTTAGATTGCATTGTTGATGTGAAATCTTGGATGGCTTTACATTTCTGAAGCCCCAAAGAGGACGAGACTGAGGCCATCGTGACCAAATGACAGGCAGGCAACTGCTCATCTCTGTGGTGACCCCCGAGTTGGCCCCATCCCAAGAAAATGGCTTTTACGAACCTGGGAGTTATTTTAGACAGTGCACTGAAGTTTGATAGTCAAGAGAATGATACAGTGAAGACCTTTACACTTTTGCCGTATTGCCAAGATCAGACTATTCTTGTCTAAATGATCACTAGAAACTTTATTCATGCCTTCATCATCTCCAATTACTACTGTCATTCTGTCATGTAGGTGTAATGGGCTCGACACACGGGAGGCGACATCGCCTCTCCTCCATTCATTTTCAATGAGACATGTGCGACAAAGCGATAATCGCGGGTCTTCCTCCTACCAAGCGAAACGCGAAAAACGTGCGTGTGAAATTTTGCGCTCGTGCACGTCTCGTGCACAGGCGACCCAGCGACGCGATCCCAGAAAGTTGAAATATTTTAAACTTTTCATCGCTGTCACTCGGACGAGGACCAATCAACGGAGGTTTCATTCACTGACCAATGAGCGGACAGGATGCTCCGCACATCTCCGAGCAAACATGGAGGAGAGGTTGATATCTGCTGTGACGGATTTCCCAGAACTGTACAATATTTCTACCAAAGAATATAGATATACCGTAATTTCCGGACTATAGAGCGCACCTAAATATAAGCCGCACCAGCAAAAAAAAAAAAAAAAAAAAAAAAAAAAAAAAGGTTTTCTACACACACACACTCTGCACTCGAATACAAGCCAGCAGCCACATGCAGGTCTCTGGCGCACAGCACATGTATGGCCATAACACAAGATAATTAGACAGAAAGACGCTACACGGAGGTTTTTCGTTGTTGTTTTAATTCAACAAAACGAATGTTAAACACGGGTGAACGTGCCTGCAAGTTTAGAAAACAGCACTGATAGCATTCATATTTCTGGATGGTTATAAAATAAAAACAGCACTGACACGTTATTACCGGTAATTTGCATGCATGTTTAGAAGAAAAGAACAGCGCTGATACAGCATTAATAAGCCCTGGATGATTAGAAAATAAAAACTGCACACAAAACATGCCTGGTTAGAAATGATCTGCACAGTGGAAACACCTCGGCCGTCTGCTCTTTGTGTGTTCACCCCGTCTTCAAGAATGTTTTCCTCTTCCGGCCATCTGCTTTTATTTCCTCTGAAAGCTTTTGTCGTTTTTTTTACATTGACTGAGCTCTTCCCGCTGATGCCTCCAACGTCACACCATTGATTCATTTGCGCCAAGCTCCCATGCAGTGGCTCTGTTTCCTTGTTTGATGGCCAGATCGATCGCTTTTAACTTGAAAGCAGAAGCATATGCATTCGTCCGCGTGTTTTCCATGACGAGGGTGTGTTGATGTGTAAACGTGCCGCTTTAAATCAAAGAGCGTCTTCTTCCATGCATAACGTTTTGCCATGCCTGTCTCACTTTACTGCTGGAGAGTGCCTTTAGTGGTTGTTGGCCAACAAAAATCTACATATGAGCCGCACCATGATACTGGCCGCAGACTTCAAAGTAGAGCCCTAACTGTTTTCTTCATCCCGCTCCTGCCCGCTCCCGCTGAATTTCTGACAATTACTGCCCGCAACCGCAACGTGTGTTACACTCCCGCCCGCACCCGCAGCGTGCATGTCTACTCCCGCCCGCAACCGCCAAACTCGGAGAAATTATTACCTCACAATAAAAGAGATGTATTGAGTTTGCGTCCTCTGTGGTCCTGGAGAAAACATGTCACAACCCACGGCTCTTCCATCCATCTGATGCGGCTCTCTGTGCTTGTAAAATAATGAATGGATATTTAAATAAAATGCTTTATATTTTACTGCATTAATTTTATATCTGTAAGTCAATTCTATGTAAAGATTGTCTGCGTAAACCTGAACAGGCCCAACCCAGTCTTACTGTGAGACCGGGTTGACGGGTCACGCTTGTGCGTAATCATATCGGCGCTTCCTGAACTGAAGAGGATGCGAGATTCTGGGATTCTCCTCAGACGGCTCCTGGATGCGTCGCCACATTGGAGACAGGAACAAGCGCTATTCAGCCAAAGGTTCATAATCAGGGAACATTTTCTAAGTGACAAGTCTCTCTGAGAGACAGGGTTTGGAAAACACTCGCTTCAGTGGGAGGAACCTTCCCGCATGCGCTCTGGTTCTGCGACACGCTCCAAGCCCCTCTCCACAACTTCAGCTCGCTGTGCACATATGCACTGACAGCGAGCTGCGCTGACAGCGAGCTGCGCTGAGCGGTGTCCAGCTCAGATGTTCAAATGGGAATCTTTTCTTGGGTGATTTAGCTACATCTGCGATGTGCGTAACGAATAAAATGTCAGTTCGTCTGCATGCGTCGGGGTAATTCTTTCTATTCTTTCTCCGTCAAAATAAACGGTCAAATACGGGAACTATCCGGTCAACACAAGCCCTGCTTTTAACTGTTTTGTTTTCTTGTGAAAATTGTTGGAAAGAGATAAAATTTAACTTGATTACCACCAGAGCCAGTGCGCCGTTATCTCCGTGACGGTAAATGAGGGAAAAACAAATTGATCGGATCCTGCACGTCTTTTAACACATTGGTCAGGATTGACGCACTTTGTTTTCATTTAGTTTTTAACCCTTTAACGCCGATGCGTCACAAGGATCACCGGTGACGTCTCGGCGCATGTGATTTCAAATAACTCCTCGCTACTTAAACTATAAAATTCTTTAAAAAAAAACATAAAGGAGCTACTGTGTGGTGCTTAAAGGGTTCTCTTCTCCTCAGTAATCAGGCAGTGATCGAGGTCGCTTTTCTAAGAGAGACCTGAATGAGAAATATTAACACAATCGGAGAAACTCCTCCAAATGTCTGACTTGCCTTGCTTTGGTTTTTGTGTCATAAAGACCTTGTTTCAGCTTCTTTTCGACATCAGTTGCCGACTCCATCATACTCATCCCGATCCCGCACAGTTTCTTTTAGTCGACCGTTCCCGCCCGCAGCAAAATTCACACCGCCTGCCCCCGCAAGATTTGTGTTGGGTCCCGCGGGACCCAATCCCGATGCAGCCCTCTACTGCAAAGCACAGGGAAATAATAGCGGCTTGCAGGCCAGAAATTACGGTATTCACAAAAAAGCCGCTGCATGGAAAACTGTTGGTGCCAGAATGAAAAGATGGTATTCTCCGTTTCTTTCTCTGGTTTGTAATATGGGATGAACCCATTCTCTGGGGTTTTTTAAGTTTTATACAGTAAAATCAGAAGAATATTTCACACAACTCTAGCAGCACCTTGTGAAACAAACATAAACATCATATCTACCGCTTTTTTTTAACTCTGAACCACTTAAATAACCTTAATTCCCTCCAACCTGACACAGCCAATCAAAACAACGGAAGATTTGATTTCACCATGGAACAGAACGCGTCGATGGCTTTGCCGCTGGCCGCTGCCGCCTCCCGTGTGTCAGGTAATAAATGCGCCAGCGACAAATTTCGCCGATCGCGGTCGTTTGTCGCCTCCCGTGTGTCAAGCCCCTGAGCCAGAAGGCCATTATGAGACTCCAGAAGGTCCAGAACAGCACGGCCTGTTTCCTGATGAATACACCAAGGCGAGCACATATTACCTCAGTTTTGGCCTCCCTCCACTGGCTCCCGATCAGCCACAGAATTAAGTCCAAAATGCTACTTCTTGTATTTAAGGCCCTGAACAGTATTGCTCCCACTGTATGTGAGAGCCATGCTTAATGATCACGCCACAGCCCGGTCGCTCTGTTCGGCTGATGTGAATCTGCTAGTTGTTCTGTCCTCCAGACTCAAACGACGAGGGCATCACGCTTTTTACCTTCTGGCTCCAACTTTGTGGAATGCCTTGCCCCTGAACGTTGGGCAGCCCCCACCCACTGTTTTCTTTAAGCCAAGTCGGCAAACTTTTTATTTTTCTTTAACCTTCTGTTGAGCTGAATGTAGCGTTAACCTTTTTGTTTTTAGATTTGATTGTGTATTAGATTCTATTTTGTTGTGTTTTGATTAAATTTTAGAATTACTGTCATGCGTGTGTGTTTGTTTCATGTTGTGAAAGGAAACTTTGGTCTCCCAACGGGACGTGTGGAAGTGCGCTGACTTGGCACAACTGGACAGGCGACCAACAACGGATGAATCATAAATAAACTGAAATCCTCGTCATCGTCACCTTTAGGCGTTAAACTTCTCTCGGCGCTCTTGTTGTCCCGCTCGTCTCCCTCCTGTTTGTTCAGAGCCGGCATCACCTAGCAACAAACAGGAAGTTAGGCAACAAACTTTCTGTTGCTCTTCCACCAAGACAGAAAACACGTTTGTGTTCTCACCTCCAACTTCAACCAGTCTTCCTTGTTGCCTTTGTCGATGTTTGCTCTGGTTTCTGTGTCTCCTGGAACAGAATCTTCAGTTAACTCCGCCCTTTCTCCTGTAGCTCCATCCTCTCCACGTGCCTCAGAGCTTTGACGCATTTGGTTTTGGTTTTTGGGTGATTCGCTCCTCCTGGTGGATCCATCGTCTTCTCTGGTTCCTCCTTTAACCTCATCAGGCTCCCGCTCTTCCTGTACTTTTACAGAATCGGCTGCTTGTTCTGGATTTGAATCTTCCTGAACTGGTCCATCACGGCTTTTGGAGAGCTCGTCTTTGAAGCCTTTGGTTTGAGTCTGATTATCAAATGAATCTAAGATCTCAAAGTAATCTGGCAGAAGGAAAGAAGCGTCAACGTCTTCCTCATCAGACACCAGCCCTGGCTGGGTTTCGGCACCGTCTGCTAGCTGATCCATCCCAGCTGTTTCTGCAACAGCACCCCCTGCTGTGGAGTCCAGTTCAGGAGCGGAGATGGGGAGATTCCCGTCTTCTGGACGTGCTTTCTGGATGCTTGTCACGCTGGGATTTAAAGCACAAACACTGTTGCAGCTTAACCCCAAAAACTGGTCATTTCACACATTCTACAAATAAACACTTGAATAAGTAACTCAAACACAAAAAGTGCCTTTAACGGAAAATAAACACAAACTCACAGTCGAATGTTCAGAACTTTCTTCCTGTAGAGAGGACAGAAGCAGCTGGTCAGATAGAAAAAAAACAGAAAAGGAGATCCATGGTCGGATTTCGTCGTACCAAAGTTTGCTCTGAGACAAACGGCACTTCGGCTGAGTCTCCACCGCCCGCGCTGCTCCACCGGCGTCACGCATTTCCACGTAGATCTGAGGCAGAAAGACAGTTTACAGGCTGAGAACCAGAATCCCCGTTCGTCGGGGTTAAACGTGTCGTCGTCCTACTCTGTCAGCAAGAGGCAGGAAGTTGACAAAGGGAGCGAGGGACGCCACGACTTTCATGATGAAGATGACGAGGTTGATGCTGACGACGGAAACCTCCACGCAGAGCAGACGCCCAGTCAGAGACTCGGGCTCAGAGACGTGCTGAAATGAAACAGGATGCTGAAGTGGAATCCGTTACCGGGCAACAAGCCTAAACATCAACGACTAAACACTCACAGAGTTGCCCCATTTCATCAGGTTCCTGTAGAGCACCTCCTGTAACACACCATCATCATCATCATCATCATCATCAGCATAACCCACACACAGCACTAAAACATTTAGTCATTGCTCCTAAACCACACAGCGTTAACCCAACGTAGGCTCAGGCACGGCGCTGTGCCACGCCTGAAGTTCTAGCGCCACGACAACGATATCAATCTCTCACCCCCAGAAACAGAACAGGTGGAGGGAAAAAGTGATTTTAACCCCTGCTGAAGCAGGAAGGAAGTAAATGATCTCAGCTGTCTGACGTGAATCACATAGACATGTTTAGGGTCTCCGTCAAACAGAAGACCTCATCTAAAGATGCTGGGAAATATCAATTTTTTAGATTTTTCTAAGATTTAAATTAATTTTACTACTTTGAAGTATTTGTTATAGTTGTGAAATGAAAATAAAAAATAAAAATGAATAGAAATCTTTTAAATCAATAACTGGCTGCACAGTGGAGCAGTGGTTAATGAAGAAGAAGAAGAAAATATCATTTCTATAGCGCCTCTCAAGATAAAAATCACGAGGCGCTTCACAAAAACAAAAATTGTAAAAATATAAAAAAGCATTTAGAAAATGTTTAAAAATATGTTTAAAATGAGCAAAAATAGACAATTGTGATTAAAAATATTAAGAAAGAGAGAGAGAATAGGAAAGAGGGAGATCCTGAGGAAGGTGGAATAGGTGGGGAGAGCAGAATAAAGAGAGGGGTTTAAGAAGGTCATACAAAAGCCAGCTTGAACAAGTGAGTCTTCAGCTGCTTTTTAAAGGAGACCACTGAGTCCACTGATCTCAGGCTCAGGGGGAGAGAGTTCCAGAGTCTGGGGGCCACAGCAGCAAATGATCTGTCACCTTTGGTCTTTAGCCTGGTGCTGCACAACCAGTAGGCTTTGATCACTGGACCTCAGGGACCTGCTGGGGGTGTAGGGACTAAGAAGATCACCAATGTATGATGGTGCTTGTCCATGTAAGGCCCTATAGACCAGAACCAGGATCTTGAAATGAACCCTGAAGTTGACTGGCAGCCAGTGAAGCTGGAGGAGAAGCGGGGTGATGCTGTTGCCTTGCAGCAAGAAGGTTCTGGGTTCACATCCCAGCCTGGAGTCTTTCTGCAAGGAGTTTGCATGTTCTCCCTGTGCACACATGGGTTCTCTCTCCGGTTCTCTTCGTCCCACAGTCCAAAAACATGACTGTCAGGTTGATTAGTTTCTCTACATGTGTCCTTAGGTGTGATAGTGTGTGTGCGTGGTTGTTTGTTCTGTGTGTTTCTGTGTTGCCCTTTGGTAGCAGATACAGAAAATGGATTAATGGATGAATCACTAATTTTACTACATTGAACTTAGAATGTCGTTGTTAAGCTAAACTTTTTTCTCTCATTCATTAAATCTTTTATTTGTTGTTGCTTCTTTTGACAAATTTTGTAGTAATTTAATCTATTGTCTTGAGTAAAATAAAGAACCAGGCTAAAAAGATAAATAAGTAGAAAAAAACAAAGATTTCACGATCATTTAAATAAAAAAAGCGTTAGAGAGTAATTACAAGAAAAAGATTTCTCATCAGAACGAATGAAATTAAAATTACTTCAGGTTAAACTGCAAATGTTCTGTTAGACGTAGAGCATCGGCCGGTTTCTGTACCTCACTGCGTCCCCGATGCATGTCCTCCAACACGAAGTGGACGCTGAGAGGACAGCCCTGGACAGAAACGGGGTTTTCAAGGTGATCTCTGACAAAACTGCAGCAGGAATCCCAGCTGATAAAATACACAAAGACCTGGAAGAGATGAGGAGAGGCCTTCAAAATGAAATCCACATCGTTCCCCTATAGATTTACACTTAAAGGGACATTACGGAGTTTTGAATTTTTATGCTGGCGATTGCCCCCTCAGGCCAAAAGCGTAACGGCAGCTTCAATAGTAGGCTCGTGCACGAGGCGCGCATGCTGTACGTGCACACTCCTTAACGAAAATAACAGCTGAAACAGTCCTGTGTGTGGTGGTGGTGCTGGTGGTGGTGGTGGGTGGGGGGTGGGGGGGGGGGGGGGGGGGGGCTCAGAGGACAGAGGACAGGAGAACGCGCAGCTAATTAATTAAATAATTTGGTTCTGTACCTTTCTCTTCAGCACAGCCGACAAAGGTTTATGATGGGTCAGTCCTCCTGCATGCTCAGATCATTCCCTTCCCTTGCTTGAAAAATTGTTCCAAAATGAAAGTTGAACCCACATCTTTTTTATCTGTGAATTCAATGCCGTTCGGCGAGACTCAAATAAAAATTTGGGCATCTTACTGTAAAAAATATACCATTAATGTAAAAAAAGAAACTCTAAATAAATTATGTTAACACCCGAAATCAAACCCAGGACTTCTGCACGAGAGTCTGACGTCTTATAGGTGAGCTAGAGCGCCAATGACGTCTTTTGTATCTGTAACATTTATATCCTTGATGACAGCTGAAACAACGTTCAAAGAATGATTCGGAGCAAAAATGGCTATTTTGTTGCTAATTTGCAGGAAATATCTAGAAGAAAGTTCTACAGAAAGTAGCTAAGTGTCCTCAGAAATGTCGCTAGGTTTGTCACTAGGCGTTAGGAACAGCGTCAAAATGGCACTACCTCTCTCTGCTGCTGCTAAAGCTACGGATAGCAAATGCTACGGGCGATGCCTGAGCGTGAACGCGCATGAAGCAGCCTGCTCGACCCGAGCATCTCTCTTTTTCTGTGATTTTACAGAAAAACAGGCAATCACAGTAAAAATGCCAGGGCTCATTCTACAGGACCAGGGCTTTGCAGGAGAATGTATGAAGAAGACATTTATTATGTCTATACATGTTTTGGCTGTTGAACTTCCATGCTGCCATTTTAAACAAAAACACATTTCAAAGTAAAACTCATAACAGTAAGCAGGCACGGCGCCTCACCCGTCTCTGCAGCGGCAGGACGACCACGTCAAAGCACAAGGAGTCCGGCGCATGCTGGGGGAAGTAGCGCCACACCAATGCAGCGATCTCCTCGTACTGCCACTCTTTTCCACGGAAACCAGTCAGCATGATGGTGGAGAAGGCAGAGCCTCTGTGGTGAGCTCTCTACAGCAACAGAGTAAATAAAGAAGGATGCTTCGTCACAGTTTGATAATTATTTCATCTGACAGAATATTTCTGAGAGATCAATATTTAAAACAGGCAAACAACTACTGGACTAATCCGAAAAACTGGAGCAGTAGAAAAGTTCCTTTACCTCAATGTCTCTCGTTTCCTTTACTGTCATAAAGCCTAGAAGGAGAAACGACACAGTCACTGATGGTAAAGCAGACTTTTTTAATGGTAAAGGTAGTTTTTTACACTGGCCTTACTGGGAATGTTGAACCACGGAGACGCAGTGGGAAACACGTAAGGACAGGTCGTCATCGAGACCCAAAAACAAGGAATGGAGCCCTGAGGAATGCCACACTTGGACCTCAGAATCTTGGACCCGCTGATGATGTCGCTGAAGTCTGGCAAGGCATTTGATACCATTTGTGGTGCTGAGACAACAAAAGCAACGCGTGTTTTATTTACCACCTGATCAAACTTAGTTCTGGTTTACTACACCTTACATCGTGTTTAATATTTATTCATTTACTTCACTCAGCCGAAGCAGAGAGCTCATAGCACCCCTACATTCTACCTAATAGGATTAAGAACTAGGGATGCACCGATTAGGTTTTTTGCTGCCGATCACCGATACCGATCACGTGGATTGGCCAGAAATTTTCTACAACATTATAATGAGTGCTACAAACTACATAATCTGGGAATAAAGGAAATGTAACCTAATCTAAAATGGTCTGACTTAGGGTTTTCACGGTGTGAAAATTCAACCTCACGGTTATTGTGACCAACATTACCACGGTTTTCGGTATTATCGCGGTATTTTTTTTAAACGTGCTACATTTTCACACAATTAAATAAACCCTGTATGTCAGGAAATATTGTCCTCAGTTTGTGTCTAAATTTAGCCTAAAATGTGTTATTTTGTAATTATGTTGTTTATTTGTTTACATTTTTCCCCTTTAGTCTTTAAAATACCAATATTTGCCCATAACTTCTTATTTTTTGTCTGTTTGATGTCATCATTTAAAAATATTAGATCAGATGATACTCAGTACTCAAGTAGACTTCTAATCAGATACTTTTTTACCCTTACTTGAGTAATAAACCCTATATCAGGAAAATACTGTCCTCGGTTTGTGTCCTTCCAGTGAGCTTTGCAGATGTGGGAAAATGTCATAAATTCATAATTATTCTCGGAGAGAGACCAACTCTTATCTGCCCCTGGGAGCCCCGTAATGCATAGCGTCATTTCAACATGGGGGTGTCCGTGACACGGTTTATATGCAGGTAGCGGCGCTGCGGCTGCTTTATATAGCGACTCGTTGCATTCTCCCTCAACCCAAATCCTCGGATCACGCATTTTAGCTAAAACGCTAACGTTAGCTTGCCTTGTGTTGCCTGTAGAGTTGTGGGTGATGGTCACGCAGATGTGTCATGAGATTTGAAGCGTTGCTGCCTTTCACAGACACTTTTTCTGCACGTGCTGCAAACAGGATAGCCGTCTTCTATCAGCTGTCCCTCGGCATTCTTCAAATATCCAAAAAATGCCCGTACTTCCCACTTTGTCTTCTTTGAGGGATAATAAATGTCCTCCTGAGCGCTGCCGTCTCCTCCTTTGGCCATTATTTCAGCTTTAGCTTCAAGAAAGTTTTGGTTGTAAACAACAAAGCACGCATGTGCCGCCGGCAACTTCAGCAGATGATACGGTGGCTGGTAAGGGTCACCGCGCCTACACCGCATTCACGGGAATCCACTGAGATAATATAGTTTTTTTTTAAAACAAGACGGTTATTATTATTGTCAACTTTTTTACTGGGGTTGGCACTGCCTCACTCTCTGCTGCTAAAGCTACGGATAGCAAATGCTACGGGCGATGCCTGAGCGTGAACGTGCATGAAGCAGCCTGCTCGACCCGAGCATCTCTCTTTTTCTGTGATTTTACAGAAAAACAGGCAATCACAGTAAAAATGCCAGGGCTCATTCTACAGGACCAGGGCATTGCAGGAGACTGTATGAAGAAGACATTTATTATTTCTATACAAGTTTTGGCTGTCAAACTTCCATAATGCCCCTTTAAGTAAAAAATAATAAATTCAAATATATTTATTATTTTCAAGCAATTCCAAATGTTATTAGAGACTCACACAGCGCCGTAGCAGAACCCTCTGGTAACCTCATTCTTTTGACTTTATGAGAGCGTCCCCGTTTCAGGAGGCTATACCACACGCCGAGCCGATCAGCGTCTTGAACGGACCTAAACTCAACGAAGACCTGAAGCACACAGACACACACAAAACGATCACTCTACCTATAAACAGGACTTTAAGGACACAAATGTGTGTTTCTTACCTTGTTGAGCAGAGGCAGGAAGTTTCTCACAGAATCGATTTTTCTCAGAGCTTTTCTGAGATCTCTGGCCTCGTTTGTTGAGATGTTTGTGATGTAGACGGTGCTAGCTTCATCGGCCACTTCCTGTTTTAACAACAGCGACCTTAACAACTCCTTTTACATCACATTTGATGGCCTCCAGATTTAAGGCGTCTTGAATTTAGGACGCATCTGAACACGGCAACTACTGAAATGTCTGTAGTTTTAACAAAAACCGTCAGTTTGAAGCAGGGGTGTCCTGTTTCTGACACTGACCTGTCATTCAACAGCCTCAATCTGATCCTTTCTTTAATAAATAAATAAAAATTAAAAACCTATTTAAGTTATTGAGTCGATGCAGGCACCTTTCTGTAGAGGATCACAGTCTAGGGAGACAGTTCTCTACAGAACTCAGTTTTGGTCTCGTTAGTCCTGCTAACAATGTCTACATGTACCCAGTCTCGGTTATGAATGCTGTTTTTAACAACAGACGCTCTGTTTTGATCACTGATCAGTGTTGTTTTAAACATCAGCTGGCGACGCCAAAAACAGTAAAAATGCCAGGCTTTCTACGTCACAGGGAAAATTAGCCCACCTTAAACCTATCCAACTTCAACCCTTTGAAACAGGAGTGCAAGAGCTTTTCTACTTTGGTCAACAGTTTAATTAGTTGTTGTTCTCCAACTCCAGGAGAAAACAGTTCTTTCCTCCAGCGCAGAAAACAAACTCCAGGTCAACAACAGTGACTGGGAGCAGTGTCACCCACAGTGACTCCATATTCAAGACTGGATCAGGGAGTCAGCTTTATGGATTAATGAATGTGTGTGTGTGTGTGTGTGTGTGTTACTTACAGAACATATTTTTTGCATCAGACCGCAATAAAATCCAAACTGAAACACAGAGAATTTGTTGATATAAATCAGCTAATAAAAGGATCTGAGCTTATTGTCCTCTTTGGGGCAAAAGTAAACAATTTATAATAAAGTATTCTAATGTGTGAATGCTTACTGGTGACATGTCAATATATTGTTTTAGAGCCATAAAGCAGAGTTTGGATCCTCTGAAAATAACACCGTCCAGCGATGCGCTGATGGCCGACTCTAGGGCTCCTATACTTGGCATCAAAGCAAGAGCCTAAAGGCAAAAATACATGAAACCCCAGAAAACACATTTATTACTGAACTTGTCAGATTTACCACTATCTGGTAAATGACAACCTTCTTCAGATGTGGGCCAAGCTAAGAAAACGGTATGAAAATGTTCTTAAAGGTGCATTATGTAGAAATGAAGTAAAGATTACTTCTGGTTACTGCAGCCACTTTAAACGACTCTGGAACTTTTTGCCTTCTGTGGTAAAATTACAATTGTCGGCACTACAGCATTAGCTCGCAGGAGACACGGCACCCCCACACTCACTGATGGTAATCAGTAGTTACGTCCCTCCGTCCTTTGTTTTGACATCTTTAAGGTTGGTTTATGCTTGACGCGTCAGCGAGGTCCGCACGGCCCGCACGGCGAAATTGCGTCATTTTAACAACCACGCCCCTCCACCGAGTCTCCGCACGGCCCAAAATTTCTGCAACGCGCACCTAGGAAAATTTCTAACCACGCGGACGGTCGGACGCGGAAAAACATGGCGGACCGGCAAGAACTAGTATGGCAGAGGTTCGTAAACACAGACATTTGTATGATTCCGCTCTCAAGAGATCACCGTGATCAACATGTTGTTAATAATTATTGGAGAGAAATAGCTCGCACTGTCGGAAAAGACTGCTGGAAGGCCATGTTGTAAACAACAGTAATTTTTACTTCTACTATGGTGTAGTGTTGGATGCATGCCGTAGAGCTCCATGCTGCCAACTACAGTTTGGGAGAATATTGGCTCACCGCAGAGACGAGCCGCATGAACCATAAACGCTGCGAGTTGTGAAGCGCGTTCCATCCGCGAGCCGCATCACCAAGCGGAAAGTGAATGCGTCAAGCATAAACCAAGCTTTATGTGTACCTGTTTATTCTTATTTCTATCTTGTATGTTTTTAACTCATTTGTTTTCTTTGGTGTAAAGCTAACTACACGTCTGTTGCTGCTGCTGCCTCTTGGCCAGATTGTCCTCATAAATGAGAATGATGGACTCAACTGGTTGACTAAATAAAAAAAAAATGTTTTGAAAGGACAAAAAACTGACAATCCCTGAGCCAGCTGGATACGAAATATGCTTCAGTATAACCTTCCTTCCAAAATGGCTGAAACTTTATACTCTTTTGGGATTTTTTTCACTGTAAAATTCTCACTATAGTCTTACATATTGCACCTTTAAACTATTATAATGCAAACTTATAAATGAAGGCCAACCATTCGTTTCTGAGGAATGACGTAGATGTCGTCGCCACGTTTGAATCCAAACAGGCTGAGCAGATCTGTAATATCCGCCTCTGTGTAGCAGCCATCATAATACTCTGGAAGGTTGGTTATGAGCAGGATCTTTGTCTTTAAAAGCCAAAACAAGGAAAGACAGAAGCTATGTTAGGTTCTGAGTTAAGATCAAAGAGGTCCAATCATATCAAATTTAGTGTTAATTAGTTGTTTGAGGGCTAATAACACATTAATGAGTTGGGGCAAAGTAGTAGTGTTAAGTCAATTCAATTCAATTTTCATTAACAAATGATCTTCAAACAAATTCATGAGTGAAAGATACACCTTGTTACCACATCATCACCCCCTATTGGTCCAGAAAAATTATTGATGTATTCAAATGTTACGGTGAATGTTATATATATGTATATATTTAAAACACACACACACACACACACACACACACACACACACACACACACACACACACACACACACACACACACACACACACACAAAGAGATACCATAACATACATCAGACTACTTACGTTTGGTTGTGACAGTAATGAGTCTACAGGCCCTGGAAAGGGGTGAAAATAAAATCAATGACAAAGAAAGAAGCATCACAATGACTCACAGTGGTGTCTATTCAAACATACAGAGGTCTTTGGAGTCCAGGTACGTTTCTATCTGCTCCCCGACAGTCAGACAACACATCGGCTCAGAGGGATCCACGGTTCCAACATAAACTGTAAGAAAGATCATCATTTAGCGTAGCTGGACCGAAGCACCACCAGGGCTCACCCCAGCTTTACACCAAATGCGTAATTTCCGCGCAACGCCTGAAGCACCACAAGCAGCTAATATTTGCATTTGTAGCAAATGGGAGTCTTCCCACCGCACACATCTCAGTTGCGTCCCAGAAGTGCGTTGTTGCGGCGCTCCGATAAATTTACAATTGGGGTTCATTTTACTTTGCTAAATCCAGCCTTTTCCTTTATTCCACATGCTGATGTTATATCTGCTTACACACACACCTGAACATTTACTTTTATTTATATTTTGACTCAATTTAATGTAATTTGTCCCTACACTCACACTTTTGCCCCTCCCATCATTGTGTACCGTATATATTGTTTGCATATGTAGCCTAGACACATTCACCATTCTGAATGTGTGTTACTTTTCACTACAAGCTGTACTTGTGTGACAAATAAAACTTTTGAATTTTGAACAAATCTACTCTATGTTTACAGAACGCATCAAGCTTAGCAGTTCAGATCAGATAGGACCAGTGTAATACATCTAGTAAATTTCAAAATAAAAGACATACACAACCAGTTTTCCCTGTGAGAGTAAAACTGTAAGGTTTTCCAAGTCTGGCTGCTTTACCAGTCAGACAGGACCTGGAGGTAGGGCTGGTAGAAATCGAAAATGTATCGTTATCAAAATTTCTGACTCTTAGAGAATTTTTCCCATGTCAATAAATTTGATAATAAAAATTTAAAAAAAAAGTGTGTAGGTTGGCAACATTCATGTCCCTTCAAGAACAAGGCCGGATTAACCATACGGGCAACTGGGCAATTGCCCAGGGGTCCACGATCTCTAAAGGGCCCAGGTCCAGGGCAGCAAGGGCACGAGCAAAATACTGTATCTGTTATCTCCCGCTTTATATCAAACAAACTGTCCACCCGGGCTTTTGCGCTGCACAGACGCTTCGCTGCCTGTGACTCTGAACGTCAGTTGAGAGTCAGTCTCATGCAGACTGACCAATGAAGAGAGGCCCGAACGCAAATATAGCGGAGTGCGTGCCGCGCATTGACCGCACCGGTGAGGTGGTCACCGGTGGACGAAACAGGTGATGCGGTCCGCAGCAGCAAAACGCATCAGGCACAAATAAAACACAGAAAGCATAAAAGGATATGAGCAGACATAAACGATTGCGCGTTAAATTTGTTTTTGAGATGCGACACTTTAATAATGTTACTGTGGCCGTGCTCAGGACGCATCTGTCTGGAGCGCATTAACGATCAGAGCTCTGCGCCTCTCAGCTCAAAATAATCCCCAGAGAGTCCACATAGATAATGTAATATAACCAGGATCGCTTTTGGGCTAAACAATAGTCTACAGTCCATCTTACCTAATGTGTTTGTAGCTCTGCAGATTTTTCTAACTCTACCAGTTACAAATTGTGAAGGAGAATGATCATTTTCACAAATGGCAAGAAAAAAAATGAACTGAGAACAACACAAACTCAACAGCCCCTCAGTGCACTGTCACTGATGGCTACTGAATCTCAGCTTGTCACGAATCTGGACTTGGATGACATTGTAAATGAATTTACTAATAGAAAGGCCAGAAAGCAGTTTTTTTGAAGGCAAGAGAGGAGACCAACAAGAGGAGACTAAAAGAGGAGTAAGGAGACAGGATACGAGAGGAGTAAGGAGACAGGAGACAAGATGTGGAACTGAGACAGGCGACAAGAGGCGGAAATGAGACAGGAGACAAGAGGCGGAACTGAGACAGTAGACAAGAGGAGGAAAGAGACAGGAGACAAGAGGAGGAACTGAGACAGGAGACAAGAGGAGGAACTGAGACAGGAGACAAGAGGAGGAAAGAGACAGGAGACAAGAGGAGGAACTGAGACAGGAGACAAGAGGAGGAACTGAGACACGAGACAAGAGGAAAGAGACAGGAGACAAGAGGAGGAAAGAGACAGGAGACAAGAGGAGGAAAGAGACAGGAGACAAGAGGAGGAAAGAGAAGGAGACAAGAGGAGGAAAGAGACAGGAGACAAGAGGAGGAAAGAGACAGGGGATCAGAGGAGGAACTGAGACAGGAGACAAGAGGAGGAAGGACACAGGAAACAAGAGGAGGAAGGACATGGGAGACAAGAGGAGGAGAGAGACGGGAGACAAGAGGAGGAAAGAGACAGGAGACAAGAGGAGGAACTGAGACAGGAGACAAGAGGAGGAAGGAAACAGGAGACAAAAGGAGGAAGGAGACAGGAGACAAGAGGAGTAAGTGATTTTTAATATTGACAATGTTATGAAATTTCTGAAAAGTGCTACTGGGTGACAGTAATGTTGGGTGAGGCTGGGTGGGGTGAGGCTTAGGGAGCACTAAACACATTGTGCCCAGGGGCCCCTGCAATAATAATCCGGCCCTGTTTAAGAAGCTGTACCACCTTGAGTCATGTAAAAATGTAACTGAACTAATACATGTGACAACCTCATCTAGTGGACAACTTTTGTTTCTGCGCATACCTGTAGTTATCATCCATTTATCGTTATCGAGGTGAAATACTCAATAAATCGCGTTATTGATTTCAGGCCATATCGCCCAGCCCTACCTGGAGGGGGGAAAAAGAATCACGCGTTCTTCCTTTAGAAAGGTAAAATGCGTCAATCACTTTAGGCACCATTTACGCATCTGGTGGAAAGGGAAACACCTGGTTAGCGTTGTAAAACTTTTCTTTACATAATCAAAAGTTCAAAGGCAGCGTGAACTTAGATCAGCCCTTAACGTACAATCTTCCTCTGTTTTCTTCTTGCTCAGTGTAGTTTTCAGGACTTTAGTCTTTTTTATTCCAACAACCTTGCTTTGATCCTTTGATGCCGGTCCAAGGTTTCTGTTAAGAGGAAAGAGGATCAAAGACGAGAATATGTAAATAAAAATAATTATATTGTAATAAAGTCCTGCTGATAAAAAGATTAAATATGGAGTTTACTAAGTAAATTATACACAATTTAAAACACACTTCATTTGACTTACTTAGACTTTTTCTGCTGGACTGAAGAGGCCAAAGAGGACTTTTTAGGAACAGCAGCCTGGAAATGAAAACGTAGTTAAAGATGTTTCAGTCTTTAACAACAAGAATGGACATAGAAGCAGTAGAAACATGACTTTCATCGTCATCATAAAGGCGCCAACAACCCTGGTGCAAAACAGAACCAACCTTGATCTTTGCAGAGGAACCCACTTTCCTCTCAGTTTTCCGTGTCTTTGGATTCATTGTCGACTTTCCGGGTTTATGGGACGATGATGAGGAAAATAACGACGACTTCATCTTGTCGATCTCTGCCAGTAAGACGGGAGTCAGAGTTTTAACCACCGTCTCAAAGTCGGACCGGTGTGTCAGGGACTGGAGGGCTGGAAGGACACAAATACAAGCTTCTTCAGGACTGGAGTGTGATGAAGTGCAGCTTAGTGTCAACAGACAAAAACATCTACAGGCTCTTTGTGTTCCTACGGAGGTTACAGAAGGTTTATCGTCAATGAGACCTGATGTTTTCAGCATTTTCTTAGTCAGCCTCTCTGTGCTGTTCGACTTCCTCCGTTGATGGACAGGTTTCTCTTTGGACAATCGTCTCTCGTGATTCACCCTTGGCGGCGTTCGCCTCTCGTCGCTCCATGTAGGTGAAACCTGTCGCTCGACACTCCTCCTTGGGGAGCACCAGTCCTCTCTCCTGTCGAAGGAAGGTCGTTTCTCTTGGCTCCTTGGATGTGACGGATAGTCAGATGTGGACCGCTCGTACCACGGAGACCAGGAATGAGACCGGGACCTAAACGAGAAGCAGTCATGGACTCAGGAAAGCTACTGATGACTTCTCACTGTAATCGTTGGCTTCATATCTTTAAGGTCTGATTCTCTTGTTTTTTGATACATTTGCTGTGGTCTGTAGTCGCTCTCTCGTCTCCGACAGTAATCTTGACTTGTATTATTTAACATCTCAAACCTCTCTCCTGACAAACCTGTGAGTATCTCTAAAGCCGTGAGGTGATCTGGATCTGCTGCGTCCACGTCTTTCGTCCTTGGAGCCACGGTGGCGGTGAGGTGAAGCAGTGGGTGATCTACTCCTGGATCGGTGCCAAAGGTCCTTCAAACCACAATGGCCATCCTGGCTTTCTGAGCGGGAATAAGACCCGCTGCTACGGCGACACCAGGGACTGTCGGAGCAGGAACTACGCTTTGAGTTGTCCCTTCTACTCTCAAACCTGTGGTGGTCGTGGGGGCTACGTGAGCGGGAATGGCTCGCAGGCCTGGTATTCTGATGACGATGTGGAGGCTGAGATGTTGAAGGCAAAGATGTACTATGTCGAGTACTAAAACATACCAAAATAAAAACATGAGGATACTTTTTCCACATCTTTTGTGGTTCAGACGTTCATGAAGAGATGTTTACCTTTGGAGCGATTGGATCTCACCATCCCACCATGGATATCTGTGGGAAAACCACCATTTAAGACCATATTGAGTAATTTTACAGAACAAAGCAACATCAGACCACATCATTCCAGTATAAACCAACCCCAGAGTGTCCAATAAAGTCAGTAAAGGAAGCGTTTATTAAAGTTGTGATTCCCAACCAGGCGCACGTGTACCCCCTAGTGGACCGTGAGCACATTACAAGTGGTATGCAGAAACATTGTTTATTTCCCACATGATGGAATCAGTCATTCTCCAGCATTCCCTGTGCCCTGGTAAAATAAAAAAGAAAACATCGGGCTGGGATGTGTTACTCTTAATGACTACAGAGATGTAGTAATGTATGGTAATGTATGGTTTACTGCGCTGTCCCTCGTTCGTACTCGTGGGGACCGGGCTTTCTCAGTCCTAGCATCGTCACTCTGGAACCAGTTGCCACCCTCAGTTAGGCTGTCCCCATCTCTGCCAGTCTTTAAGAGTCACCTAAAAACACACCTCCTCCGCTTGGCGTTTCCAGAACATGTTTGATTTTGGCCCTCTTTTATGTTGAATTTATTTCAGTTTTCATTGGTTCACTCAATCCATTGTTTTACACATTTGTCCTGTACCAGAATGTTTCACCTATTTTGTAATTTGAATAGCTTTTATTTTTGATTTATTCAATATATTTACCTTCAACTGAACCATGTTCAGCGCTTTGGGCTTCCTGACAGGGTTGCGGAAGGCGCTTTATAAATAAAGCTTTGATTGATTGATTGATAGTTGTTGTCAAGCTGCCTTGGCTGTGTATGAAAGTGGCTGCGGTGTGGGTTAACGAGTATTTGCAAAGGAAAAAGAATTGGGATAACGTCGGTTAAACAGACCTGGTTTGGGTTTCAGGAGTCAGATGTTGAGCAGAAAAAGCTCCTCAGTAAAATATTCTGGGTGACAGTAAAGTCCTGTCTGCGCTGATGTCTCGTTGACACTCATTCCCACTTATTTCTTAAAACACAATCAACACACAGGCTTCCAGATACCATCGCCCGTGAGTTAGTTTGAACATATTTCCCTTTGCAGTTTATGTCCCCCCCCCAATTTATTAATAAAACACCAGTCTGCAGCTCCCCTCCTCTTGTTTGGCTGCAATTCATCATCTGTCTCTCTCAGCTGTCCATTGAGGACGTCGAAGATGTGTGGATATTTGGCCTGATGATCGCTGGATTTCTTCTGATTGGAGTGGGAGGATATCTGGCTTTCCGTAAAATTGGGATGACGGGAGTGATTGGAGGGCGACCCGCAACCATGGACGGCACCGTCCGTGTGGATACCTCACAGACTGGGACGTTGCTCGAGGTGAATCGCAAGCTGGACAATGTCTTAGCTGCGTTACCGGTGTTAGCGCGCAGGATTGATAACATCTCGGAAAGGGTCACCGGACGGTGTGGAGATGTTTAATCACTGAATTGGCTTCACTGGAGGACTTGAATGATCAATACAGACTTAAGGCAGAGAGGGCAAATTATCTCTGTCTGACCCAAACAAAGTTCTGTTATCGAATCTGACGCCATAAGCAGCCTTGAAGTTGCATGCAATAACCCCCACGATGGAAGGAATGCAGACAAATGCTGTGAATCTCTATCCACCCACCCTCCCGCCTTCAGATTGTGGTCTCCACCGAGGTCATCAAGCTAAGGACTCACTGCTCTCTGTGCTTCCCCATCACCTCCATCCCACCTGCGGAGCCAGCTGGTTGAGCGCCACACAGGCAGCCCCCGCTGAGGAAACCAGGATCCCAGCCCCTCCCCCCTACCTACCGGGTCTCATGTTGTGAACTGTGACGTTTGTTGCTTACATGTCGGGTGGTTTTTTTTTGCATTGGAGCGCTACATCCTGCTGGTGTAACCCTGTTAATGCCTTTTTTCTCCCTCCCTGAACTTTCCTCATGTCTTCCCTTACTCATCTACAAAGGAGCGCCGTCATGGCTGCTCCCATGGTCTGCCTGTATCTGTCTTGTCTATATGTGTGTGTGTAACCTTGGTCAGGTTGTACTATGGAGTCAAGTTCCTACGCTCTGAAAGGAGCGCTGGCAATAAAATTCATTCTGATTGTGATTCTCTTGTTTGGCTGCAATTCATGTGAGAATGCTCAAAACATGTCATGTTGACATGTATAAACAGAAGAAAAGGACATGTCTGGGTACAGATTTTAGGCCATATGGCTCACTCCTACCTAAATATATAATAAACTAGCTTATATAAATGGAAAGAGCACAAAGGCATAAACAACAACAGGAAGGAAAACCAGAGCAGGCCTGTGCAGCTGCACGATACTCTGCTGCTGAGAGAGAGAACGTGAAGCCTCGATCACACAAGATGCAGAGGGATGTGGTCCAGTTTCACATAGATCAGGAATCATTCAGTCTAATCACAGCATTAGCACCACATGAAGTCTATTTTTTCTGGATGCCACATGAGGATTGTCATAAAGTTAAATAATTTGTATGACAGGAAGTGAGACGTGCTTAGGGGTTTTTATGATTTCATTTAATGATCAGATTTATTTTCTACTTTTGAGGAATCATCAATACATTTGACTAAGGGGGGACTCGTGGCGTGAGAACATGGCTCAGGGGGTCCACAAGTCAGAAAAGGTCGGGAAACACTGTAATGAAGAACTCACCGTTTCCGGAGGAGTCTGCAGCTCTCAATATGAAAACTGGTATTCTGGTGGGAGAACCAATCCTGATAGTAAAACCACAAATAAGTTAGTGACATCATCACAAATGGCAGCCTAGCAACCTGTCCTTGATAAGACAGACAGACAGAGAGAACGAGAGAGAGACAGACTGAGAGAGACAGCCTAGCTACGACCCATAGACAGATCTCAGACGTGGGGCAGAATCTATGGTTGTCTTTCAAACGGTCTTTGCATAATATTAAACAATGCTGGGACCAATCAGACCAATGAAAACAAGGCAAATTCATTGCTACGGAAGTCAGTTTACAAGGCAGTCTGCCACACACAAAAGAAGAAGCAGTTACATCCCTTTTCAAAACAAAAGACTTAAGTACCTCTATCTGCTCATGCCTTAAAGAAAAGCCCAAGTTTAAATCATCTAAAACTGATGCCAAAGTCATTTCAAATGAGCGCCGTTCCAGACTGGGTCATGGGTCTGACTGGAACATCACTGAGATCGCTAACTCTAACAGGTCTCTGAATGCTTATGGTTCTGCACCACAGTGAGATTATTGTGGTCACACCTGTGCAAACTAACCAGGGTTCAACAGATGTGAAAACACAGCCAAGTATGAGAAGAAGGTGCTCATTTTCAGTCCATTTGCTTGGGTCACAAAACACATCAGTCCTCCTCACTCCTTTCACGCTACCCTAGCCTTACCACTGCTTATGGACTCTACTGCCCATTCAACTCCAGAAATACAGGGAGTGCAGAATTATTAGGCAAATGAGTGTTTTGTCCACATCATCCTCTTCATGCATGTTGTCTTACTCCAAGCTGTATAGGCTCGAAAGCCTGCTACCAATTAAGCATATTAGGTGATGTGCATCTCTGTAATGAGAAGGGGTGTGGTCTAATGACATCAACACCCTTTATCAGGTGTGCATAATTATTAGGCAACTTCCTTTCCTTTGGCAAAATGGGTCAAAAGAAGGACTTGACAGGCTCAGAAAGGTAAAAAATAGTGAGATATCTTGCAGAGGGATGCAGCAGTCTTAAAATCGCAAAGCTTCTGAAGCGTGATCATCGAACAATCAAGCGTTTCATTCAAAATAGTCAACAGGGTCGCAAGAAGCGTGTGGACACACCAAGGCGCAAAATAACTGCCCATGAACTGAGAAAAGTCAAGCGTGCAGCAGCCAAGATGCCACCAGTTTGGCCATATTTCAGAGCTGCAACATCACTGGAGTGCCCAAAAGCACAAGGTGTGCAATACTCTGAGACATGGCCAAGGTAAGAAAGGCTGAAAGACGACCACCACTGAACAAGACACACAAGCTGAAATGTCAAGACCGGGCCAAGAAATATCTCAAGACTGATTTTTCTAAGGTTTTATGGACTGATGAAATGAGAGTGAGTCTTGATGGGCCAGATGGACGGGCCCGTGGCTGGATTGGTAAAGGGCAGAGAGCTCCAGTCCGACTCAGACGCCAGCAAGGTGGAGTACTGGTTTGGGCTGGTATCATCAAAGATGAGCTTGTGGGGCCTTTTCGGGTTGAGGATGGAGTCAAGCTCAACTCCCAGTCCTACTGCCAGTTTCTGGAAGACACCTTCTTCAAGCAGTGGTACAGGAAGAAGTCTGCATCCTTCAAGAAAAACATGATTTTCATGCAGGACAATGCTCCATCACACGCGTCCAAGTACTCCACAGCGTGGCTGGCAAGAAAGGGTATAAAAGAAGAAAAACTAATGACATGGCCTCCTTGTTCACCTGATCTGAACCCCATTGAGAACCTGTGGTCCATCATCACATGTGAGATTTACAAGGAGGGAAAACGGTACACCTCTCTGAACAGTGTCTGGGAGGCTGTGGTTGCTGCTGCACGCAATGTTGATGGTGAACAGATCAAAACACTGACAGAATCCATGGATGGCAGGCTTTTGAGTGTCCTTGCAAAGAAAGGTGGCTATATTGGTCGCTGATTTGTTTTTGTATTGTTTTTGAATGTCAGAAATGTATATTTGGGAATGTGGAGATGTTATATTGGTTTCACTGGTAAAAATAAATAATTGAAACTAGTGTATATATTTGTTTTTTGTTAAGTTGCCTAATAATTATGCACTCCCTGTATGAAATAATTAGCACAATGGTCTGAAGAAGGACTAAAAACCATGTACCAGGGCTGGACTTGTGATAGCCCATGCTTTCATCAAGCTAACATAGTAGCATGTGGCAAAATAATATAAACAGGTACATTTTAGTCATTTTTTTAATACACTTGCAGTGGTCTCCACTCCACTGCATCTGTTTGACCACAGAGATTTCAGCCGTAGCAGAGAGTAGCTAAACATGACAGGTTTTAGAATCTTATTTCCTGATATTTGGACATCTCACATCTGATTGGCTAAGTTTGCAAAGTTGATTCAAGTTAATACATTTTTACAGTAATCTGACCTAAAACAGCAAGCCAACATTAGCATCAGCCACATGCGAATCCCGTCATTAGGAATTTCAATATTCTAGGTGCAAAAGTAAAAAGTGGCTGGTGAATTTGAACGTTGGACTGGACGATTCACTTTATGACTTGGACTCTTGCTCGAGTTGTAGGACCTAGTGACTCAGACTTAATTTTGACTAATCCTATGTGACTAAGGTTTGAACAGTGTGGACTCAAGTGTGACTCTAGAGCTGGCGACTTTACTAATACGGCTTTATATACAAATCAACCCATTCCTACCAGATGATTTACGTATCGGGGTTTAAAGAGACAGTGTGTAGTTTTACCGTTAATCTCTGGAAATATTCATTGAAATGTTGAAAATGAATAAAATGATGTCCAGTTGTCAAAAAATATTGGTGACTTCATAACATCTAACCATAAATATTGGGTCTACAGTACATAGTGCGTGGGTCTAGCGTCTTTGGGGAACGCCATATTAGACGCCATGTCTCCTTCTGGCCAGCTAGGGGTCCTGCGCCTGTCGATGACGTCACACTAGATGATTTGCTGGACGTACGACTTACAGATAGAAGTTACGTTACCACGTTCAAAAGCATCTAGGCAATAAGAAACATGACTGTAACATGAAAACTGCTAAACTCTTTCCAAAACCTATGTGAAAAAACAGAATCGAAAAACAGATGCAAAATATTTTGGCCACGGGTCTTGCCGTAGTATGATGACGTCATCGGCATGCGCAGGACCCCGAGCAGATCTGGAAACTACAGCGCCAGAAATCTAGCATCAGCAATACATTCTCTCGATGGAATTAACTGAAGGACCATCAAAAGGTTGGTTTATGCTTGATGCGTCCGCGCGGAAAAGCGGCGTCATTTTAACAACCACGCCCCTCCACCGCGCCTCCGCACAGCCCAAACTTTCCGCACTGCGCATCTAGGAAATTTCCTAACCACGCGGACGGTCGGACGCGGAAAAACATGGCGGACTGGCAAGAACTAGTATGGCAGAGGTTCGTAAATACAGACATTTGTATGATTCAGCTCTCAGAGATCACCGTGATCAACATGTTGTTAATAATTCTTGGAGAGAAATAGCTCGCACTGTCGGAAAAGACGAGGACGCTGTTAAAAAATGCTGGAATGCCATGTTGTAAACAACAGTAATCTCTACTTCTACTATGGTGTAGTGTTGGATGCATGCCGTAGAGCTCCATGCTGCCCCCTACAGTTTGGGAGAATATTGGCTCACTGCAGAGACAAGCCACATGAACCATTAACGCTGCAAGTTGTGAAGCGCGTTCCATCACCGAGCCTCATCACCAAGCGGAAAGTAAATGCGTCAAGCGTAAACCAAGCTAAAGTCTGAGGAGTGATGCCGAGGCCACATGCTATATGCTCCATGGGTAACATTTACCGTAATGTTTTTTTAAACTAGCAACATTCACGGCAATTTGGTGTAAAACTATCCTGAAATGTATGAATGTACTGCCCCCTAGCGGCAGGAAACTACACACTGCCGCTTTAATTTGACATGACGTAATTATTTAAGTAAAATGGTGACTCACCTCCTTGTAAACACATTCTTTGTCACACAGACAGCAGGTATGAGGAAAGACCATTGGTGTAGAGGCTGCATAGTCATTAACCATGGATGATGGTGGTAGACCTTTGGAGACTGGACCTTTACCTACAGAACCTTTACTGGATGCTTTTTTAGAAGAAGCAGAATGTTTTGACATCTCTGATTCTGGTTTATTCTGTCGTTTCTCTCCATGTTTCACCAGAATCTTTTTACTTTGTTGCACCTGACTCCGTTCCTCAACAGATTTCCAGCTTTTGTGAGTTTTTCTTTGTTCACTGCTGGAGGTCTTGAGACCTTGATAGCTGAGATGTGCAGTAGATGACTTGTTGATGTTCAAAGTAGACAGGTGGCCTGTATCCGGGTGATTTAAGGAATAAAAATTGGAGTCCTTAGACCTGAGAGGTTCAGAGTCTTTGTTTTTCCGTTTTAGCTGCTGCTGCTTCGTTGGCGCTCTACCTGGAAGAAGAGCATGGCTCCTCTTTGAGCTGAGGCCTGTGTAAGAGTCCAAGTTACTGTTTGGTACTTTCCTCACACTTTTTTGCAGTAGTTTCTTACTTTGACCAGGGGGTCTCGGTTTGTCAGATGGCAAAGCATCTCCACTCCACTTCTGAATATCATCCTGATCAAGAATGTCAGAAGGATCTAAGCTGTTCTTTAGACTGGAGTGATGGAGCTCTGAGGAGATTCCTGCGGCTGTTTTCTGCTTCTGAATGCGGATCTGATGCAAGATGAGAGGCAGGTTATCAGGCGTGATCTCATCTTCAGGGTAAGATTCGAGTTCTACCAAATCATCTTTGTTAAGTCCAAATTTCATAAGGATGTGTACAGCAGCTGACTCTGCAGTATTCCTGGGTGGACTGGAGACAGATACCAAACCCTCACCAGATTCTGGAATAAACAGCTCATCATCTTCCTGTTGGCTACACAAGATCCTCTTATTTTTGCTAAAACAAGATTCAGCAGATGAAAACCGTTTGGAAGTATCCTCCGAGTCTATTTTACATCTCAGGGACCCATCCTTTGAGCTGCTGCCAACATCTGAATATTCTTGAGAAATCCTCTCTGTACTGCAAGCAGGAGCTTGGCCTCCTTGAGCATCCATAGAGTGAGGACCCACAGTCAGAGGCTGAGCTCCTGAGATGATGGGTTTGTACAGAGGATGGGACATCATGAGAACTATCTCCTGAACCCTGAGGAAACCAACAGCCCTGCAGTGGCAGAGGGGAAGTTTAAACCATCGTCAGGAACGTCGCTCTTCATTTGCTGATCTCTTGTCGGTTACACACCCAGTTCGTCAACAAGTATGTCCTGTTCTTCCGCTGCAAACAACAAAGAGCAGAAGGGTGAAGTGATTTGCCGGGGAACGTTCAGACTTGAAACAACGGAAAAAGGTAGACAGAAGGGTCTATAATATAAATAATTAAAATCATATGAGAAATATAGTGCATGACTACTCATTTGACACGTTTGGATGAAGCCCAATGCATGATAAATGTTAAGTTTTATTTCATTTTCTTAATTTTAACATGTTTAAAAATAAATACATTCGTTCAAAATGATCATAAATCAACTCCATGGTAAATAAATAAACTGGTAGAAGTTGTTTAAGAATAGATCACTCTTAAATTAAATCTACAATTTATTGAATCTGTCTGCAGATTAACAATGATCAATAATATCGGTAATAGATTATTTCGGCTTATATCTACAACTTACTCTGGAGCGTAATAAATTAAATTTGCTTTGCAAATAAGAGATCAGTTTGTTTCCTTAGCAACACGTAAGCTAGCGTGGTTTAAAGACTGAAATCTGAGACTCTTAGGCGCTTAATGTGCCCATGTTCGGTGAAAGTTGTTGACGGAGGTAAAAAAAATCTACATTTAACAACAAAAACACGAGCGCGAAACTTAAAAATGGCTGATGATGAAGGTTTTAAAGACATGAAGTTCTGTCACGCAATACCTTTGGTCTTCGGTGAGGTGAATCTAACAACCCACAAAAAAAACTAAAAGCGACACGACGTGTTTTTTGTTTGAAATAAAAATGTTTACTCACATTTCAGGCTGTTTGAGTCCCACCCATCGACATATAAACATCCCACCAGCTACCTTACGTACGCAAGTACGTGCTCCTTCTTCTTCTTTCAGCGTTCTGTGGTCGGTTTGGGACAATGGCGTTATGCTGCACTCTTGCGGCGAGGAAAGTGAACTGATTGTATGTTTTTATTTACCCAGGCAAAAAACAGATTGGGAACACATTTTTTGTTATACCTTTTATCAGGATAAGAATACGGTGCTTAAATCATAAAATGCAATTCAATATAACTCAAAATAGACAATAAAAACACGAAAATTCATAAATAAAACAAAGGGGTGCATCTCTTTGGACCATCTACAACAGCTCTAAATAACTTTTGCAAACAAATTACATACGCCTCCTGTCATCGCGTTACATGAGGACACGCCGCACGTCCGGTTGGTTCCGGATCTGCACATGTGTTTGCTCACACGTGGCCTACATTTCTTGTGTCCAGGCCATCGACATAATATACGTGGACATCTTCTTTCCATAGTCTCCAATATCACTTTTTTGAGGCCAAATGGGAGGTGGCCACCACCACCATTTTGACCGTGTCACAGGTTCCGTCAAGCCCAGACAATTCCATAAAAGGGAAGAGAGGAGGAGCTGAGGGTGGGGCTGTAAGGCTGGGATCAACAAACGACACACGGTCGAACTAGCTACAAGCTAACCTGAAGCTAACCCAAAGCTAACGGGCGCCGAGTTAACGGATGTAGCCACCTAGCTACAACCGGAGCTAACTCTGTGGAACACCCATCGACCGCATGGAGTTCAGGTGGAGGTTTGCGGCGCTTTTTCATGAGAAGTACCTTTGTGTGAATAAAAAAATATTAAATCGGTAAGTTTATAAGTTATTTCAGCCTGGTCGACGCCGTCTCCAGTCCATTGGTCGACGCCGTCTACAGTCCAGTGGTCGATGCCGTCTCCAGTCCCGTGGTCGACGGCGTCTCCAGTCCCGTGGTCGACGGCGTCTCCAGTCCAGTGGTCGATGCCGTCTCCAGTCCCGTGGTCGACGGTGTCTCCAGTCCAGTGGTCGACGCCGTCTTGTCCAGTCCAATGGTCGACGCCGTCTCCTCCAGTCCAGAGGTCGACGCCGTCTCCTCCATCCCAGAGGTCGACGCCATCTCCTCCATCCCAGAGGTCGACGCCGTCTCCTCCATCCCAGAGGTCGATGCCGTCTCCTCCAGCCCAGAGGTCGACGCCGTCTCCTCCAGCCCAGAGGTCGACGCCGCCGCCTCCAGCCCAGAGGTTGTCGCCGCCGCCGCCTCCAGTCCAAAAGTCAAGGACATCTCCTCCAGCGTCTCTGCCTCCAGTCACCGCCGGTCCCGCCCTCGCCAGACGCAGGCCCCCAAGAGCCCGTCGTCGTCGCCTCCTCCTCTGCCGCAGACGCAGGCCCCCAAGAGCCTGTCGTCGCCTCCTCCTCTGCCGCAGACGCAGGCCCCCAAGAGCCCGCCGTCGCCTCCTCTGCCCCAGATGCAGGCCCCCGGACTCTACTGGTCCCTGCCTCCTCTCCATCGGCCCCTCGGCCCCTCTTGGCCCTCCCTCCGGATCCCCCTCCTTCCACCTTGCTCTGTGTTCCTATGGGCGTCTGGAATCCACCCTTTGGGGGGGGGGGGGGGGGGGGGGTACTGTCACACCCTGTCCTGTCTCCCCATTTGGTTCAGCCTGCGTTTCTGTTAATTGCTCCCACCTGCCTCTCGTTTTCCAATCACCCAAGCTCCCAGCCCTCTTGTATTTAATCCCCTTCAGTTCTGTGTCTCTTTGTGGATCATTGTTTCATTGTCCAGCGTGTGTTCACCATTAAAGACTCCAAACTCATTCTGGTTTGTCTGCCTGCCTGCTTCCCTCATCCACGTGTGGATCCTTGTATCTGCCTCACTCACCGGCACGCGCTGACATTGTGTTTATATTTCGGCAAAAATGACCAAAAAACCAAGCCAATACAGCATTCCCGGAATCTGTTTATCTTTCTCTCCCCCGCTCTAGTGCATTCTTGTAACCATACCAAACAGCACTCCAGGAATCTGTTCTACAAGTCCCTTCCGGACCAATTTAACCCCTGGCTGGTCACCTAGGATTTTCTCTCGGTACCACAAGACAATAAGACAAACTTGTCTCACCAAATCTCTCCACTCAGGTCTTGAGTGATTCATGGATCCGCATTTCCTCCCAGCGACGCCAAGACACCCCCCAGCAAAACCCAGCGCTGGAGGAGATTCAGGTTATCGACAGTTCTCCGGCGTGGTTTCTTGGCGCCGCGAGGTGATGGGACCCCGGCTTTTGAAGGACCATGGATTTAAAATTTCCATAACACATTCAGAAGACGAGACTTTTACTCTGAATAAAGCTGATCTTTTTCTTGTCATAAATGACTCTTTAAAACTTCACATAATCATATTCTGGTGAATGAACAATTTGTTTAAATCCAAAGTGTTTGATTAATGTGTCCTATACTTCACATTAATGTGTAACGTCCAGCAATGGTCAGTTCAGGTACTGTTTGACCATTCAACATCTGGTCAAAAAGGAGACATGGGACTGCACGCGTTCCCTTTAAACCAGCTTGCCTTCCTCACACCAGCTGGAGCTCCAACAGAGATAACGAAATCATAACATTGACATCCTGTTCTTTCCAAGGTCCCTCACAGAGCAACTCTTTTATATAAACAAATGCAAGCTAGATAATAATTAAATAAACGTTTGTATATTGCTACTCATAATGATTATAAAACAATGAAATGTTTCATTAATCTGTGCTTAATGATTATTTTAGCACGTTTACTTGACAAGGTCGTAACATTTGCACTCACACAAGTACAAAGTAAGGTAAAGTTAAGTTCATGACACATAATTAACCTTTTACCACGATTGGAGCCTCTGGATCAAAGAAGACTGTACTCTCACCATTCCTTTTCACCCTGTACACCTCAGACTTCCAGTACAAATCAGAGACCTGTCATCTACAGAAATACTCAGATGACTCTGCAGTTGTCAGGTGTATCAGAGATGGACAGGAAGCTGAGTACTGAGAGCTGGTGGAGCGCTTTGTGGCATGGTGTGGAAACAATCATCTGACCTTGAACGTGAACAAGACAAAGGAGATGACTTTAGACTTCAGAAGAAACAGGGTGGAGTCAAACACTGTTTCCATCATGGGAGAAGAAGTGGAGGTGGTTGAGGAACACAAATACCTTGGAGTTCACCTGGACAACAGACTGGACTGGAGATAGAACAGTGAAGCTGTTTACAAGAAGGGACACAGCAGACTGCACTGAACCAGACTGAAAACCAAAGGGGACAGGGCCTTTCAGACTATTGCACCCAGACTTTGGAACAGTCTACCTTCAAATCTCTGTCTCTCTAACACTGTAGAGGTCTTTAAAAATCATCTAAAAAATCACCTTTTCATCCAGACGTTCCCTCCCTAAATGTTTCAAAAAGATGGCTTTGTTCGGGTTCACACCTTCACTTTGTTTATACTCATGATTTTATTTTCTATTTTATCGCTGCTATTGTTTTTCTGATGTTTTTATTGGTTAGAGGTATTTGCCCTGATCTTTATCATGTTGTACAGCACTTTGTGATTTATATCTGTGAAAGGCGCTATATTAATAAACTTTTACTTACTTACTTACTTCTTGAGGACGCTTAGGTCCTTCAGTGTCTGTAGCAAGATGCTGCAGATCTTCTACAAGTCTGTTGTTGAGAGTGTAATCTCTTCAGCCATCGCCTGTTGGGGTAGCAGCGTCAGAAGCAGGGACCTGAAAAGGCTGGTTCTGTTCTGGGGACGACTGTGGAACCACTGGAGGAGATAATGCAAAGAAGGATTCTCCAGAGAATCAAGAACATTATGAACAACCCTGAGCATTCTCTTCACAAGACTGTCTGACAACGGAAGTGTCTTCAGTCAGAGGCTTCTTCAGTTTGGCTGCAACACTGACCGCTACTGGAGATCCTTCCTGCCAACAGCCATTGTAATATACAATAACTCTTTGATGACTTGTCTCCTAGCCCCCCCCCCCCCCCCCCCCCAATCGAGACAATGGCTCTTTTAAGAGCCCCCGAACACGGGAGACGTGGAACGTCTAACCTGCAGACCCAGGTTACATCTCATGGCTGGACTAGAAATCTGAATTCAAAGGGAACTGAGATTCTTGTGGCCACGAGGTCTGGTAATTCACCACTCGGGCTGCCTTTCGTCCAGAGTGCTGAGAGCGACATCACAAGGTAAGAAAGGGTCAAGAGTATCCAGTCCGGCTGATTTATGAGGATCTAACTTGAGTAACTCGCCGAGTACCTCATTTACCTGAAACAAATGAATGGAGAAACAGGAATTGGTTGTGGAGAGGGAATCATTGCATATAGCTGAGTCGAGGTCAGAGACTCGTGAGACGTGTGAAGCTTTTGCAAAGGAATGACCGGATTTGATAAAGTGATTAATGAAGGAATTTACCATTTTAGTTTTATCTTATTTTATCTTGTTTTATTTTGCTTTTCTGACTGACTGGATACATTTGATCCTTATAGATCTGAACGATTGCCTGTTGCAGATATTCTTGGATGTCTTTGCCAAGATTGATGTTTTAGACGAATCAGCTCTGACAGTTCAGTGTTGATCCAGGGACTGAAATTATTTTTAACTCTGACTCTTTTTAAAGGACCATGTCTATCTAAAATCAAGATAAGAGTTTTTGAAATGTGACAGCATCGTTGACAGTAGGAATGAGGTTAATTCTATGCCATTGTTCTTTTGCCAAGTCACGTAAAAAGGCCTGTTCATTGAAGTTTTTAGCATTCATTTACTGATAATTTTGGAAGGTTGTTTAATGTTTGTACCATTGTAGTAAGTGAGTAAATTTGATTTTATTTACTTATCACAGACATAGAATCACAAAGCGCTTCACTGAAACAGATTAACATCAGAAAAAATAAAGTCATTAAATTATACAATTTCACAAACAGATGAAAGATGATTACAAATTTGAGTTAAAAATAAGAAAATAAAAAAATTGGGGTAAAAGCAATTTTAATAAAAGGGTCTTTAGCTGTGTTTTAAAAGTGTCCATCTATCAATACTACGTGAGGATAAAGGAAGTTCCTTCCAAAGTCTGGGTGCAACACACCCACAATATAAAGACTTTTGTTTCTGGTCTTTGGAACTTCTAGAAGGTTCTGGTGTGTGGACATGAGGACTCAGGTTGGAGCAGTGTTTCCCAACTCATGTCTGATTCAGCACACCTGATTTACACTGCCTCCTCAGGAGGAAATCAAGTGCTGCAGATGCCTGTTGATCACTCATTCATTAAAGTCAGGTGCTTGAAGCAGGTAAACACTGGTGTTTAAAAGGGAAACATGGAAAACATGCAGGACAGTGTGCCTTGAGGACCAGGGTTGGGAAACACTGGGTTGGAGCATTAGGCTTTAACAGTTCAGTAATATAGGGAGGAGCTTGACCATGTAGAGCATTGAAAGTTATAGTCAGGATTCTAAAATGAACTCTAAAGTTAACGGGTAACCAGTGCAGAGACATTAGAATAGGAGTGATGTGAGCTCTTCTGTTTGCTCCAGTTAGGAGCCTCGCTGCAGAGTTCTGGACCAACTGAAGGCGGTCAAGGACTTTTTTGTTAAAACATGTAAGATCTCGACGGGAGGAGATAAAGGCATGGATAACCATTTCAACTTCATGTTTTGACACCAATCTTCACAGTTTGGAGATATTTTTTAAGTGATAAAAACAGTTTCGGACCAATGTTTTTGAGTGGTCTTCAAGAGACATTGATTGGTCAAAAACAACACCCAAATTCCTTAAGTTCATCTTGACGTCAGACAATAAATGACCAAGTTTTTGACTAATCAGGGGAACCATGCTCTCAGGGGCAAATATCCATCATTCAGTCTTGTCAGAGTTTAAGTGAAGGAAGTTATCTTCTAGCCAGCTGGTGATAGCTGATAGACACTAACAGTTCAGTTTATAGAACTCAGAATCATTAAAAGAGCAGTGCAGCTGAATATCATCTGCATATAGGTGATAAGAGACATTATAAAAAGAATCAATTATCTGTCCAAGAGGGTGTATGTACAGTAGAAACAACAGTGGACCCAAAACAGAGCCTTGGGGTACCCCACAGAACAGATTGGTAGAATCTGACATGATCTGGTTTATACAGACACTGTAACTTCTGTTAGAAAGGTACGATCTAAATCAGTCTAGAACAGTTCCAGAGATCCCCACCGAGTCAACAAGTCTGTTAATTAAGGTGCTGTGATCAGCAGTGTCAAAAGCTGCAGAAAGACTAACAATACTAACACTGTAAACTCCCCGTTGTCTGCAGCCATCATGATGTCACTGGAAACTTTAAGCAAAAATGTTTTTGTTGAATGCTTTTTACGAAAACCATATTGGAATTTATCAAAACTGTTGTCTAGTTCCAGAAAAGTAATCAGTTGATCTGCAACAACCTTTTCCAATATTTTAGAGATTTAGAAATGGGTCTGTAATTTTTAGGCTGAGATGAGTCCAAACCTTTTCAAGGATAGGTTCAATAACTGCATGTTTGAAAACAGACGGTACAGAGCCAGATTGTAGGGATAAATTAATAAAATCTATAATGCATGGGCCAATTTGGTCAAACATCCTGATGAACAAGGTAGTAGGAATGAAATCAGCAGGGCATGAGGTTGGTTCCATGTGTGTCTGAATGAGGCAAATGTCCTGGAAATTTAAAGGAGTAAAGACTGACCTTGATTGGGGGGAAGATGGTCGGATGGGGGGTAGGAAGTAGATGGGGGTGAAAAACTTGCCCTGATATTTCTGATTTTATTCTCAAAGAATGCTAGAAAGCTGTTACAGTCAGACCTTGAGTAAACTGGCATAAGAGGGGCGTGAGGTGAAACGATCTGGTTTATGGTGTCAAACAGGAGTCATTTTTGTTTACAGCAATCAGCTGAGCAAAGTTAGCGGCCCTGGAATTTTTCACCATCTCATTCAGAGATGTTATCAGTTCTTTAAAGTACAGCCTGTGACTTCCTAATCTTCCAACGTCTCTCGACTCTGCAGCATGTCCTTCTGAGACTGTTAAAGTTTTGATTAATCCATAAATGATTTGATTAATCACCTTGTAAGAAAAACTGAAAGATACTGCAGCATTGCTTATCCAATGATTGGATAAACAACTTGGATCATCACCCTGAACTGAACCGCTGTCAAATAATCTAGAAAATCCATCCACTGCTGACTGATTGATGATACGTCGCTTTGATTTTAGGTTGTGAGGGACAGATTCAACACTAGATAGGACATTAAAGAAAATGCAGCTGTGGTCACAAAAAAACCTCTTCAACACGTAAATGATTGAATTTTAGTCCCAAATAATAAACATGATCTAGAGTGTGGCCCATTTTGTGTGTGGGGCCTGAAACACGCTGTTCTCAGTTAAGACTCCAAGAATTAAAACTTTTTCTAGTTTGATCGATAGAAATTCTGCAAATTCAGAGAGACAAAGGCCAGCTGAAATGTATAAAATATCCATATTGCTGCCACGTCTCCGTAACAAATACTTTTCTCTGATGAACAGCTCGTTTAAACTAAAGGATTTGTTTGAAATGGAGTGGGCATTTAACAGGGCATCCTGAACTGAATCCCGGAGAACATTTGTCTTCTTAACCTGTTGGGAGAGTGATGGGTCATAAACATCTGGTGCTTCTGGGTTCTCCGGCCATAAATACACTTTATGTCTTTGCTGGCTGATAAATGAATTGGAATATGAAGACTTTGGGGTTTGTCAGCAGAAGACAACATTTTGGGGATTGTGACCGTTGGAAGACACACAGAAGACTGTTGCATCATGGGAGGACTGTTGGGGGTGATGTTACTTGGGGTGGTGGTTTGAGCGATGACCAAAGAAGGTGAAGACACATTGCAGACACGAGCAGTAAAACAATGGTCATTAAAGCTTTGGCTAAAAACTGCAGATGAGTATTTTATTGGTCCGTTTGTGAGAATTGTATTTCTCTTCTTATAAAATGAGTCAAGTTGAACTTCTTAATCTTGGCTATTTCAGATAAAGATCAGAGATCACTAACCCGTTTCCCCTCTCACTCACAATTCTGCTGGAGATTTAAACATTCTTAACACTTCACTAAGTAAATGAAAAAGGCTGGGACTCAGAAAGAATCAAGTTTTGTTTTATTTCTTCAAACATCCTTCAGTACAACATGACTCGTATGAAATCCAACACCAACATCCTTATGAAACGCAACAGAGTAATGAAAAGATGTATTTTAAAGTGAAATTATGTATGATTATGTCTAATGCACATCTGAAATGTAATACATCATATACAGTTTAATTTGAATAGGTACATATTTATACTTTTGTGGCACAAAACTTCATTAAAAAGATTTCTGTTCCACCTTCACCACTAGCGATCGAGACCATTTTGACAGCATGCATCTGAAAATGTCTCTTTGTAAAACAGCTGCGGCAGATCAACTCTCTGCTGACACCTTGTGGTCAGGCTCAGAATTCCTGAAACCTAGCCTAAAATCTAGAAAAGCTAGTAGAAGCAAAATGATTTTGTTTTGCAGGTCGGTCTAATCACAATCTGTAGGAGTGACTGACTGACATCTGTAGCAGTACGTCACGTTATTCGTTGTCCAATAGCATGTGGAGACAGTCTGACAGACAACTGTAGATTCCACCCCAGATGGCTGGGGTTTATTCTCGTTTGGAGGTGTGACCACAGGTCTTGATCCAATTGGGCCCTGATAATCCTCCAGGCCAAGTACTCTGGTTTTGTTTTCATCCATGAAAGGTCTCTTGAACAACTCTTTGTCTCACCCTTCATCTAGGACCACTATAGGGAGCCCAAGTCTCCTCCCTTTCCGGTCAGCTCATGGGTTCCCAGAAGAACAAAAAAATGAATGCAAGTCAATGGAGATAAAAGAGCTGTTTTCTAATCCGCTTTGCCTTATGCCCTGGACCACACATATGTTGTACTGCAATTTAAATGAAAAGTAATGATGGGAGTTTTGACCACGCCAGTCACACCCTTTGAGATTTATCAGCTTGTAAAAGTTCATTATTAGCATGACTACAAACCAGAAATCGGCACGAGGGAAGGATTTGAAGTTAGGTGAACTTACAGCCATATTCCTCAGTATTCTCCATGTCTGGTTTGATGACGTCACTTTCGTGAAGCGCATTTGTAGTCCTGGACATATTTTCAAACAAAACCTAAAATAGCATTTCCTCTAGTTCGTAAATAAGCGCGTTCTTGGTATCAAAATGCTTCTTTAAAATTCACTGACATCATATGTAAAATCCATGGCACAAAACAAGCGGAACTAGAAAATAGCGTTTCTAGCCCCATTGACTTGCATTCTTTTTTTTTCGTTCTTCTGGGCACACATGGTCTGGAAGTAAATGGGTGTGACTTAGGCTCCCTATACCAAGGGTGAACCAACCAAAGAAAACTGCCATTGACAACATAGCTCTTAGGATCAATGGAGCAAAATAAATTTTGTCTTGAGAAGGTAGCTGTTCAAGGAGTCAACAGTACAACCTTTACCTTTGGTCATTAGCTTTGACCAAAAAAAAAAAAAGACCACAAATAAAGGAAGCCAAAATGAGTGTCCTCTGCAGGGTAGCCAGGAGCAAACCTTAATACCAAACCTTAATATTTTCTACAGAACTCACGTTTGTGGCTTTTTGCGTAGTTTAGAGGGGTGAGTCATACCAGCGTAATTAGATGCCAAATTGTGTACTTGCTATGCAAAATACGTTCAGGTTGGCAGGTCTGCAGGAGGGACTTGGAATGCAGATTTCTACATCAAGAGGAGCAGCCTGGGATAGACTGGGCATGTGGTCGGGATGCCCTTCCAGCTTGGACTTTGAAAAGCAAAGAATGAGTACAAGTGAGAGTATGAGAAAGTAGGCCAATTTCTTATGACGTGTATCACCATTGTCTAAGTCATCACAAAAGACAGGTTCATAAACATATCTTCTGTAATACATTAAAACACACACCAACCTTAGAACTGCCAGAAGTCTACTTACTCCTATGAGAACTGGGCTTTTTGTCAGGAGTCTCCTTACTCCTATGAGGATTGGGACTTTTGTCAGGAGTCTTCTTACTCCTATGAGGATTGGGACTTTTGTCAGGAGTCTTCCTACTCCTATGAGGATTGGGACTTTTGTCAGGAGTCTTCTTACTCCTACGAGGATTGGGACTTAAGTCAGGAGTCTTCTTACTCCTATGAGAACCACGCTTTTTGTCAGGAGTCTCCTTGCTCCTATGAGGACTGGGCTTTTTGTCAGGAGTCTTCTTACTCCTATGAGGACTGGGCTTTTTGTCAGGAGTCTCCTTACTCCTATGAGGATAGGGACTTTTGTCAGGAGTCTTCTTACTCCTATGAGGATTGGGACTTAAGTCAGGAGTCTTCTTACTCCTATGAGAACCACGCTTTTTGTCAGGAGTCTCCTTGCTCCTATGAGGACTGGGGTTTTCGTCAGGAGTCTTCTTACTCCCATGAGGACTGGGCTTTTTGTCAGGAGTCTGCTCGACCTCCGCTGAGGAATGGATTTGTCGGTGGAAAATTGTCTCGTGACTCAGTCTTTGCAATGTTGGCCTCTCGTGGCTTTGCGTGGGTGAAATATTTTGCTCGAAGCTTCTCCTCCTCAGAGAAGACCATTCATCATCTTTCCTGTGGAATGGGGATTGTCTCTCCTTGCTCCTTGAGGTGGATGGGTGATAAAATGGAGACCAGGAACGAGACTGAGATCTAACAAAGAAGCAGTTAACAGTTTGGTTAATCTTTTGATTAAGAATAATATATATCACTGTGGATTTTCAGAAAATATGACATTCTAAAATAAAATGTGTTGACTCAAATCTACGTTTCTTATTTAACATCCCAAATCCTTCTCCTGACAAACCCGTGAGTGTCTCGAAAGCTGTGTGGTGAACGGGATCTTGTTCGTGATCTTGATCGTGATCTTGATTTTGACCTTGTTAGTGATCTTGATCTGCTTCTGCTCAAAAATGTTGTTTTAGGTTTATGTCAGTTTGTGAAAAAGAGAACAAGAAAACATAGTTTGAGAACTGAAACTTCCAAAGATCAGTAAAGAACACATTTGTCTGAAGAAAAAAAATGTTTACCTGCTGAGTTTTCGAACCTGACCATCCCATAATGGATATCTGAGTGAAATAAAGCACATCTGTTTTAAAGACCATCATCTACTTTTTTAAGACTACCTCAACCAGATAAACATTCTCAACAACAGTTGTAAATGGCCTGTATTTGATATAGCGCCTTCTAGAGTTCTGGAGGCCCCAAGGCACTTTACAACACAATCAGTCATTCACACACATTCACACCCTGGTGGTGATGATCTACATTGTAGCCAAAGCTGCCCTGAGGCACACTAACATGGGCGGGTCTGCCGTACACAGGCGACACCAGTCCCTCCGAACACCACCAGCATTTAGCATTAGATATATTCCCACACAAGAGACTTCAACCACTACCAAGGTGGAAATGGAGCAGTCCCGATGGCTGTTGTCAATGGTTCTGCTTCTGAAGTGTGCGTGCGTGCAGTTTCACTTTAGTCTTTGTCCATGCAGGTCGTGCTATTGTCTTTTTGTTTTTTATTGGTGGTGTTGGAGACGTCATTATGGTGGGTTAACCAGAGTTAATAGTAAAACCGGTTAATTCCTGCAACACTAGACAAGACTCTACCACTGACTCTGTTTACTCTACAATGCTGATGTTTTATCTCCACAAACAACACAAGCCTGAAGAGTTCTTCTTTGTGGTGGAGTTGCTAATGCTAACTCCATTTTTAGTTCTTTTTAAAACACAGGAAAGGTTTTTCTTTACCTGCTAACATTACGTTTGCGGCTGCAAACATCGTCAGAGCTGACGCTGACAGCAGAGACGCTGCTGCCCGCAGATAAATGGAGAAGGAAGTGACGCCACCATCAGCGTCAGCTCTGACGATGTTTGCAGCCGCAAACGAAATGTTAGCAGGTAAAGAAAACCCTTTCCTGTGTTTTAAAAAGAACTAAAAATGGAATTAGAAACCGAACACAGAAAGAACACACCAAAGATGCTAATGCTAACAGTTAGCTTCTGCTAGTTGAGACGTTCTCTGCCGTTTGCTGGATGCTAAACCAATAACAACCTTCCCTGTCACGAGTCAAGATGGGTGAGTTCATGAATGTTAAGTGACAATGTAACAATCTGTCAGGCTTTTCAAATCCTAGAGTTTCACCATCTATTTTTTATCAGAAGCTAATGCAGGAGATAGATGTAGGAGGCTTTTTTTCATATTCAGCCTGCATGAAAAACTCAGAGTGATCGATTATAATCATGAATAATAATTATAAAATGTTTTTTTTCTTCAGTTTTCCAAACCTTTAATAAGACACATATTTTATTTCAAAAGCCTGTTAATTCATTCACTGCCATTGACGACTAAAGTCGTCATTTTAAATCCAACCGTTCACTGCCAAGGATGACTGCATTTTTTTAACTGTGTGGGTGTCAGAGCAAGCCCCTGCACCGTGAGAACAAACATCTCAGCTCTAAAGCCCATCTTCATCCGCATATGTCACACGTCACGTGACCAGGAAGCAGAAAATCCATGTGTTAGGAGATCGTTTTGGGCCGCTGCTGTAAAAAAAACGTGAGGCGCAAACCAGAAAAGCTTCTGCCGATCACAACTCAACAATGGATTATGAAAGAATGGATAAAGCTTGAAACGTGCGGATTCTTCCTGATGTAAGAGGCAAGTCTCCCCTTTGTTTTGGCGTCGACATTACCCTAGCACGCAATGTTCTGTGACTCTTAAAAAAAATAGTAAAAACGGTGAGAAACACTGGCAGCGAAGGGCTTTACTGACCAGGAAACGGTTGGCAGCGAATGAGTTAAGTTGCATAAAGACGAACTATGTAAGAATTTTACAGTGAAATAAACACAATACATTCTAATCATGTTGGAAAGAAAGTTACATTGAAACAGAGGGCATGTCAGTTCTCTTTTCAAAATGTTTAAAAAATATAGTCTGTTTTCAATCTGTGAGTCTGAGAGGTTGCGCTAAGCTAACACTGCAGAGTCGGCGTTTGTAATTTAGCACCGGCCAGCAAAAAGCTTCAAGAACCAAAGCCAATAAACACGAGCAACCGTAATTAGTGTAGTGAATTCTTCCAACCATAAAACACCCAAGAGGGAAAACCCGATATTTATCTACTTATTGGTTTACCATCTGTGAAAAATCTTGTATTTTCTAGAATCTTCTGGTACTAATCTGTAACTGGCAACAGCCATGAAACCCACGGAACGGTAGTGAGAAAGTCACTTTTTGTTTATATAAATAGACTGCAGTAACCAAATTTGGCCAGAGAATGTCATTCTTACTGCATCCTTACATTTTGCAGTTTTAAGCTAAGAACCTTTTCACCTGCCCAACAATTACCCACTTAAAAGTGTCCTTCCATAAGATACTAATCTTTAATAAATAACAATGAAACTCTTTCAGGGAAGAATTCATTAGATGACTCACTGTTGACGGAGGCCTTTACAGCGCTCAAGGTGAAAGCTGGACATCTGGTGAGAGAACCAATCCTGCAGTTCAAAACAGTAAAACGTTTAGAAAGGAATCATTGCCAGTAATTTGCCCGAATAGCCATTTATTTTTCATTCACTGAATATGTTAAATTTGTCTGGGTGATAATTCTGACATTTATGTGGGGACGATTAAAAAAATTTGCTTATTTCGGGTTATTTTTAGAGATGTCCCATTTCGATATCGACATCGGAAGTAATTTGATATTGGCCCCAAAACAGTGTATCGGATTACATCGGAAGGCATCAAAAATCTCCGACATAAGCAGTCTGTTAAGGTTCACATTTTTGCAACCAACGGTTAAGAAAAAAATTGTCATTTTTTTCATACTTATTGGCTCTTGTTCGCCAATTGAGTAATATCACTTGATGAAGCCTTTCATGCATTCCACACTATGAAATAGGTAAAAGTATGTATGATTTGTGCTGGTACTGTATCGTATTGATATTGGTATCGGTCAGTACTGAAGGCTGCAATATCGGTGTCGAATCAGAAGTGAAAAAGTTGTATCGGGACATCCCTAGTTATTTTAACGAGAATAGGTTGCCCTTTGAAAATGTGGCATATAAGGTGTCTGGCTCAGCTACATGATACCACTTTTCTGTAAATCCACCTGCAGGGTTTGCTGAGGAGCTGTAATGGACCCATTGTCTGTGGATTGGGCAAATGTTAGCGGTAGAGGCCTTTGTGGTTTGATTCTCAGTAATGGAAACCGATTACGTGATCTAGAGGGTCATGATTGAGAGGAATGACATGTCTCATCTGAGCAGTGATTTGTTGATGGACTTTAGTGCAAGTGTCCCCATTAGAGCTTTTCTAGCCTCCCCAGGAAGGCAGAGACAAGTAGCAGCACAAAGTTGTGGCCATAAAGTGGTTTGTAAATGTCATTGAGGTAACCCCCAAAAATCAGTGGTGGACACTGGAGGACAAGGGAGCCATCAAGCTGAATGAGGAGTCTTATGGGGCTGTGCTCGCTTGTGGGAGTCTGAAAGTGCCAGGCAGATTATTAGCAAGTTAAGCAGATCACAGGTTGGGGCATTGCAGAGGTAAAAACACAGATATGGTGGTTGTTTGGTGACTTTGGCGAGTCTTAAGAGTTGTGGCAGAAAACATTACAGTCTGGGGTAGTCTACTTAAACTGTTGCCCCCACAATCTGGCCTCTGATGAGCAACAGACATAAGAATGGATACCAGGGTTCAGAACAATGTACATGTAAAGGATTGCATATTATTAACGTCTACAATAAATCTCTTTACATAAATGATTTACTCTAAATCAGACTATGATAGACAATACATGTTTAGATAGAATTGACACATTTAGTCCACTATAGAGCTCCGGGAGTTGACGTCACTTCTCCCGGCATGCAACAGTTCAAATCGAAACGGCGCCATATTGGCAGGCAGAAGCCAGCAGCTGGACTATTTGTTATTGTCAGAAAACTCAAACAGACAGGAAATATGGTAGATTCCTGTTGTGCCCCAGGATGCAGAACAGATGCGGACGACATAAGGAATGAGCCATCTACAGGATTCCCCAAGATCCGGAGCGCCGCAAACGTTGGATCATTGTAATAAAACGCGCTAGTGACCGGGCTAAAATGAAACTGTGGGATCCCGAGAGTAAAGGTTTTCACTTATGCAGCGACCACTTCAGGTCAGGGCTGGGCGATATGGCAAAAATAGAATATCACGATTTTTCCAATATTTTATCACGATTTCGATTTTATATCCATGAATAGCATAACTTCAATTGCGTATTAAAGAAGAGAAACATTGAATAAATAAACATTTATTCATATTAGGGATAATCAGCACAGTGCTAACACACTTATATTTTAAACTCACATCAGAGATGATAAAAGCCCCGAGAAAAACAATTACAAAAATCAGTTTTTCTCGTTTTTCAAGTAACTTAACATAAATTAAAATCGTAAACATATTTAAAGTGCAAACATGTCAGTTGCAAACGTATTGTGCAAACATTAACTTGTTCAAAATACTATGTAGCTCCCAATTGCTCATGTAGTGGATAGTTAAGCTCAAATACGGCTCTGATGTGCGGCTGGACCAGAGATCGTTTGTGGTAGCAAAAAACTGCGCATTCTGAATATTTTCTGCAACAAGTCTCTAAATAAAGTAAAAATTTCCAGTGCAGATTGGAGACAACCCATAGAAGCACTGATTTGAACTTATTTCAGAGAAAAATAGAACAGGTTAGATGCACCTAATAAATAAAATTACTAACAAACTCAGGAATCTTTCTTTGCTTCATTGTTCTGGTGCTGAAAATATCACTAATGTGGATCAAAGGAGATACACAGAAGAATACACGTCTTATTATTTGGAAACTACATTTACTGCAGCTGACAGAGGCAGAGATTGTTTCTAAGAAGCGGTGTTATTTTCCTGCTTCAGAAGAAGCGTCCAACGTGTTTTTACGCTTTCTCCGAGACATGTCACGTCACTAAGTTGTTAGCGCCGCGCGCTAAGGAAACCCTGCGTTCCTCTTCGGAACGAAAACCTCGTTGTCGCTCAGCCGCGGCGAAGCCATGTTTGTTCACACACAGGTGAAAACAAGCGGGGCACTAATACATTACTATGACTCACTCTGATTGGTTAAGGGTCAAACAAAGGCGTGTCATTCGCCTGAGGTAAGTTCCATTTTCATTCAGAGGCAGAAATTCAACAGCAGAGCTGTGAATCGTGATAAAAAGGTCTCTCAAAAATGACAGACCGTCAGATGTGTAGATCGTAAAACGGTCTAAAATCGTCATATCGCCCAGCCCTACTTCAGGTACTTAAACGTTTCCTCAACTGTGTATGGTATTTATCTTAAATGCTTTTATTACGATTCTTAGTGGGCTTCCTAAACTTATTTTGGCGTGGCTTTTTCTGTCTTATTACTCATAGCAACAAGTAAACATCACGTAAAACGTTGCCTCGTGAGTTCTGTGTGCTGCTGTTTACGTGTTTTATGATCACAGCAAATAACCGGCTAAGCTGTATTTAATTTTTAAGCAATGGTTGATCAATTGTCAGATTACACATAAAAAGCACTTTGGATTGCTATTATCTTTCTCACCGAGACAGATCTCAGACAGATCCTGAGACGCTCCTGCCTGACATATTTACTTTATTCACGGAAAACAATCAAACTAGTGATTTCTCTTGGTGTTCAGTGTATACATTCAAACAGCACAGCACTCTATTTAAACTTCTCACATGTAAATCTGTTATTTGTCCATCCATCCATTTTCATCCGCTTATCCGGAGTCGGGTTGCAGGGGCAGTAGCGTCGAGAGGCCCAGACTTCCCTCTCCCCAGTCGCCTGAGCCAGCTCCTCCGGGGAAATCCCAAGGGGTTCCCCGGCCAGGTCCGGTAAGAAGTCCGCTCCGACAGCTTCTGGAGTTTTTAAAAAGTATCCCAGGGGCACGGTGAGGGTCGGAGATGTTTAGTCTATATAATTTCTGACTATATAAAACGATTTCTTCGGTTTTAAAGTGTGAAGTAAACTCCGACGAAGTAAAATCCAAGCCGATCCCGTTCATGTTCATGTTTACGATCCGTGTTTGTTTACCTTTTTTTCCTGCCAATATGGCGTCTACTAACCGAGAGTCACGTGGGGTCCAGAGCTCTATAGTTTTATGTACATTATATTTAAATAATGACTTCCAACTAGCACAGATTTGTAGCAATTCTGAATAATTACCACTACATTTGGAAAAAAAGTACAAAAAAATACGGCAAACATGCATTCTACTCACCGCCATGTTGTGACTGCCTTCTGTATTACAGATAGAACAGGTGTATGGAAAGACCTTTGGCGTAATTGCAGCATAGTCATTCATCTGACATAACAATGGTAGAAATCTGGAAAGCTTGTCTAAATACAGGTTGGAAGGTGAAAGTGGCATATGATCAACATCGTTAAAGGTAGGGCGGGGGCAAAAGGGAGCTCTATGTGTAGAAGCAAACTGATGCTGCAAATCTTTGTCAGTCTTGAATCCTGGTTGGGTCTGCTGTAGCTGTCCATGCTTCGCAGTCTGCTGATTTCCCTTCTCTTTACCAGCTATTATCCCTTTTTCTTGAGTTTTACTTTGCTCATGGTTGGAGTTCTTAGAAGCTGGGCAGTTAGGACGCTTAGTGCAAGATTGATTTGTTTCTGACGTCAACAGGTGGCCTGCCCCCGACTGTTTGAAAGGACCCTTCTTTGAACTGAGGTTGGTAACAGAGTCTGAGTCGTTGGTTTTTACATTTTTTGGTATTGACTCCTTACTGCAACCAACAAATTTTTCATTGTCTACTTGTAACACACCTCTTTCACCACCAGAAGGTTTGCTTGTCTTTTCATTTTTACCCCCAACAGGAACGCCAGAAACTCTACAATGAACCAAGTTACTCCCACCCAGAATATCTGTTGTCTTCTTGTTCTTGGTTTTCTTCTTCATCTTTGCTGGGTTTTTATTCACATTTAAATTGTTTTGCAAATCCACACTTTTGTTTGAAGAGGCTTTATGAGAATTTCCTACCCTTCCATCTATTTTCTGCTTCTGAATGCGAATTTGACGCAAGAAGTAAGGCAGACTGTCAGGAGTAATCTCATTTTCAGGGTAAGAGGCTAGACCTGCCAAGTCCTCTTTTACAAGTCCAAAGCTCAAGAGAAGATTTTCAGCTGACTCCGCAGTAAACCTGGGTGGACTGGACTCAAAAGGTAAAGCAGACTGGCTTGTGACTGGATCTTCCCCCAAACCTGGGATGCACTGTACATCATGTACCTGCTCACTATGAGTAAATCTCTCATAAACACATTGAGTCTCTCTGTGAGGTGATACTGATCTGTCTCTACTGTCCTTGGAGCCATGGTGGTGACAAGGTGAATTGGAACGTGACCTGCTTCTGGATTTTTGCACTTGACCCTCCGAGCAACGAAAAGAGCCTTTGTCATGTGGATAGGAATGGGAGGGATTACTCTGATGATGCACAATACTGGACCAGAAACTTCCAGCAGAGTTGTCCATTTTAACTTCCGAGCTGCGGGAGTTGAGTGGACTGCATGGCCGAGAATGGCCATCACAGCTGGTTTTCTGGTCACAACGCTGCAGAATCTGGGAAGTTGAAGGCAAGGCCTTGGTTTTTCCACTGTGAGCAATGTCAAAACAGAAAAGAAGAAAAGCAGAGTAAGAAAGAAAACATTTGAAAGTCAGGGTGGTATTTGTTCGAGTTTGTCTGAGATGAATGAATTTACCTGATGGATGGTCGTTCCTCACCATCCCACTCTGGAAACCTGTGTGAAAAACATAAATATGTGTATCTGAAGAGGACGTTATCCACTACAAAAACAATACAAATATTACACATACATTTTCATGACATTCATAAACCCAGACCTCACTTGCCTCTCAACAGTCAGGGACAGTCCCTTTACTCAATAAGATAAGGACTGTGTGATGTAACACATTTGCTGTGGTCTATGGTATAAATGAATGCCAGAGGGGAGCTGAAGACGGTAGGATTTGGAGTCTTATTTCCTGATATTCGTAGCCTGATAAGCCATCCTATAAATGGGATTATAAAGTCTGGCCATGACCCATAGACAGATCTCAGTCATGGGGCGGAATCTACATTTGTCTTTCAAACTGCCTCCACATGCTATTGGACAACAAACAACATGACATACTCACTGCAATGGATGTGAGTCTACGGGGCAGTCTGCCATAAAGTGTTGAAGAAGACACAAATGCATCCTTTTCTTGACTCAAAGAAACGCCCAAGACTAAACAGTCCAAAGTTGATGCCAAAGTCGTTTCAACGAGCTGTCGCCATATTGGCTGTTACACTCTATCGCCACATCCCGCCATCCTGACTGCAACCACAGGGGTAGCAGTATCTCAACAGGTTGAGCGGGTTGTCCAGTAATAGGAAGGTTGCAGGTTCGATCCCGGCTCTGGACAGAGAATTCTGCTGTTGTGTCCTTGGGCAAGACTTAACCCACCTTGCCTGCTGGTGGTGGTCGGAGGGACCGGTGGCGCCTGTGCTTGGCAGCCTCGCCTCTGTCAGTGCGCCCCAGGGCAACTGTGGCTATATCGTAGCTCATCATCATCAGTGTGTGGATGTGTGTGTGAATGGATGAATGATACACTGTAGTGTAAAACGCTTTGAGTTCTTACTCAGAGGTGCTATACAAGTGTGGGCCATTTATCCAAACTGAGAGCGCTAAGATTGGCGAGACACAACACGGCTCAAGCCAATAGTAGACCTACTGAGGCTCCAACAGAGAGTAGCCAGACCGACCAGCAGAGCAAAATCGCTTTGCTTTTGCTACGATCTGTCTAGATTTCTAGGCTGACATTTGGACATCATCATCATTTTTCCTATAGCACCTTCCACTACCTTTGTAGTAGCCCAAGGTGTTGTACGCTAGGGCCGAAGGATCTATCGTTTTTGCACCGAAATTGTGATTTCAAACAGCACGATCATGTGACCGTCAAAGATGTGGTTTTAGCGGTTTTGACTGATCCAGAATCAGTTGAGTAACTATTTTTTACATCCAGGGTTTTCCCCTGTGTTATGGTGGTGGCAAATGCCAGAGCGGGGGAGGGGGGTGGGGTGTACCGTCCAGAGCCGAGCACAACTCCACAGCTGACAGAGCTGCATGTTCAGGTTATTTTCCCTGTTTTATGTTACCACCAAGCCCCCACAATGCGGCTCAAAAAGTGAAGCAATCCCGGAAGTACTAAAAATTGCAGTTCCACCCTCATCCACTGGGGGCTGGTGTCAGAAGCGAGCAAATCCTCATTGACTCCCATGTTAATACCAATTTCACAGCAGAAATAAACATGTTTACAGCCTGGTACCAAAACATGTTTTTGGTTTAAATTATCTAGTTTACACTCATGACAACTCTGAGGGGGTGAATTTTTTCTCACTCTTCTGTTTAAGTGTATTAAAAGCCTAAAATTCTGTATAATTAATGAGCATCAGACCCACGTGACCACAGAGCTAGCTCCGTGGAAAGGCCTCAGTAGAGCCTCGGTCTGGCTTGGAAACTGTTCCAGGATTTTGAGTCTCTGTGTTTGTGTATTCTTGTTTGGATATGTTTTGTGCAATTGTTGGACAAAATGACTTGCTGTGGCATTAATTGCACTAATAGAGCGTCCAAGGAGTCTCCACTTCATTTTTTTCGGTAAGTAAAATTATATTTAAGTATTTTAGGTCACTGCCGAGCTGAGCTTAGATTTTAACATGTACTGTTTAACCATGAAATTTAAATGTAATAGGGTAAACCCCAGTGCATTTAACATGATGCTGCACTTTAGAAAATGGGTTGAAATATAACATGTTGGTGGAGCTGGGTTCCAACTATCGGCTTGTGGAGCTCTCGGGAGACCGATGTTTTCCACCCGGTTCTCCCCTCCCCGCAGCTCGGCGCATCTCTGTCTGATTGTGGCTTCTGTGTGCTGCGGCGGGCTGACGGCTTATGGAGCTCTGGGATGGAAACCTTTCCACCCGGTTCTCCCCAGCAGCAGCTCTGCGCATCTCAGATGGCAGCGGCGCTTGTCTGCTGTGCGGCTGCCGGCTAGTGGAGCTCTCGGGAGACCTCTGTGTTTCACCCAGTTTTACCCAGCGGTCAGCACGGCGTATCTCTGACTCAGAAGCTCTGGTGTTGTGCACAGTTAACTCCGGTTGTAGCTAGGTTGCTTCCTCCGTTAGCTTAGCTCCCACCTCCGTGTTAGCTTTGGGTTAGCTTGTAGCTAGTTTGACCGGGTGTCGTCAGTTGATCCCAGCCTTACAGCCCCACCACCATTCCCTTTTATGGAATTGTCTGGGCTTGACGGAACCTGTGACACGGTCAAAATGGCGGTGGTGGCCACCTCCCATTTGTCTTCAAAAATGTGTTATTGGAGTCTATGGAAACCCATTGTCCAATATTTATATGTCGATGATTTCCACACACAGCGCTGCTAGAGCCGATAATAATGGCACCGTAGGTGAGCCCGGGACACAGAGAGAGAGAGAACGTAGTTGAGTAAGGGAGCGAGAGACTCCTCCCACATCAGAGCAGGTTCAGGCTGATTTCTAAAGCTTGGTTTATGCTTCATCAGCGCGAGTGTGGAGTTGTGCATTTTAGTTGACTTGAAAGCTCAACTTCTTTTTTAAAAATGGTTTGAGTGTTTCTGACGGCACACGTTAGTTCAAACAAGCTAAGGTGTCAGAATGCGTGCGTCTCTCTCATGGAACTGACGTTAGTGAGGAAGAACTATCCGACGGCTTGGAAAAACGTGCTGCCAGCCTGCCTTGGTAATGCAGGGAAAACTGAGCATTTTTTGTTATTTAATACATTTAAACGCTATTTCTACCTACAGATTTCCTCCATGCAATGTTGGGAGTAGAACATGTTTTTATAAAGCTCTCTAAAAATCACAAGCACAAGGTGCTTCACAAACACATAAAAAAAGATAATAATGAGAAAATTATAATAGCTTTAACTGTTTTTATTGTATGATTAAATAGTAAATATTAAAGCGAATAATTTGTTGTACTAGATTAGAATCTAGACCATTTTTTCACTTAATCTACAGGATGGCTTGGCAGGCTAATAAAATAAAATAAAAAAAGAAGCAAACGCATAGTAAAAGAATATTTTACACTCAGACAATAAAACAAGTTAAATAAGTAAAGATTGAACTTGAAAATTTGCAAGACAATAAAAGAATAAAATCACAGTAAAACCAAGACTGACATGACTCAACAAGAAAGGGCCAATTGGTAAAAGTGTGTCTTTAAAAGAGACTGGAGGGATGGTGCCTGCCTCACAAGCAAAGGCAACGCGTTCCATAAGCTTGGGGCCACCACAGAGAATGCACGATCACCCCTAGATTTGTATCTAGAGCGTGGCAATTCCAAAAGTTCCCTGTCTAGGGAACGCGAGACCCTTGAGGGGGTGTATCTATGGAGCAGCGAGGAGAGATAGCTAGGGGCAGTGCCCCGTAGGGCCTTATACACGTACAGCAGGGTTTTAAACTTAAGCCGATACTCAACTGGGAGCCAGTGAAATTGGACCAATACAGGACTGACATGTTCCCTTCTCCTAGGACTAGACAAGAATCTCGCCACTGAGTTCTGGACAAGTTGAAGGCGGGCAAGTGCACCTGAGCTCCCACCAGCATACACAGCATTACAATAGTCAAGGCGTGACAATGCAAATGCATGTAAAACCGTTTCTAAATGGGCCCTCGACAGCATTGGCTTGATCTTAGCCAGGGGTGTCAAACTCAAATTCACACCGGGCCAAAATGAAAAACTGGGACGAAGTTGCGGGCCAAACTCAATATTTTTTAAAAATTGACGGCAAATGTGCACATTTTCCTTTATCTACAGAACTAAAACTCTCCATCACACTCACATCGTCTACCTTCAGTAACTCATTACGATCAATAATTTCTCATCAATGTGCTTCTGGCTGCTTTCAGACTGCCTTGACAGCTCAGAACAAATGTTTTTAATTGTTTTATAAGTGATTTAGTCCTGTTATAACATGTTGGTGTTTATATATTCTGCTGTTGGTCTGGTTGTTGTAGTAAACAAGAATGGAATCTTGATTCTGGTTAGATTAATAAAATAAAGACAAAATAGGAAACAGAACGTACCATTAATGGATGCTGATATATGGCAACTAAATCTAGAGACGCAGGTCCAGGTTTGCAAAGTGAACAATCAATATTTGGTGCTACAGAACTGAAGACGGGTGTGTTTTTCATGATTCTGTAAGGTTATGAAGTTCATTATTTTCAGCTCCACACAGCTGCCCTGTACACAGTAACACCCGCGTATAAAAGCCAAGGTGGGGTGTTCCTCAGACTGTTTACATTCCAGGAGAAGAGTCCGAAGGAGAAGAACGCTTTTACTTAATCAAAGTACTTTATTTGTGATTAAAAAAATTAAGCAAAACATATGTTGATCAATAATAATCAAGTGAATGATCTGTGGAATAAAGATTATGTGTTTAATGAAAACAGGACTACGGCACAGACAGACTGATCCTCATCTCCATAGAAACGCATGACACATTGTTCCAACCAATCAGAGCTTTCGGCTGCCGCAGGAGAATCTGGCTTGTTGACTTAAAGTGTCCAATCCGCTTTACTAAAACTTATCAACAATTCAGAGATATAAAACAAGGCAACGCCATTTTAAGCTCAGTTCCATTTTGACTTCAGTTCTATTCACCGTCATCCCAAAGAAAAGCGCAGCCTGGCCAGATGTGTTTTCTTCTTTAAACTAAGAACTGTGAAGTTGGAGATTTTCGTCGTTCAACAACCAGACAACATCCTTTCAAAATAAGAGCACCTGCTGACGCCGCCGATTGGTACCGGGGTCGACCCTTCAGACGGGCTTTGAAGTGCTGCGACCGCTGCACCGACAGCTCCAGCGCACATCCGAGGTCTCCAGACCTGGCATTTCCTGATCTACCTGGGAGGCCCCCACTGGGTACGTACACGGCAAAATAGCGGCTCATGTCATCACTTTATAAGCCTCGTGATATCTAGTCATAACAAAGACTACCAGATTCAATGACGTCAGCCTAAGGAGTTTGAACCAACCACACACACACACACACACACACGCACCAACACAATATCCAAATCCATTTTCATCCATCACAGAGTTAGTCCTGGTAGATTGTTTAGAATTTATAATTAAGAAATTAAAGATTGTCAAACGATCCCATCTCTCTCTCTTTTCTTGTCTCAAAGTCAATACAGAGTGTTTAATTAAACTCCCTAATGACAAAAACAGCCTATTCTTCTGATTATAAAAAGTGATCTACTTACAGTGTATTAAAATGCAACTCTAGATAGTTACATCACTTCAATTCCGTTACAATTCACTTGTTTTGTAACTTTCTCCCATGTCCCCCTAAGCATAGCGCTGGGAATGAAGCTGATCTATAAAGAAGAGCTTAAGAGAAGACTCACTGTTTCTGGAGAAGTCTGCGGCTCTCTTGGTGAAAGCTGGTGCTCTGATGAGAGAACCATTCCTGGTCATCAAAACAGGAGCAACATGATCAGAAAAGCCACGACTGTCATCAGCTTTGAGACAGAAACAAACTAAGCCAGTGAAGCTGACCCACCTGCATATGGACACATTCTTTGTTACACAGAGAGCAGGTGTGTGGAAAGACTCTGGGTGTAGACGACGTGTAGTCATTAACCATGGATGACGGTGGTAGACCTTTGGAGACCGGACCTTTCTGGTCCCTATTCTGTTGATTCTCTCCATATTGAACACGATTCTCCTCATCAACAGCGCTCCGGACCTCCTGACTGCAACCACTCGGTCTCTGATTGTTCGACAGTGACGCATCTCCTCTCCCACAGCGGTCTTCACTCGTCTTTTCAATCTCATCCTTACTGGGAATGCCAGAAGCTCCAAAGTCCATCACTTTCCTTTTTTTCAGAATACTTTTTGGCATTTTGTTCTGGTGTGTTACCGTCTCCTTGGAATCTAAACTGGTTTTTGAACTCATGCTGGTGGAACGATGGAGCTCTGAGGAGACTCCGGCAGCTCTTTTCCGCTTCTTAATGCTAATCTGATGCAAAATAAGAGGCAGATTTTCAGGTGTGAGCTCATCTTTGGGGTAAGAGTCAAGTTCTAACAAGTCCTCTTTTACAAGTCCAAATGCCATCAAGATGTCTGCAGCCGACTCTGCAGAATACCTGGGTGGACTGGTCTCAGGCGGTAGAGCTGAGACTGAATTTTCACTCCATTCAGGAATAAACGGCGCATCATCTGTCTGTTCACTACATGAAACTCTACTTTCATCAAAACCAGAAGCTCCAGATGATGAGAAGTGCCTGGAGGTATCACCATTTGTGTTTCTCATCAGTGACCAGTCCTTGGAGCTGCTGCCAACACCAGAGTGTTTAAGTCCTTGAAAGGTTGATGCCCCCGGTTGAGAGATCCTGCCAGTGCTTGATGTAGGAACCTCATCTCTATGAGGGTCGGTAGAGTAAGTGTCCACACCAAAAGGCTGATGCCCCATCTCTTTATTTCTCCAAGCAGGGACGTCTACAGACCTCTCAATGTTCTTATCCAATAAGGCAGCCTTCTGCTCAGGCCAGAAGCTCGCCGGTGGAGTCAGCTGTGGAGATATTGCTGTGCTGCTAAAGTTAGTAAAAGTCGAAGATCCAGATGAACTCAAGCTGAATGTCGGAACGAAACCAGGAAGTGATCTGTGATCTTTCACAGATGGATGACTCTGAATCTGAGGTGAATAGTGGTGAGACATGGCGTTGGAAAATTTCTGATTGTTGAAGAGACCAAAACTTTGGCAGCAGAGGTTAAAGCTGTCGTCTCGACCACTCCTTCTCCCTGGTTGATCAGATCCCTTCAGGCAGTTATGTTATTGGTCTCAAAACGACGCCTGGTCACTGGAAGAACAGACCGGAGAAGGAGAAATCATGAGCTCCATTAAAGGGGATATATCATGCAAACCTCATTTTCTGGATCCGTTTGTGCTGCCAGGTGGGTCTCTACTGCCTCTATAGACACTCCAAACATCCATCAGTTTTCTGTGTGAGTTATGTGCCCAAAACAATCTGTTTCAAATAGTCCCCATTTGTGATGTCATCAACAAAGAAATTTGTTCTCACATGCAAAGGAGCTTCTCAGCTAATAGCAGCCCAAGTAGCGGTGGGGTGGGCATGGCCAGCTCAAGCTCATTTCCTTTAAGTGACAGAGCCCTGAAACGGCTCATTCTGGAGGGTATTGAAATGTCCAGAGCTTTACCTGAGAGGGATTTGGTGCAAAGAACTTTAGCTTAAAGGCCCCATGTGTGAAATTGATTGAAATCATGATGAAAAAAATGTCTCTTTAGCGCCATGCAGTTCAGAGAAAGTATTGCAGCTACGGTGGCTCACTCATGAGTTTGAACGCAGGGTTTCCTAAGCTTGGTTTATGCTTTGATGCATTCACTTTCTGCTTGGTGATGCGGCTCGTGGATGGAACGCGCTTCACAACTCGCAGCGTTTATGGTTCGTGCGGCTCGTCTCCACGGTGAGCCAATATTCTCCCAAACTGAAAGAGAGGGTGCTCGCTGCGGAACCACAAAGGCGGAGCTGCACCAGAGTCAGCCCCGCCCACTCACGCAAACAGCCTAGCCCACTGACTTCTTTTTTTTTTTTTAAATCTTATCGCAAACTAACCTGACCCACATGAATTACGGCTGTTACTAGTTTACAAATGCTAATGCTATGTTCTATGCTCCAATTAAACAAGATAAATATAACTTGCGACATGACAAAGCCCGAATATATCCCGAAATTATAAGGTTTCTTTCAGTAAACATCTGTCCATAGCCGCTCCAACAGAAGTGGCCTACAACAGCATTTCAGGACGATTGATTAGTGGGCTCTGGTAGTCCAGTGGCAAGATCGTCCAACTTAAGTCTTGCTTTCCCGACTCTCGGTGGGGTCGGCAGCAATCTATTTAGCCAGCTGAAACATTTAATTTGTTTATATTTTAGTTGAAATGTTTATTTTCTGCAAAATATTTATGTCTCTAAAAGTTCTTTGAATTTGGTCGTTTTAGCTGAAACTCTGCTCACAAATGGACCCACACTGGCTAAATAAACGCCACGGCTGAAATCCCACCGCCACGCCTACAAGACCCCAAGTTTTTTTTGTTTTTTTTTTTGCGCTGTTTACCGAAGAAGCAGCGGGAACTACTATGTTGTCGCTTGTGATCACAGCCGGCGGGCAGCAAGAAGAAAGGAGCAGGCAGGGCAAGGTGAAGTTACAGCATATGTTACTGAGTTTAAAATTAGAAAGGTAGCGGTGGATATAATGCTTTTTGGTTTACATGTTTCAATAGCATTAAGATAAATGAGTGTTGACGATCTTGACAGGTTTCCTCCAGTGCTTATTAGGCCAGGTTTTCCTCCCCCCACCAGGATAAGCATCACTTATTCATGTAAAATTTATTTATTTTTTCATGTCTGACTTTAACCACATCTAATACTGTATTACGGCATGAGAGCAACAGCGACAACTTAAGATCGATGTGTGAGCAGCCTGAGAGGTCGGGTGTTTTCATCTGAACCCTTAAAACCTCCAGCAGGCTATGCTGCACTATTGACGTGTTAGCGCGCGGCGCTAACAACTTAGCGACGTGACATGTCTCGGAGAAAGCGTAAAAACACGTTGGACGCTTCTTCTGAAGCGGGAAAATAACACTTCTTCTTAAGCAGAGCACGTCGCCTCGGCTCGTTAACATTGACCTAGCACAGCCACTGGGTCGTTGGAGCTGCCCCGTGACTGCCTGATGGAAAACCAGCGGGTTTCATCAGACTCGTAGTTTCTTGTTTTTGCTGGGGACCCCCTGTATTTTACCGCTCCCTCCTGCAGTCTTCCCCTATTAACATTTAAAATGATTCTGTAAATTCCGTGTATCAATAGAAAAAATCTCTGCCTCTGCCAGCTGCAGTAAATGTAGTTTCCAAATAATAAATAAGAGGTGCATTCATCTGTGGATCTCCTTTGATCCGCATTAGTGATATTCTCAGCACCAGAACAGTGAAGCAAAGAAAGATTCCTGAGTTTGTTAGTAATTTTATTTATTCGGTGCATCTTTCCTGTTCTATTTTTCTCTGAAATGAGATCAAATCTATGGGTTGATCTTCTATCTAGCATCTTCTATGGGTTGTCTCCACTCTGCACTAGAAAATTTTACTTTACTGAGTGTCTGAAAACACAGTTCCGGTTAAAAACCGGATTGAATTGTCCACACATATTCCAGGATGTCTATCTGAAAAGGGTTTTAGAGACGTGTCATAATTTCTCCCCAAGCCCCCCCCCCCCCCCCCCCCCCCGCCACAGCTGGAAAAATTCCTAGGGGAAACACTGGAATGTTTTATCTATTTCCAACCTGTGTAGCCTAACCCACATAAAGCTTAAAACAAGCTACTTGACCTCTTTAAAAAGCATTTTTAATTATGACTGTTTATCAACAGAAGGAAGCAAGCTAGTTCTGTTGGATCTTGAAGCGGTCACGATTCACACACGGAGGGGTGATGTCAGCCGGGAGGTCAGGTGTTGTGAGAAATTGTGTTCCCCTGAAATATTCTGTCTCCCCCCCCGTGTCGGGAGATCGCACTTCTGGCTATTTTCACAATATTTGTGATAAATTTTTACGGGAAAATGACGTAATGTAATGTAATAATGTTATGCTTGTGATTTTTATCTGTAATTCCTCCTAAAAACAATAAAAAAGATACAGTAAAAACATTCTTGTTCACTCTTTTGCAGCAAGCTTATTTATCATTTTTGAAAGTTATGTAAAAAGATGTAATCTCACTCAGTTTTACCATCTTTCATTTGAGGTAGTTTAGTCCTCATAATGAACAATAAGTTCTGTGGATTTGGAAATATTTGCTGTTGACTGCCTTAAGCCTGATTCATGCTTCTCCGTCTGCGTCAGTGCGGAGACACGCAACGTCCTTGCGTGCCTGCCGTAGAGCTCCGCAAGGAAGGACGGAGTCGAGCTCTCTTTTCTAAACATCCGTCAGTCGAGACGGACATCGCAAGCTTGTGATTGGTCAGGACGCTGCTGTCGTGAACACTGCCGCCGTTGCGCCCTCAAAAACATAAAACAGAGCCGAGGATAACTAGCGGCAGACACGGAGAAGCTTGAAGAATACCTCGCGAAAAAAAAATTCTAAAAAATGAACGTTTAATTCCCCCGTGACTAGATGAGTGAAAAGATGCGCAGCAAGCGTTTTTATTTGTGGACGGAAATGACAGGAAACGTGGGTTTAGAGGTGGGGAGCGCATGAAGAGGTGGAGGACGATGAGAGACAAATATGTACGCGTTAAAAGTCTCTTATATACAAAAAAACACAATATAAACACACTATCTTGGACCGATACATGACAGGATATCACAGAACAGCGCTACGCCCCCTGTTGTCCTGGTGGGGAATTGCTTTGCAACACTCTCCAGGAGACGGAGAAGTATGAGAGCAAAACGCTTCCGTCAGTCCATGCGTGTCTGTCCCTTGCAGAGATGACGGAGAAGCATGAACCAGGCTTAAGGGAAACAGAATATTTCAGGGGAACAAAATTTCCCACAACACCCGTTTCACATGGATCACAGCGCCTCGATGTAAACAAACTGGCTGCCGCTACCAGCTTATATGGATATGGAGCAATCACTGGCTGATCATTAACCATGGCTGGCTCAGGAGTGTTGGTGAGCCAGGGACACACTGGACATCAAGTAAACAATGCTGACTTATCCACCAGCTAATCGTGGCTCACGGCTGGCGTGGTGACGCGGTGTATGCTGTGCATAAACTCCCACGGATTACCAGCAAAAGGAGACCCAAGCCTAAAGGTAACACTTGAGAAGAAGCCCTCTGTGTCGGAGCGTCTCTGTAAGGCGTGGAGAACTAGATCGCTGTTAGTAGAGTGCTGTGGAGATCAAGTAAACAACGCTGATTTAGCCACTGGCTAGCGCTGTTGGGAGAGACGACAGGCTGCAGGAAGAGAGGAGACTTGAGTAGAAGTACTTTGGAACGGACACGTTGGGACCGGATCGGGAGTTCTGGTACTAGGAAAAGACGGATGAACAACTTGAGGTGTTTGGGAGTCAGAGACACTAACTGGAGGCTGGAGTCCAGCTAACAGTGGGCAGGGGTCTGAACAAATGTGGCTTCCTTGTGTTGGACATGATGACGAACAGACAAATTTTATGTGTCTTTTGATTTAATAGTTTTTTTATTCAAACTAACAAGTACAGCAACAGTGTAGCTATTCTTTTCTATTTCTTAGTTGAATTAGCAGACTCCATGCTTCCAGGGCGCACTGCTGCCCTCTGCTGGTTACAGCCATAGTCCAAACGGGTAACATGGAGCTCGTTTGTCCCAAAACAGCTGCTGTATTTTAAGATGGTGGATGACCGTGGAGCCTCGACCACAGTAAATGTATATAAAAGTGTATAACTTCAAGTTGAGAGGAATGTTTTGAATTGATGTTGGTGAGACGACAAGTTTGTGAACTGGAAACACAGGATTTGATAGTAAACTGGTAAAAAAAAATCACACATTGTGCCTTTAAGAAAAAGTTATGTCTCATTTGATAAAGAGATTTTAGAGCAGAAAATAAGATGGATTTACCTTTATTCCCAAAAGTTAACAATGCATGAACAAAATAGTTATCAAATCAAAACCAAGAAGTTAACTCAGATTAAGGTTTTTACAGTTGATTTTTGATTTCTGCCTTCTTGCAGTTATATTTCTGTCTGCTGTAGTGACAAAACACTTCCAGGATAAAAGAGCTACACACTGTTCATTCGCTTTATTATTCTATGCATCTAATCACAGCAGGACCTCATTGCTCATGGACGCTAGGAAGACAACGTGTTTAAGTTCAAACTGAGCATCAAAATAGGGAAGAAGGGGATTTGAGGGCCTTGTTGGTGTAAGACGGACTGATCTGGATATTTCAGAAACTGTTAATGTACTGGGATTTTGACCTACAACCTTCTCTAGGATTAACAGGGAAACCCACTGGTTCCAACTTGCAGAAATATTCCCTGAAGCACATCAGCTGCTCCAGATGGACTCCAGGAAGAGAAGACCACACAGGGTGTCTCTCTGGTCAGCTAAGAACAGGCTGCAGTTCACACAGGGCCATCAGAACGGGACCAGAGGAGGCAGGAAAACATGGATCCATCCTGCCCCGAATCAGCTCTACGGGCTGCTTCTGCGTGTTAAGTTTGAAGTCCAACCAAGTCAACAGAGAAAGGGGTATACACGAAGCGTCAAATAGAAACGGCTAAACACATAAATGAGGCCGAAGAAACGCCAGTAACTGGTTAATGTTCTCTTCCTTTAAGTTAGCTTTACTATTAGCATGTGCTATCGTTAGTATTCGGTTAGTTGGCGGTAAACTAACGGTCAAAATAATTCCCGTTATCGGTAAAAAAAAAAAAGTATCTATGTGTGTGTGTATCACGACTAGGTAACGTTTTACTCACTGTTCGTAAGTTGAATTCAATTGCTGATGGTGTTTGTGGTGTTTATTTTTTTTAATCTCTTCTGCATCGAATCTTTTAGGCAAACAACGAGATAACGGCCCCAACTGGCGTGGAGTATGAACTACAACCGTCTTTTATTTATTTGTTTGTTTTTTGTATTTATTTGCGTGTTTGAAGTATTTATTTATAAAGGATTAAAAAAAAGAAAGGGGCTCCACGTGTGCCAAAGATATGTTTAATTTTGACATGTTAAATGCTTCCTGAGTAAATCTGTCTTATTTCAGGGGAAAAATAATTATTTACTGCCCGTTTCAAATAAAAAAAAAATAATTTATCCTTTCTAGAAAAAAAATCACAAGACACTTCACAAACACAAATTTTTTTCGAGTAAAAAGTAATTAAAATTCTATACCATACCATACCATATTTATTTGTACAGCAAATTTAAAAACAGCGTGCCAGCTGACCAAAGTGCTGCACAGTAAATCAGACGGAAAACCACAAGGTTCAAATTCACCTTCATACACACAGAGGGCATGTTTGTTTCACAGTCATAGTATGTAAAATGTTAAGTCTTTGATCAAAACATGCATTTTTGTTTAATTTATTTTCCTGTTATTTTCCTATTTTATTCATGGATTCCAAAATGTGTTCTAAATTGACACCAATTATAAGTGATCAGCTTAACTTGGAATAATGCCTGAATAATTTTATTTTCACTGTGTTTAAGATTTATGGCAGACAAGCGGTTGTATGAGGGGTCCAAACATACATTATCTGAATTGTTTTATCCTCACTAGGGTGACAGGGAGCTGGTGCCTATTCCAACAGTTCTGTGGCTAGCGGCTGATCATGTCTCCAGTCCACATCAGGGACACACAGAGACAACCAGTCACACACTCACATTTAGGGACAATATAAAGTTTCCAACAAACCTGACATGCATGCTTTTTCATGAGAACTTGGAGAAAACCCACAAATGCATGAGGAGAACATGCTAACATTATACAGAAAGACTGCAACTTGAACCAGCATCCTCCTTTCTGCAAAGCTGTAGAAACTTTCAGAAATCATAATTTCTCAATCAGGAGTTGCATTTCTATCAAGTAAAATAGCTAAAAACCAACAAAGTAGTCAGAAATACTTTAGAAAATCAAAACGCATCTGTATTTGTTGTAAAATTATAATTTTCATTGATCTGTTAGATAACTATAGACATATTTACATTTCTCTCATTTTATTTATAATCTACAAAATTGTATGATTGTTCGTATAAGACCTAATATTTATGTCAGACTTGAAGTGCAGTTATTTTGCCACAAATATTAAACAGCTCCTGTTGAACCTGACCAATATGGATGCACTAATTAAATTTCAGTTCAGTTTATTTATATAGCTCCAAATCATGACAAGAGTCGTCTCAAGGCCCTTCACAAAGTAAACATTCCAATAGAATTCAGTCAATTACGCCAGTCAGTAAAAAGTTTCTTATATAAGGAACCCAGCAGATTGCATCAAGTCACGGACTAATAATGCTATTAGAGAGAAACTGTAGAAGAAGCTAGTAGAGTGTGGAAAGTGGTCAGTATGTTCTCCAGCAGTCTAAGCCTATAGCAGCATAATTACAGAGATAACTCTGGATAACCTAGCCTTCTAGATAAGGTGTCTAGGGCAAGGTGTCTGCCTCACGGATTGAAGCTGGGAGCTGGTTCCACAAGAGAGGAGCCTGATGGCTAAAAGATCTGCCTCCCATCCTATTTTTAGATATTCTGTGAACCAGTAAACCGGCAGTGAGAGCGAAGTGCTCGGTTAGGAACACATGGAACAATCAGATCACTGACGTATGATGGTGCTTGATTATTAAGAGCTTTATATGTGAGAAGGAGGATCTTAAAGAGCAAGTCACCCCCAAATCAACTTTTTTCTGATAAACTATATAAATGTGTGTCTAATCGTGCTGCAAACACGTATAGCTAATAGTTTTGTACTTTAGTGCATTTTAGTTAAAATTGTAATTTTCTGCCTAAAACTGCCAGTGTTGTGCCGTTGTCAGGTAAAAACTCTGCACTGCATTAGAATTTAAATCTGCCACCGCTATTGGCTAAGAGGTATGCTATGATGTAAACTGGTCCTTATGATGTCACAATGCCGTTGTGAGCCTGTGTGTGTATGTGTATTTGTTAGCGGCTCCGCCCTCTCGGTCTGCTAGGCAACAGCATTTGTTGCATTTTTTAAAACATGAAGAGGGAGTGAAGTAAGTTTCTTGTAGGGGGTGACTTGCTCTTTAAAATCTATTCTGAATTTAACAGGTAGCCAATGTAGGGAAGCTAAAGACAGGAGAGATGTGATCTCTCTTTTTAATTCTCATCAAAACTCCAACTGATATTGGCTCCAACTCTTTGGAATGAGCTCCCTCTAGCTGTGAAGCAAGCTATTCCTCCAGGAGTTTAAGTCTCACCCGAAAACTCACTTTTGTCCGTTAACTTTCTCCCAACACCCTTGACACTGGCTTTTGTATTATGTTTTTTGTACTGCATGGCTTTTAATGGCTTTTAATTGTACTTATCTACTACTATTTTTATTCTCTTTTATCTACCATGATTTTTTATCCTAGTTTTTATGTGCCTTTCAGCACCTTGGGCCTCTGCTAAGGTGGTAGAAGGTGCTGTATAAATAATTCTGATTGATTTATTGATTTCAGCATTTTGGACAAGCTGAAGATTTGTAACTACATTCTGTGGACTTCCTGAGAGTAATGAATTACAGTAATCCAGTCTTGATGTAATAAATGCATGAACTAGTTTTTCAGCATCACTCCTGGAAAGGATGCTTCTAGACAAGAAGTTCAACATAGCTGCTGGTGAGTGAGGTGAAACTGCAGGAGGTGTGTAGGTTTATAAAATAATTGCGCATGACATGCTTAGAAAATTTTAAAGACTGAAGCTTTTAATGCCTCGGCAGCACAAGGTGGTCTCTTTGCTCTGACTAGTGGTTAGCTCATCAGTTCTGGACTCCATTTCTCTGAACTTTTACACAGAAACAAACTTCAAAGTGACTGACAACCTCACTGAGTGGCAGAATATACCAGTGATGATGTTCAGATTAAATGAGATTACCGTTCAGATGAAGCTCAATGATGCAGCTCTTTTTTTCCTTCATGCAGCTTTTCTGTAATTTGAGAGGAAATTAAATCGCACAAAGAGGAACATTCATACGATCAATACTCTTTAACTGCTGGGATGGAGGAAAGTGTGCTCTGCAGGCCTGAACCAAATGAAATTTGACACTTATGGTGAACTTTTCAGAGTAAAACTAATTCCAGTGATTAAAATAGAGCTTAATTAGAATCTGATGCTTCAGGGTACTGAGTTGAGTTGAGTTAATGATGTCATAATAACTCTGATACATAAAATCAGCTGTATATCATTAAATCCTGTTGTAATGCTGCAGCCACTCCACCAATAAAATCCATTATTATGTGACTTTCTGCATATCATAAAAAAACAGTTTGAAATAAAAAAAAAATACAATCTTTATATTTAGAGCTTTAAATACTGTAAAAGTACCAAAGCGTGTTTTACACATGATTTATCATATGAACTGAGATAAACAACAGGTAATATACACTTTTTATGAAATTTTAAATAAAGAAAACATATAAAGTTTCTCTACATAAATTGAGCAATTTTTGAATTAAGAAAGAACAAAATGAAAAAAAGAAGATTTATTCTTGTCACATTAGGTGGATATTAGCAGTTAAAGCAGAAATAATTATAAAAATCTAGAAAAAGAAAGTCTGTATTTCTGTTTTATGACAAATAATTTAGAGAGTAAATATGTGTTCTTAAATTATCATGAACATTGTATTGTGGGGATTACTTTCTTATCATATTGTCTTTCCTTAAAACGAGCAAGCTTCTCACGGGGACACACAGACACGCTCATACACAGCAGCCAAGTGGGTCAGTTTATAAATAGAGGGTGACAGAAATCCCCTCATACCATTTTCCACCCTGAATACCAACAGTTGTTCTCATCTGCTTTGACTCGTGCTCCTTGCTCACTGATGGGAACCTACAACCTAAAGGTCAGAGGTCTAACAGCCAATAAATGGAGAGAAAAGAGGAATAAAACTCGATGAAAGTCAAAAGTTCTACTCTCTCTGACTACCGGCATTCCACCATATTAGGCTGAACTCAGTTACATGGCCCATGTCCTCATGTCTGCTATTTAAACACACACAATCAAAAGTGTTATCATTACAGAAACTGGGAAATATTGGTCTAGATGTGGTCAGAAACCATTTTAGTTTCTCTTCTCGATGGCTTTTCTTATAAGTGTAGCTATAGGGTCCTTCCCATGTAGTCTGCCACTACCATGGGGCTAGAAATAAGGAGGAGAAAGTTTTGTAAAATCTCGAAAGATAAATGAAAAATCCCGTTGTGGGACAACGTTTCTCTCAGAAGCTCGATCTGGTAATGAGCTGATTGCTCTGGTCTGCGGTGGTAAAAAAGAGCTCAACAACATTAGGACCAAAAGAACGACATCCTCACTGAAGTTAGCTTCCTCTGTAGGATGATCTGGCCAGCTCAGCCTGTAAGGTCAGGAGACAAGTTAGCGTAGGCTAGGAACCCTCCTAAGAGATGATTATAGGCTACATAAGTATAAAGTTTGACAATATATTAATCTTGGTAATGCTAAAAGCAGATAAAAACACTACCCAAAGCAACTGCTAGCTTAAGCAACTGTTAACACTAGCTAATGCTTCTGCTAAAGCTAATGCAATACCAAGCTACAAATTGTGCTGTTGTGTCCTTGGGCAAGACACTCAACCCGCCTTGTCTGCTGGTGTTGGTCGGAGGGACTGGTGGTGCCTGTGCTCGGCAGCCTCGCCTCTGTCAGTGCGCCCCAGGGCAGCTGTGGCTACATCAGTGTGTGAATGAATGATACACTTTAGTGTAAAGCGCTTCGGAGTCCTCTTACTCTGAAAGACGCTGTACAAGTGCGGGTCATTTATCATTTACTTGTAACACTAGCTCAAGCTACTGATAATGTTATACCAAGCTACTGCTAATGGGGGTGGGGGTGGGGTGGGGGGTGTTATTGATTGTTCATATTCATTTAATATTCATGTGCTGGGTGAGTGGGTGGGGCAAACCAGTCTTTCCATTGTAGGGCTTTATTATGGGGTTTGGTCATTTCTCAGGGCTCCTGGGCCATTTTTAGCCACAGCAAAGTTTCATATTTTATGTGGAGGCTCAAAGAACAGTTTCCTATTGTAAAAACAAGTTCTCCCAGAACCCCTTTAGCAAACTACTTCCTAATAACATTTGCATGGTAAAAGAACACTGAATATTGTTACTGCTTCTCTTCCATGTAGCTCATACTGAGATGATGCTGTCACTCTGGACAAATCTGGATAGATGGGCACATGCAGGAACTTCTTGACAGTTCTGGTTTGGTCCAGGGGCATGTCCCTTTAAGCTGCTGTGATTGAAGGGACAGAGTGTATGCATGCATGAGTCAGCTGGTGCAAATTATTGGACGAAGGGGGGATGGAGGGGTGAGTGCACTGAGCGCTGCAGATCCACCAGTCTAGTCCTCTTCCCTCACTTCCTCTCTCTCTTTTGATCACTTTAATTTCTATCTTTTTTACCGAATCTCCTCTGTTTTCCTCGGCACCTTGTGGATTTACTACCACCCTCGTATGGACCACAGTGTGTGTTGATGGGTTTTAAAGGATCTGTATGAGTGGTGTTTGAGCCATGCTGCGTGTGTTTATTCTGTGTGCGGAGCGTCTGCAGACACCGGACGATGACATCAGTGATGCCTACTGCAGCGTCAATTATGAAGGTATGACTGTGCTTCTGTGATCATAAACTTCAATGAAAGAGCAGAAAACTGCATGTTAATCTGGTTATTTATTTGTATTTAAAACAAATCCCTGTGAAACAGCTGGGAGGACATTTGAGGAGTGAATTTTATATCTGTTGGGTGGAGCTGAAGGAGAAGGAGAGGAAGAGAGGTACGGAGAAAAAGCTAGGATGTAGGGACAGACAGGACAGCAGGATATCCAGTGTGTTGCCAGGAAATCCAGGCTGTGTTTATAGCCACCACCACTCTCTCAGCAGGGATTATCCTCCTGAGACCCCGACAGCTCCTATAGGGTCTACCAGTCTGACACTGGTATGTGGCCTTAGGGATAGCTGGTGCACCAGTTAGGCTCAGAAATAAGAAAATATCTACCACGTGTTCAATGATGATCTTTTAGAGACATTTTATTCAGTTTTTTATTATTTATTTTGTTTGCATATCATCACTGATGGTTTTCAGTAAAATAGATTTTTCTGACAGATATGGAGTCGGTTCTGCTAACTGTTGTCTCTATCGACCCAATTTTCTTAAGAATTCACTTCTTCCTAATTATTAACTTGCTGGTGTTTTTGTTCAGTTATTTGAAATGTGACCAAAACAATTAATGCCATTTCTCAGTTGTTTATTTTGGAAAAAGTTATCTTGATATAGCTATATAAGCTAATGTTCAATTAGACATTTGTCTGATTGGGTTGCTGTGTTTGGATCACATTTCTCATTGATGTTTATTCAATTCAATTCAATTCAATTCAAAAATACTTTATTAATTCCAGAGGGAAATTGATTGCTGTAGTAGCTCAGAATAATAATAATAATCAAGTCATCAAGGAGTTATTGTATATTACAATGGCTGTTGGCAGGAAGGATCTCCAGTAGCGGTCAGTGTTGCAGCGAAGCTGAAGAAGCCTCTGACTGAAGACACTCTTCTGTTGTCGGACAGTCTTGTGAAGAGAATGCTCAGGGTTGTCCATCATTTCCTTGATTCTCTGAAGAATCCTTCTTTACATTATCTCCTCCAGCGGTTCCACAGTCGTCCCCAGAACAGAACCAGCCTTTTTTATTAGGCTGTTGAGCCTTTTCAGGTCCCTGCTTCTGATGCTACTACCCCAACAGACGATGGCTGAAGAGATTACACTCTCAACAACAGACTTTTAGAAGATCTGCAGCATCTTGCTACAGACACTGAAGGACCTAAGCGTCCTCAATAAGTACAGTCTGCTGTGTTATATGGATGTTTCCAGGTCTCCTCAGCTCCCGATGCTGCAACTTTACCTCATCCGACCATCTTGGACATAAATGCAGATTCTTTTTAAACACAGAATTAAAGAGCAAGTCACCCCCAAATCAACTTACTTCTTCTGATGAACTATTTAAACGCGTGTCTAATCGTGCTGCAGACACGTGTAGTCAATAATTTAGCACTTTAGTGCATTTTAGTTAAAATTTAAAATTTCTACCTAAAACTGTCAGCGTTGTACCGTTGTCAGGTAAAAACTCTGCACTGAATTTAAATCTGCCATCGCTATTGGCTAAGAGGTACCCTAGAACGTTAGCTGGTACCATATGATGCCACAATGTCGTTGGGAGCCTGTGTGTGTGTGTGTGTGTGTATTTGTTAGCAACTTCACCCTCTCGGTCTGCTAGGCAACAGCATTTGCTGCATTTTTCAAACAGGAAGTGGAAGTGGAGTAATACTCTGGTAGGGGGTGACTTGCACTTTAACTATCAGCATATTGTTTATGCAATATGAATATATATATGTAATAAAAAACTGGTCAGCAGGAGATATAATCCATCTGTTCTCTGCTCCCAGAAATGACCCCGTCATGAACTCATGACACAACCTCAACACAAAGGGTTCCCTGTAATATAAGGACTGGTGCCTGTGGCATGCACACACACACACACACACACACACACACACACACACACACACACTAGAAAAAAGTTGAAAAAATCCTAATTTTTAGACATTTTATCTTATTTTTAGTGTAAAAAGAAATAAAAAATAAGGTAAATATTCTTAAATATGATCAAAAATGCCCTTCTTTTGAGAAAAAAAAAATAAAAATCTGCCAACGGTGTAAACAAAATTTGCTTGGCTAGAAATCCTAAAACTAGCAAATACATTAAAAAATTAGATAATTTTGCCAGTTTTACAATTTTTAGCCAAGCAAATTTTGCTGGCCTGAAGGGTCTTCTCTATCAGAGATGTTAGATGATAACGAAGCTCGGATAATTCCATGCTCCAGAGCTCCTTCCAAGTGAGCTTCCTCTTCTTCCATTTCATCAGGAGCCCTGCTTTGCTTGTCCTAAAGCCATAGCCCATATATCGTCGTTATATTTCTTCTACCATTGCTTATTGTTTGCTAGGAGTTTCCTTTTGTCACCTGGGTGTTTTTTTCTCCCAAGCCTAAACCTCCTCTGCCTTGTTGGATATGACCAGTGATGGCCAGCTTTAGCTACTTTATCCCTGTTTTAAGAGTGAGCCACTGCCATCACCACAGGGTCCCCTGACTCTGTGAGAGCCTCACCTTGGCACATTTAAATTCTTCCACCAAGCTTGAGAATGGCAACAAGAGCACTCCTTCAGTAAAAAGCACAATACTGCTCAGGCATCTTGATAGTTCAAGCCATTTTCTCACATACAGATTCACCAACCTCTCTAAACGATTGTGATAGTGAAACCTTGTAAATGGTTATTGGCCACATTAACCGAGGCACCAGCCCAAACTAAAACCACCAAGAACTTGAGGCTAATAATTGTGTTTAGCCGTTGTTATTCCAGGTGCTTGGTTTCTTTGAGATCTACACTGTACCACAACCCGAAGCTCGTGACAAGATTTTCAAGGATTGTTGGAATCGGTTTATCAGTGATGTAAAACCACTGCCTGTCAGTTGGCCTTTGATGATAGAAATGAATTAAATAAAAAATAAATCAACATAAATACATAAACATGTCTATTTGGTTAAACATTTTTCCCATGCTAATGCTAATTAGCACAACCACCAATCTTTATATTACGCATTAAAACAACAACACTAAGCTGTTCTAAAGCTTTAGCAAAAACTAAAAAATGTATGAAGGGTTGAATCAAGCCAAGACATTGTCACTCCTATAAACTTTGAACTTTAAACTTTAGATCAGGTTTTCATCAACCCCAGACCTAGAAGGCTACCATTAACAATTTAATAAAAAATTATATACTGTTTTTAAAATAATACCTCCACATGACATTTAGAGGTGTGTAGAAAGAAGGTATAGTATTTCCTTTAAAAGTTATGTTTTAATTACAAAAATAATCAAAAATTTTTTTGACGGGCACGACACTGGGTTTAAGTTTGCATCTACCAGCCACTAGAGGGTGCCGTTGCGAATGGCCACACAGTCCACTCAGCACAGCAAGGCTGACATAGGGAGCCTAAGTCACGCCCATCTCCTTCCGGACCATGAATTTTAAAGAAGCATTTTGATACCAAGAATGTGCTTATTTTCCGCACGGGGGTGAAACGCTATTCTAGGTTTTGTGTGAAAATAAGTCCAGGACTGCAAATGCTCTTCACGAAAGTGACATCATCAAACCAGACACAGAGAAAAACAGAAGGAAAATGGCTGTGAGTTCAGCAAACTTCAAATCCTTCCTTCAGGAGGAAAGAACCACCATAACTCTGGTCATGTGGTAAGCAGCAGCTACGTCAGGGGAGAGGAGATTCTGTGGTGACGTCACATATGTTTATGTTTATGTGCTTAGCAGACGCTTTTACCCAAAGCGACTTACAATTTTTCTTTTCTTTTCTTTTTTTTTTACCTATAGGGCATGTTGTGATCTGTGGGGGAAAACCGGAGTACCCGGAGAAAACCCACGCATGCATGGGGAGAACACGCAACTCCACGCAGAAAGGCCGCAGCCGAGTTTCAAACCTGCGACCTTCGTGTTGCGAGGCAACAGTGCTAACCACTACGCCACCATGCATATGCGACGTGCTGATGTCTTGTTTGTAGTTGTGCTAATTACGAACTGTACAAGCTAATAAATCTCAAAGTATGTGACTGGCGTGGTCGAAACACACATCATTAGATTTCATTTAAATTGCAGTACAACATATGTGCGATCCAGGGCGTAAGGTAAAGTGGATTAGAAAATAAGGTTTTTAGCCCCATTGACTTGCATTCATTTTTTCATTCTTCCGGGGACCCATGAGCCAACCGGAAAGGGAGGAAACTTAGTCTCCCTACTGTGAAAAATGATGGACTCGGCAAGTCAAGCAGCTTCTGAGTCCAGAAGATGTTGTTATCCTTCTCAGAAGAGGAACGACCAATACAAAACTATAATACTAGAGTGAGTTCAGGTTGAGTCTACAACAGATGGACCCAAAAAGAAAAAAAACATTTCACATATCTGCAGAGAACCTGGACAGCTGGAAACCTTGTTCTATTGTTGCAACTACAACCTCCATGCCCTAGATGGCGCTATGGTGTTTGTGTTTGTTTCACCACCTTTACGTAATGTTAATAAAACGGCCCTTATTGTAAATTGTTACCAAATTCTTACTGTGCTGCCCACATTGGATGCCAATTGATGCCATCTCTATATAAAGATGTATTTTCTGAACTGTTACATAAAAAGTACCACAAGTTTTAAATTTTATTATCTGCAAACATGTTCAGTCCTAATCTCAAGTAATTAATTTGTATAATGAATCGAGTGATTGGTGTCCTCTCTGCAGAACATGCTGAATTAAGAAAGGACTGTTAGTTTACTGAAAATAACAGATTAAAATCAACCCAAAGCATGAGATAAAATGGATTAAATGACAGAAAGCTGTAAGGCAAGTAAAGTCAATTTTATTCTGGCAAATATTTGTGTGAGGGAGTAACAATCAGGAGATAAGAGAGGAAAAGAGCACAGGAAATGTTGAGATTTCCTTTGGATGTGAGGTGTGTGTACATGCTTGCTCCCAACAAGGGTGTCGGAGAATTAGAAAACTAGAGAAACCAGCGTGGTCAACACAAATTTCTACCGAGGAAAGCTGGATTTTATCCTATTAACTCATATACAGAGGAGACAAACTGGAGGAACATTTTGTGGACAAACAGCTTGACCTTTTTTGATCTCTGTATGACTTTTGGGAAAACCTTTAAAGACCCTGTTTCTTTCTGTTTGCTGCCACCAAGCCTCCTCTTGTTTATCTGGTGATGTGACGCATTGTTCCGTCACCCATCGTTCAGTCACTTGTCGTTTATTCTGATTTGATAGAACCTCACAGACTTCTCAGTTTTTGCCATGTTACGCTGCGTTCTTCAGCGGGCCAACAACTTGAGACGTTCGGACCCTTTGGCTAGTGTCACGTTCAGAGGTAAGAGGACCAGTACCAAATCTGGCTTTTAAACATCTGTTTGGGACAAACAGACAGAAAATTATGAAGACAAACACCTGCAGATTTCTTAAATCATTAACAAAATATTACCTGCTAGGTTGTGTTTTGTATTTACCATTATGTCAGGTTGTTAAGGTCAAGATAAACTATAACATTACGCACACACCACGTGTTCAAACCTCACCATTGGTTTTATCCTATTTCCAGTGTGTACTGACAGAAGCTAAGCAAATTTACTAGTGTTTCCTTGCAAATGAACAAGCTGGATTAGTTTGTTTCCCTTTTCCAGGGGAATATTTAGCTGTAAAATGGAAAATACTAAAGTCAGCTGTCATTTGGTTCAATAATCTTCAACAGCCTTAAACAATACCCATTGAGTATAAATAATCTATATAAAAATATTCCTCACATGCTGTGTACCGCTCCTGTCAGATGTCTTCTTTCTCAGTGCTATAGACTCTCGATGCATGACATCACACGCTCGCGATCCCGTCCCGAGCTTCTGGTATATCCCCAATGACCACCACTGTTACTGTCTGTCAGTTGTGAATAAATTAAGCTAAATCACAGTGAAATAAAACTTATCAGCATAATTAACACATGCAGCGCTGCAGGCTGCACAAGTAGACGAAAGAAAGACAGTAACATAAAATTTTACAGGTTTCCAGCAGATAGGATACGTCAAAGGTAATGGTAACGCCACGAAGAGAGTTTGTCGGAGCTAACGTCTCATGACAGAGTAAAAAGTAAAATATCTGCCCCACATGTCTGGACACAAGTTATAGCTATCTAATTGTATGCTGAGGGTTTCTCCAGCTTTTTGTGTGCGCGCTAATACCCAGATATAAACAATAACATTCAAGGAGTCTAATAGCGTCAGTTAGCATTAACTCAATGAAAATGTTTTTTAATTCATAATTTTGTAAAAAAAAAAAAAAAAAAGAACATTTATGTCACAGTAAATAACTGAGTTAAGAGCCTTTTGTGTAAAATTTGTGACTTGAGTAATTTGTAACAATGAGTCAAATTAAACATTAGCTTATGTAGCTATATCAAACAAACCAATTATTTTAAAACAACCATCATGTTTTTGCAATTTCACCCAACCAATCAAGATTAGGCTAACCTGCTAATTTGGGAAACATTATGGGAAGAAGGACCAAGCTACCAATGCTAACATGCTAATATACTAATCTGGTTATGTTGCTCTATGATCATAGTTTTATATATTGTACTACATGTATTTTTTTAAAAGCTACCATTATATTAGCTGTGTTTCTTTTCTCTGTGGTTGAAAAAATTATATGTTTTTAAGAACGTATCATATGCCACGTTCACATCCTTCACATAAACCCCACTCCAGTTCTCCTTCAACAAGTCATTACAAAATGCTGTTATAGCATCCTCTGTCCTTATTCTAACACGTTTTATCTGATCTAACTCCTTAGGTTTTTTGAATACATTTTTATGTATTATAAAAATTGGTAGATGATCACTTATATCACTAATTAGGAGACCACTGTTAGCTGTCTTCTCAATTTCATTTGTATAAATATTGTCTATTAATGTAGCACATACATTTTCTCACAAGAAAAGAACAGAATACGAATCCGCACACTACAGTCTGCAATGTCAGAGCTTTATTAGTCGAGTTTTCGGTCAGAGACCTTCATCAGAAGTTGTGGAGGTTCACACAAAACAGTCCTTAGTTAAACAGGGCAGTTGATGTCAAACACCTGTGTGGCTGAATACAGCAGAGCATCATGGGAAATAGAGTCTCAGTCAATGAAAACAGTGCACTTAACATTAAAAACATTCTAAATCAGCTCAAGAGGGGAGAGATTTATACATTGCAGACGTTAAGCTAAAAAAGGCTATCATAACGCTAGGCAATAAAGTATATGAAAACACAGCAGTGTATGCTTTCTTTAAAGAAACACAGACATCTCAAAATCCTCATTTAAACCTAGTGGTTGAAATGTTTTCAACGTGTAGATCCAGAACAGTTCCCTTTGGCAGTGTTTTTAAAAAAAAATCTATATCACCTCCTTTATGTAATGAAATATGTTCAATTCCCTGGAATCTGAGTGAAGACATAGGGTGTGAAAAGTCATTGAAATGGCGTGCTACTGGATAGGTCAAGTCTTTTCAAGTCTCCCAAGAAAAGAAGAATTTTTTTTCTCCGAGATATTTTGCCTTTAGAGGGTCTAGCACTTAAAACACTAAGAATTGGTAAATAATAATCAATCTAATCCTTTTAAACTTTCAACCATACATGAGGCTTAAGTGAAAGTGGTCTAGATGGGGCGGGGCTAATTTAGTGTAACATTTATGAACATAGAAATCAGAAAGTGTTAGCCTAGCTAGGCTCAATGCTGTTGTGTGTTTTAGCTTCATAGGTTGAAGTAACTATCCATAAGCAATGCAGGCAAAGCAGAAACATCTAGGCAGATTTGGCAGCTAAACTTGTTTTTGTTCCAGGACTACAAGTTTGTGGCTCAACTCCAGCCTCGTTTACAAGTTTGGCAAAGAGAGAAATGGGAATAGCAAAGAGATGGCTACCTGTCCTCTATTGTTTTAATTTTCCATAGTTGTTTTGAAGTGCATGTTTGCCTCCTTAATGGGGTGAACTGTACTCTTAACTTCCTGCCTTTGTTCGACCACAATTTCCTGATGCCATCAGACGTTACCTTCCCACCCCAGCCTGGACATTTGTCAGATCTGAAAGCTAAAGAAAAGTCTTAGCTAAAGACCAGTGGGACTTTGTGTTGGAAACATGCACCTACCACTCTAACCTTTTTAACATTGTGGTCACATTTACTATTAAACATGGTTTTATCGCCTTTTTTATTTATTTTTTTGTCATTCTGCCACTTCTAGTTTTTGTGAAGTTGGACTTTCATGATATTGTGATGTAAAGGTAAACAAAACAAATAAACAAACAAAAAAATTGATTAATTGCAAATTAAATTATGTCATTTACCATACCATACCATTTAATTTGTATAGCACATTTCAAATACAGCATGAGCTGTCCAAAGTGCTGCACAGGCAAATACAACAAACTAAAAACAACAAACAAAGATAAAAAACACTAAAAGCACAGATAAGACAATAAAATAGGGAAACTGGCCAACAAGTAGCAAGTTAAAAGCCAACCCATAAAAGTGGGTTTTTAAACGAGAATTGAAAACCGCCAAAGAGGGAGCCTATTACAATAATAGGCAGTGCACTTGACACCTGGGGGGCAGCATGGACAAATGTTCGCTCACCACGATTCATAGCACATCCGTGGAGCGCAAAGCATGAGGTGATCTGCTGACTACAACAAGCGCATGAAAACAAAAGTCGGCAACTTAAACTGTACACGGAATGCGACATGGAGCCAGTGAAGGCGCGCAAGGACTGGGGTGATGTGGCTACGTCTATTTGTGTTCATCAGGAACCTAGCAGCTGCGTTCTGGACAACCGGCTGCTGATTTAATACTGAGCTAGGAATACCAGTTTGGAGCGCGTTTGCATAGTCTAAGTGACTAACTGATTCCAAATGCCTCCGCTTCAGAATAGGTCCAAGATAAGCCGTCGTCGTCGTCTTCCTCCGCTTATCCGGGTCCGGGTCATGGGGGCAGCATCCCAACTAGGGAGCTCCAGACCGTCCTCTCCCCGGCCACCTCCACCAGCTCCTCCGGCAGGACCCCAAGGCGTTCCCAGACCAGATTGGAGATGTAACCTCTCCAACGTGTCCTGGGTCGACCCGGGGGCCTCCTGCCGGCAGGACATGCCCGAAACACCTCCCCAGGGAGGCGTCCAGGAGGCATCCTGACCAGATGCCCAAACCACCTCAACTGGCTCCTTTCGATCCAGAGGAGCAGCGGTTCTACTCCGAGTTCCTCCCGAATGTTCGAGCTCCTCACCCTATCTCTAAGGCTGAGCCCGGCTACCCTACGGAGGAAACTCATTTTGGCCGCTTGTATCCGCGATCTCATTCTTTCGGTCATTTCCCAAAGCTCATGACCATAGGTGAGGATAGGGACGTAGATCGACCGGCAAATTGAGAGCCAGGCTTTCTGGCTCAGCTCCCTCTTCACGACGACAGATCGGCTCAGCATCCGCATCACTGCAGACGCTGAACCAACCTGCCTGTCGATCTCCCGATCCCTCCTACCCTCACTCGTGAACAAGACCCCGAGATACCTAAACTCATCCACTTGAGGTAGGACCTCTCTCCCGACCCGCAGTTGGCAAGCCACCCTTTTCCGGTCGAGAACCATAGTCTCAGATTTGGAGGTGCTGATAAGCCAGACGACATAACTGATAAAAACAGGACCTCGCAACAGAGTTTATCTGAGAAACCATTGAGAGGTCGGCATCCAATTTTACCCCAAGACTCATTACACACTGCTTGTGGTTTAAAGTTATAGAATCAAGGCCAGAGTGAGAGTGATTTCGGCAATCAAAAACAATGGACTCAGATTTTAGCTCCTTTAGTTTAAGAAAATTAGCAGCTAGCCAGCCCTTCACATCCTCCACGCATGCCGAGAGATGAAAGTCTGTGCTTTTGTCATTTAGTGCCTCATACATTTGGCAATCATCAGCATAAATATGATAGCTGATACCATGCAAGCCAAAGATTTGCCCAGTTGCAGGAGATATATGGAAAAGAAGAGTGGTCCAAGGATGGAGCCCTGAGGCACACCCCAGGGCAGAGAGCATGAACTTGAGGTGCAGTTTACAAGCTGGACAGTAATCGAACGATTTGATAAATATGAGCTAAACCATTCCAGTGCAATCCCTGTCACCTTACCCAAGACCCAAGCCCGTTCAACAGAAATGATGGACTGTTTCAAAGGCAGCAGACAGGTCCAACAGGAGCAGCAGCACCCAAGACCCAGTATCAGATGCCACCGGAATGTCATTAAGCACCCTAATTAGGGCAGATTCTGTACTGTGGTGTGGCCTAAAGGCAGACCAAAAAACAT